TTTATTAGCCGATAAATTATTGTAATTCAACTGATATAATTACTACCTCTGTCCCAAAAAGATAGTCCACTTTCTATTTTCACACAGATTAAGAAATACTAGTTATTATGGTTAAAATAAAATTTTATTCATATAACTTTTCTGTTATGCTTATCTTAAGTAACACATGAGCAATTATTACATTAGAATAATAAGTAAGAATTAATGAGGGTTTATTGAAAATAGTAAAATTTAAGGATTAACTATAATGAAAAAAAAGAAAGGTGGACTATTTTTTTGGGATGGACAGAGTATTCTTTTTTCTTCTTGAAATTCTCATATATTAAATTGAAATAATTATTAATTTTTTTATAAACAAATAAGGTATAAAAAGATTTAATTATAATGCAATAAATTCAAATGAATTTAAATTATATTTTAATTCTATTATTTAATCATAATTATATTTTAATTCTATTAGTTAACTATAATATTGTAATTTCATTATTTAATAAAAAATTTAAAATTTATTAAATATAAAAAGATTAATTATAATGAAATCCATTAAAATTCCATTGGATTTCATTTAGTTTGTAATTCCATTTTGCAATATTAAAAAAACACTTAATGTTCATTAAATGTAAAAAAAAAAAAAAAAAAAAAAAAAAAAAAAACTTATAATGAAATCAATTATTACCTCATCATATTTCATTAGTTCTTAACTTCATTATTTAATAAAAAAATTTAAGATTTATCAAATGTAAAAAAAAAAAAAAAAAAAAAAAAAACTTATAATGAAATCAATTATACCTCATCATATTTCATTAGTTCTTAACTTCATTATTTAATAAAAAAATTTAAGATTTATCAAATGTAAAAAGATTAGTCATAATGAAAAAAATATAAAATGTCAAATCAATATTTTCATACTCTAATATATATCAGAATTCATTCTTTATAAATTATATTTTTATAGATATAGATAGATTTTATTAAGATAATTAATCTTTGTTATTTTAAATTAGTCTGAATCTATTTCAAATAGAATAATTAAATTATAATCCGTCCAACGCTAATTAGTATTTCTTCACGTCGCTCCTTCAAACGACATGGAGAATCATCCTTCATTTCCTCTTCTCGTTTTCTTTTTACGTTTCCTTTCCTTCCTTTCTGTCGCCATCCGCTTTCTTTTCCCTCCCAAATTAACAGGTGAAAATCCCCACTGGAAAAGCTCGACATTCACCATCGCCACGTGTACCAACGATCACATCTACCTAGGAGGATGAACATGGCACGTCAGTGTCCTATCACTCTGCCTGCTTCTTAATCAAGCTCGCAAAAACCATATTTAAAGCTTTCAGCTTTATACCTTCATTCCTATACTCAATCTGTCAATCATGCAGAGGTTCATTTCCCTCCGCTTCAAATCTGTTTCGTCAAAATCTTCTGTCTTCTCTATATCGCCTTTCTCCGCTTCGCTAAATTCTCATCTCTCCAATTCAATTAGCTCATCTGACAACCACTCTCAATCCAATATATCTAAATCTCCTTCGAATTATTCCAGTTTCGCTTATCAATCGCAAATTCTAAATCGTAATCAGGACAATTTGCGGAATTTTGATAGAAATAGGGGTTTTATCAGGAATTTTAGCGATGGAACGGCTCGAGATTCTATGGAATATGATGTTGTGATTGTTGGAGCTGGACCGGCTGGCTTGTCGGCTGCAATAAGATTCAAGCAATTGTGCCGTGAAAAGGGTGCGGATTTATCCGTCTGTGTTCTTGAAAAAGGCGCTGAAGTGGGTATGTTTTTTGTGTATTACTGTGAAATAACCTTATCTTTTAAAATTATGTTTGAATTGCATTCCCAATTTTAGTATGATTAAGCTTTTGAACTCTGTGTGTGTGTGTGTGTGTGTGTGTGTGTTTATTTTTTTTGTTCTGGTCCTCTCCTTATTGATTCTCCAAAATGATATGGTGATAGTGGTAGAATTTTCAGATTAAGAAAATTGCTTTTCAGATGATATCATTAGAAGCCTGAAATAGTTATTGTGAGAAGCTCATGGAAATCATTTGGTAAGTAAAGAATAACACGTTAATTAAAATTTACTTGAAAAAAATGCATTTTCAGTTACAATGCACATGACCAGAATGTTTGATGTAGATAAGATAGGCATGGTTGGTAGAGATAAAATCAGTTGGAGGAACAGTAGGTCTTGTTGGCTAGAAGATGCTTAAAGGATAATAATTAGACCCAAAAGAACGCTTCAATGTTACTTGGGGGTCTCTTTTTCTGTGAAGTGTTGACCTAGTGGATCATGTGCTGCATATTCTACTGACAAATTTGACCAACTGTTACTTTTGTTTAATTCCTTATGAGTCTTTGAAAATCAATGGTTCTTCTGGGTCTTGAACTTCGGATTCTTTGATATTGATGCAAGCATTGTGGTTGTGTGAATTGTAGCATCCAAGTTATTTGTAGACCTGCAATTTGTTCATTTTTTTATTCAATGTGATATAGGTGCGCACATCATATCTGGGAATGTGTTTGAGCCCCGGGCATTAGATGAGCTTCTCCCACAGTGGAAACAGGAAGAGGTTCTTTTTCTAGATTCTCTCTTATGTGCTGCTTGCATTTCTTCATGATGTACTGAAACAAAGTATGTCTTGAGTATCTATACCAGCCTAGCAGGCCATACTTGATTGATATCACATACCGAGAGTCACTCACTTTAGAATAAAGAATATGGAGTCCAACTATTTGCAATTTTGCTTTATATGAGAAAATGTTGGATCCTCTAGTACATGCTTCATTAATCTAGTTCAACACTTAAGAATTGATAAATTTTATATTTCATGTTTTCCAGTTTGATGAATCATCATAAACACAGAATAAATACAATTATTTGCTTCCAAGAAACTTGTTTTTTGGGGTTCAGATATGCCTATAATGTTTTAAATCTCAAAAAGTTATGCAGCACATAGAAATTGTAAATTGTAACACCATGAACCACTTGAGTCTTATTAATGTTCCTTGCCAATTTCTTTTACAGGCACCAGTCACTGTCCCTGCTTCTTCTGACAAGTTTTGGTTTCTTACAAAAGATCGTGCCTATTCACTTCCATCTCCCTTTGATAACAAGGGGAATTATGTTATAAGGTAGTTATGCAATACATTTGTATGTTGTATAGGGCATGTGGAGAAAGCATGCTCAGATCTCATTCTGGACCATAAAGCTGGCCCAATTTTCTTGCTGAACCTGTCAAATGCTAACAGTTAATGTTTGATATTGTTTTCTCTATGCAATTTTCTTGTAATTTGAGTTCTCAAGAAATTCACTGGACAGTTCACCATTTTGTGGCATGTGGAGTTGTATATGTTACATGACAAAAGTTTTTGCATAATTCTGTGTTGGGGCCTCTTTGTATTCCATATAATTTTTGTATTGTTTCTTTGCCTTCAATCAATCCTGGTTTAGTGGCTGCTCTGCACTGGACAGGTAACATGCTATTGGTCAGTGGGATTGCTTTGATGGTTTAACCACCACGTGGCTCATACTTAATATAGGTTGTCACATAAAACTGAAAGTGGAGAGCCCCTTGTTTGTCCTTTTGGTTGTGATTTCAGAGCTTGATCAAAATTGCACTTCATGATTTTGTATTTCTGCCTTTTCCACAATTTCTTGCTTAGCTTTTTTATAATAATAATGTTTGATGCAGTTTAAGTCAATTAGTACGATGGATGGGAGTAAAAGCTGAAGAATTTGGAGTGGAAATATATCCAGGCTTCGCTGCTAGTGAGGTACTGTTGTTTTGGCTTTTTAAATTCCTTAGCATATGACAAGAAGTATGTTACATACAAGTTATGCAATTTTACAGGTACTATATGATGCAAATGACAGTGTCATTGGAATTGCAACTAATGATATGGGAATTGCCAAAGATGGTTCTAAGAAGGAGAATTTTCAGCGTGGTGTAGAATTAAAAGGTAGGTGTCTCTCTATCTCACCATTCTTAAGGTGCAACAGTTGGCTTTCATTGGAAAGTATGTATGCAAGTCAAACATTTTAAGCAGTGATATTTATCCTATTATAATTCTTGGATGGGTTTCTGAGTTAGATTGGCATAAAGAATGAAGTCTACACATACTAGTATGATGTGATAATTAACCTTACTTACTGTATGATTTACTTAAATATGACTTGAAAATTTGATGCTAGTTGATTATTCATCATCAAAAACTTAAATATAGGGCCCATTATGCAAGTTATATTAGCATTTGTTAATATTCATTGTTATGCCAGCCTTGAGTATGGTTTACTTCTGTCAAGATGACTAGCTTTCAGGTGACATGGGCTCATTTACATATGGGTTACCTGATTACCTAAACATGCAGGTCGAGTAATTCTTTTAGCTGAAGGTTGTCGAGGATCATTGTCAGAGGTTTGCAAGAATAACTTTCTCGCTGCAATTAGCTGCAATATATTCCATAACCTTTGAGCTTCATCAGTCAACAGTTATGCTAATATCCACTTTCAATCTTCTTGCTAACAGAAACTAATTAGAAAATACAAATTGAGAGAGAAGGTCAATGCTCAACATCAGACTTATGCTTTGGGAATCAAAGAGGTGACCCACTATCAACATCACAAATATTATTTACGGTCACTGTGATTAGGTTGGTTAAAATATTTTGCATGTTGGCAGAACACTTCGATTGTGTTTTAATTGATGCTGAATGATATTCTTGGAAAGAATCTGATTTTAATTTATTATACCTAATATTTGAGTAAATTTGGTCAAACCTAATGTACTCAGTCTAGTTTTTTAGAGAATTTGTTTTGCACGGTTGATCAGGTTTGGGAAATTGATGAGAGCAAGCATAAGCCCGGTGCAATTCTTCACACATTAGGTTGGCCTTTGGATCGAAAAACATATGGGGGATCATTTCTGTATCACATGAAAGATAGACAGGTAGAAACAGTTTCCTGCGCTTCACCGGTTCTCATTTAATGAGGAGCCAATTAGATGCATGTGTTTTTGGATTGGTTCAATTTGTTTAATTTCCTTCTTTACATGCTGCAATTATGTAGCTATTCTTTATTGTATTTTTTCACTGTTCCATTAATTGTCATACAGGTTTCGATAGGCCTAGTGGTCGCTTTGAATTATCGGAATCCTTACTTGAGCCCTTATGAGGAATTCCAGGTAAGCTAGATTGAGTAGATTCTATGGGAATTTAACAAGTTCCCACGAATTTACACCAATTCTATCAATTTGTGAGTCTGCGAGATTCAACACACTTTTGTGATGTAAATTGTAAAATCATCCGAATTACGAGTTAACTCCCAATTTTAACAACAGTTATATGAGAACCGATCTTTTTATTGTAATATTTATTTGGCTCCCAGGCAGCTTTTTTTTTTTTTTTCCATATTTGCATATAATTTTGCATGCTATAGAAAACTTAATGCAGAAGCTCTACATGCCCTGTCTTGGTATTTTTTTTCACCTCAATACCTTACAGGATGTAATTGATTGGGTGTATGAGATGAGGTCATACACCTGTAGGCAAGATTTTTCCACTGTTTAATGCTTATTTTGGTTAGTTATGTTGAAATACTCATGAATCTGAGGTCTATATCCATAATTTTAATTCTTCATTTATTAAACACATCTATTTGGGACCTTACTCAAGTTCCAGTTTTTGGCTTTTGGTCTTAGAAACTTAAGCATCATCCAGCCATCAAGCCACTTCTGGAAGGTGGAACTGTCATTCAATATGGGGCTCGCACTTTAAATGAAGGCGGTATTCAGGTGAGTCGATGTCTTTCATTTACAGATTGGCAGCAACATAAATATTGTACCAAAAAACAATGCATTTGTGAAGTTGTGGGAAATTTTATGTAGTTGGTGATTTTAAGGTCCAATCCCAAGTGCATATAACAATGGACTAAATTGTTCAGATTGTATATGATGCATAATTATTGCATCCGTTCTACATGCTATGCAAATATGAATATGATGCTAGTTAAATTTCAGTCTATTCCATATCCAGTTTTCCCGGGAGGAGCAATTATTGGATGTTCTGCTGGCTTCATAAATGTACCAAAAATAAAGGGTACACATACTGCTATGAAATCAGGTGCATCTTCTTTTCTCATGGATGAATTATCTTCATTTTATATCCCTGCTTCATGTTGTAATTAGTACATTTTATAGATAAAAATGAAGTTTCATTACAGTTAAAAGCTTACTGCAAATAATGTAGATAACATTAAAGGAAATAAGTTTGGAGGCTAAGGATGTCAAATGGATTGTCTTCTAGATTATATCTCTGAGTGGCTATATTGTTAAATTTTATTTATGCATACTTTTCTTGAAGAAGAAAATCGGTAATTCCCTTGCTTTGTCTTTTGGTAAATATCAGCCTCTTTTCTGGCCTTTTTCCTGACTGACTTAAAGAGAAAAGGGGAAAAAATAGAGAGGGAGATTTCTCATGTATATATTTAAACAGACACACATGTGAATAGACACATGAGAGGATCACTTTACTCAGCCATGTTCATAGTTCTTTGACAAACATTGCCAATTGTTCATATGTTTTTACAAGTGTCCAATTTACTAAAACTTGATGCCTGTATCCAATTGAAATCCTATATTCTTTTTATGTTTGAGAGCATTAGGTGTGAGCACTATTTGGTTTTAAACCAAAAACCAATGCAGTTCAGTATGTTTTTTTTTTTCCTATGTCATGGTAAAAATACCAAAAGAACTGAACTGAACTGAACTGAATTCTATATATTTCTCTCTCTGTTTGTCTGTTTGTGTGTGTGAGTGTGTGTGTGTGTGTGTGTGTGTGTGTTGAATTCTATATATTTCTCTCTCTGTTTGTCTGTTTGTGTGTGTGAGGTGTGTGTGTGTGTGTGTGTGTGTGTGTGTATATGATATATATATATTATATATATATAGATATATTACTGTATATATATATATAGATATATATGTATATTGGTTCAGTTTGGTTTTCTTACTGCTCTTTTGTTTTTGTTTGTTTTTTCTCTCCAATAAATCGTGATTATTTTGATTTCGCTATCAAAAGGAACTAACCAATGCTTACCGCTAGAGGGTATGCTTCTTTCTGGGATCATGTTTAATGCTTTATTATTTCGAAATGAAAACACGTGCAAGCTCAAGTCTTTTAGCTTATTCTAACTCTCAGGGCAGTACTTCAGATGTTCCATGTTGAATATAAGTGGTTATATTTATCTCATGACACTTCTAAGCTGTGTTTATGACCTTTTAGTTGTGCACATCTGCATATGCATGAGTGTCATTGTGAATCTAACTTTTAGCCTCTCAGAGTAGGCCCGTTTACTGTGCTAATCCCTCGTGAACTGATAAGCATTGCTAATAATCATCAAGTGTCATATATTTTTCCTTTTGGTCAGTTTAATTGCATGCTACACTGTTGTTTACTCAAAAAATAATTGGTATATAATGACATAACTACATTAATAAAAATTGCTTATCGCAGTTTCATGTGTCCTTTTAAGTTGCAATGAAAACAGGGCATCCCGAAATAATTGTGCTTTGTCTTTTTTTCTGATAAGAGTTGTTTTGGGGATTAATATTTATTAATTACTACTTAACTGTTGTATAGGAATGCTAGCAGCAGAAGCTGCATTTGGCACTCTTCATGAAGGCTCAAATTTGGAATTGTATTGGGAAACTTTAAGGAATTCATGGATATGGGAAGAATTGCACAAAGCTCGTAACTATCGACCTGTAAGTAAAGCAATTCCTTGACTTCTCCTTTTCTTTTTGATCTCTTTGCTTTAGGCACTCTACATTGTGAGTTTTGTGACCTTTGTTAACTATGGTCCATTCTATACTTGCATTTTGGTTCCTCTAATTGATGGGAACCTGAAGTGATCATTAATGTGCTCAATTAGTTGATGAATTACATATTGGACATAACATAAACTTTACTGATCTAAGAGCTTATGGGTTGTCCGATAAGCAAATGATTAAGATGGTGTGGCTGCTTGATTAAAAAGATTAAGAAAAAAAATTGTTTCTTTTATATATATATATATATATATATATATATATATATATATATAATAGTTATATATATATATATATATATAATATTGTTTCATTCTGAAAGATGACCATTCTTGTAGGCATTTGAGTATGGGCTTATTCCTGGAATGGCAATAAGTGCATTAGAACAGTAAGATGTCATCCTTGCTGAACTTTTTATCTTACTGCTGCTTCCATTTGTTGCGTTTAGCATGGCTAAATTTTCTGCCTTGCAGCTATATATTGAAAGGAAAGTCCCAATTCACACTGAAACATGGGAAACCTGATCATGAATCAACAGATGTAAGTAGACACTATTTTGAGAAACAATGTGTTCAAAATTTGCCATAGATAATATTTTTATTTTTTCAACAATCACACTGTCAGAGATAGGGGAATGGATGTCTCTTTGTTTATTTAATAAGAAAAGAATCAAATATCAAAAGATAATAACTATTAACAATCTATAGTTTATCCCTTCAGTAATTCTTTTTCTGAAGTAATGTCCTGGGGCTGAAGTAATAAATTAGAAATGGAATTAAAAAAATTGAATACTTCTATTTGCAAATTAATTCTCATAAGTGCGGCAATGGATTTGCAGCTTGCTCAGCTACACTCTGCTATCGAATATCCAAAGCCAGATGGGGTGTTGTCTTTTGATATACCAACCTCTTTGCACAGGTTTCTAAACATGAACACTTCTTCATATGTTCATGTATCATTTGACAGATGTTATGTAGCATCCTTTTTGCCTGCATGCATGGACGAATCTTGAATTATTCTTTGACATTTCATATATTTGGTCTTTTGTAGCGTTTTTGTCATGAAAAATAATGGGCTTTTGAGGACACCCTTTGATGGTGTAGATGCTATGCAATTAATGTGCGCAGGTTTTTCTTTTGGTCAAAAGAATAATGTCTTAATAACGGGCATCATGATCGTCAGTCATGATTGACGTGTAACCTCAACCAAGATATTTCAGCCTTGTTCTCTCGTTTTTCCTTTTTTTTTTTTTTTTTTTTTTTTTTTTTTTTATTTTTTCCTTGTTTTTTTTTTTTTTTTTTTTTTTTTTTTTTTCCTTTTTGTCTTCTCATTGACACCGAAGGTCTCAAGTGAAAAACTTGAACAAACATCCTGGTTGGACACTTAAACATGGCTGTATGCTGAAAACAAGCAACCTGCCTTTACAACTTCTTTTCTTGTGGTCTGCATTTTCATGTTTGCATTACAGTAATTATATTCTTAATCTTCTTTTGATTATTTAGGAGCAACACAAATCATGAACATGACCAGCCAGCCCATCTTCTTTTGAGGAACCCCACGATTCCTGAGCTAGTGAATTGGCCAGAGTATGCTGGACCAGAATCAAGATATTGTCCTGCTCGTGTATATGAGTAATGTGCATATACTATGACTCGTGGGTGGTTAGTTTCCACATACAAATGGATCATATCTGATTTTTCATCTTGTATTGATGCAGGTATGTCTCAGATGACCAGACTCCGCCAAAGTTACAGATCAATGCTCAGAATTGCTTACACTGCAAGGTACTTTTTGATACTTTTATAGTATTTGTTTCCTACATCTGGAGTATGCAGCTGCTTAAACACATGTAGACTTGACAAAAGATGTTCAATACACAAAATTTGATTCATCAAAAGGCCTAAAAATCTGATTCATTAACAGTCAGATCTACCCATGGGAATGTAATGAGAGATGAATGTTGATTTTCTAATCTAGAAGGGTATCCATGTAGTCTGCAATTGTTCTGCAAAGGATGATCTCATGTCTTCTTACTTTGTAGCATGTTTGTACATCAGACCATCAGCTTAAACCAGTTGTAGTAGCGGCAGACATAGAGTAGAGTAGTTAACCAAAGTCTTAGCTTTTTTTGAGAATAGTGATGACACCGTGTAACTACTGCTTTCTTTTTCTCTTTCCATTTTAAGTCTGTTGATTGCATACATCTATGCTTTCTGTCTGTTTGCATTTAGTTAGTACGCTAGATGCACTCACCATTCATGCTTGCAGTTTCTGCCCCTGAAACATCTAGGATACATGTTTCAGTTGGAAGCAAAGAACATTAGCAAGTTTGTTTGAACCTGACAAACAATATATCTTTCCACCCTGATACAAATTCAAGTTCCTGCGCTTTCGTGGCAACAATTTATTTATTCCACAAAATAGTTTTGAAAAATTAAAGAATTTAACCTTCTAGTGACATTCCTAATTTGATTTTCGGAGCTTTGCAGTCTTTCTTTTCTTTGATTAATTGGGCTTGAATATTATCGTTACAGGCATGCGATATCAAGGACCCAAAGCAAAACATCGAGTGGACAGTGCCAGAAGGAGGTGGAGGTCCAGGATACTCAGTAATGTAGATTTTAGTACTAACCATTTCTGCAAATTCTTACATTTTATGTATAGGACTTCAAAGTTTAAGCAATACAATAATCTAAAAAATAAAAGCAAACTCAAATAATTGTCGGTCACATTGTACAGGTGAAGAACAAAATTGAAATTTAATTGCACCTGCCATATCGATTGAATTGATCCTATTTATGTATTATGTCATTTAAGCATGAAAACGGTTTGCTGACTGGAAGAAAATCTAATACTTCCCTGTGGCAATCTTTGTTTGGATGTAAAATTATGAAAAATCAGCCGTAAAACATCTGACAAGTGGGGTGGTTCTAACCGGTTTCATTCATTGATGTTGTAAGAATATCAGCCCTTGGGTCATTGAAATTGAATTTTGGCCCTTCATACATCACTGTACAGGAGCTGCCACTATGAAGATGCTTTTGCAGTGTACATGGCAGGCAGTCACAATTGCTAATTGTTACATTTCTTGCACTTGGTTATTGCCTGTTTTTTGTTTAAGATTAAGATCGTTGTTCATTTATATCCTTCCTTCAGCATTGGAACCACTGGTTGAACTAGCAGTTCTAGGTCAATTAGGTCTTACACTAGGGGTAAAAAATAAGAAATATGAAAATCTGAATTGAACTTGCCAACTAGGAATCGGCAGAATTAGGACTCGATTTGGAACTTTAGGAACGTATAGAATAAATTTTAGTCCAAATTCAATAATTTTTTAGCTTAAAATTGCCAAATTCATTAAATTGAAACTCTCTGTTGAACCGATAAGGTTTATTATCACCATTACTGTCTACATATACATGCGACATGTTCTAGTGCCAAGCAATAATCTTTTCCTTTTTTATTTTTTTATTATTATTTTTTTGACAAATTATAATTAAGAATGATCACTTTTGACCATTGCCAAGAAGAGCTAGAAAGTAGAAACGCCTTATTTCTTTATGTCTCCCTTCTTCTCGAATTCAACTTCCAAAGGAGATTCTCATATTTAGAACCTTTCGGGGTGATCTGTTTATTATTCTATCGTACTTTCTTCTCTGTTTAACTTAAAAGTCATCGAGATAATTGATAATATTTTCCGTGGGATAACTGCAAGGGTTACCATGGCCATGTAGCCATGTCTACCTTGAAGAGAAGCACCTGCACAGCACAGGAATGGGAGTAGGAAACAAAGTAGGAATGTCAGCATAAATAACCAAACAGCATTGAGAATCCAATTCCTTATGCCTCTCCCTCCTTTTAAGAATTTACCAATGTACCAAATAGAAATTGGCTCCACTAACAATAGCACACCAATCGGAATATACATAAAAAAAAACCACTAGCTGCCAATCTCTGTACGGCTATGGTCTCGCAACAACTAAATTTACAAGCACCGTATGGTGTGGCTGGCCTCTCGGAGATGAGCAAACCTGCAAATTTTTCTATTTTAACAAATCCCCATCAAGGTATAAAAAACCAAAAAGAAGGGTATATGAAATCAGAACAAAGATGTTCCTACATACACTATATCATGTAAATATATCACATAATTCAATCTCAGACTGAACTTAGAATATAGAATTGCCTAAAATAAATATATAATATAAATGTTCTTAAACATACTGGGGGAAAAAATTAATAAAATGAGGTTTCGGAGAGAGAGAGAGAGAGAGTGAGGACATCCTATCTGACAACAGACTGCAACTAGGATTTTACATAAAAGCTGCCACCCTTGTACAACACGGCCCAGTGGCCAAATCCCTCAGTCATTGGTTGCAGTAGAGCTAACATCCGATGCATTATCTTTCAGGTTTTGAGAAGACATATTTCCTCTCATCTTCAAATCTCCAACTTGCTGCTGTTGATCCTGCTGCTGCAATTGTTGCTGCTGAAGCTGATGCAGTTGATGCTGCTGGAACTGATGCTGTTGTTTCTGAGAATGAATTTGAAGCTGTTGAAACTGCTGTGTGGTCAAAAGAGTATGCACTGAATGATTGTTGGGATAGAACTGTTGGCCCCCTCCAAATGAAGAAAAGTTCATCATGGACCCACCACCATTTGCCATAGCTTGACCAGTCAACACTTTCAGATGCTGAATTTCTTCTTTCAGTGCATCGTTTAATGCTATAAGAAAAAGAAAATAACATTATTATGACAAAGCAGAAAGTAGAATACAAATGCAAGGTTAAATAAGACAAACGAGAAGGCATTTAAGCCCTTATCTATGCTGATGATGAGAAACCTAACTAAAATTATAATAATTCCCACAAAGAAATTTGTCATACATCATCTTCATTGTGAACTAAATAAGAACCAGGCAAAGAACACCAAGCCAAACTTGTAGGTTTCTTCCCGCATTCAATAGTTCTAAGCAACTGTCTCCTAGTGAATCGTACATTTAGACCTAAAGTCTAATAAAAGTCAAGTCGATTTCCAGAAGCCTGGTATAAAAACCTCCAAGCATAAGGTGAAAGAATTTTGCGGTTTCATTTCTTATGGTACAGAGCATTGATTGTTAATAAATAGGATATGAGAAAATACATCAAGGAAAAATAATCAACTCTTCAATTTATAGACAGCTATCAATCATTTGAGCAAACATAATTCAGAACAAAAGAAGTCCAGCACACTTGTTATCCGGCATTACAAAAATAAGCAAGCCACAGTTCAATCAAGAAGCTTAGACATTTATTGGTACAGAAACAGCTTTTGCTTGCATGTGTATATATGAGCATGCATCAGAGAGACAGACAGAAAGAGGGAGCTCTCTCTGGTTCTGTTCACAAGAATAGTACTAAGTATGAGCATATGAATTTCTTTATTTCTTGTCTTTGTTGACTTATTTAAGCTTCTGGTGAGCTTATTTGTATTGTGTTATACTCTTGTTTGAATATTCAAAAGAAATTTAGCATTTCATTAAACTGTGATATGGCTTCTAAATTGGGTCTAGTATTTACTTCCACAAAACCAGAAATGAATAAATAAACAAGGGAACAAAATAATAAATAAGCTTTGGTTTCTAGATAATTGTCTTACCATCTTGCAAGTGAACTTGTTGCTCCATCGTCTGCAACCGCAATTTGAGTTCACTATTTTCAGCAGTCAGACCATTTGTATCCCTCTGGCAAGAAAAAACCAAGAAGAAAATGTCACATCATCATACGAGTTATATAAGTTTCTGAATAGTGAATACGAATTCGAAGAGTGCATGATAAACAGGTTACGTAGAATAGAAAATGCATGGTGTGATCATTTCAGAGTATACACCTTTCATTGGAAATAAAAATAAGGACAGAAGGATTGTTAACCTGAAGCAATTTACCTGTAATAGAGTCAATTGAGCAGACAATGATGTTGCCTCTGTTTGCAGTGTCTGCACTTTCCGTTCAAGTTCAGCTATGTATCGCATCTTCCTTTCCTTAGACCTTGCAGCTGATTGTCTATTAGCCCAGATCCTATCATACAGCATGAAAGAATATGAGAAGTCAATTTAGAACATATAACAAGATTACAAACTTAAGGGTGAGATGCAGGGACAGATAGAAGGAAACTCTATTTAAGCAAACAAGGATTAATCCCTATTTAACAAACAAGGGTGAGTCTATTGTTATAGAACATCTATATTACTGGATAGTCCTAACATAAGTCCCTCATATGCCAGCCGTACTTGTCTTCTATGACAAACACAATATGATCAGGGAAAAATTCACCTCCACACTGTATAAACTATTACCAACAAACTAAAAGAAACCCATAATAAACATGTTTCAAAAGAATTCAATTTCTATCAAATGTAGACACAATTTTAACTTCCAAATATCTTCCATCCATACATGATAGTTCTACTATCCTAGTCTGTGGGCACATGCAAGGCACCACCTTCATTGCATTTGTTAAAAAACATTTTTCTTCTGAAAACACGCCCTTAAAAGAACTCAGACCTCAAACAATAATTAATTAAAATACACAACTAAACACATGATACCTTTTCGCACGTTTAGGATCAATAAGAGCAAGTTCAGCAAGCTTTGCAGCAGACATGGCTTTCTTAGAATCAGCTGCTGAAACATCATCCACACCTGACATGAGCATCTCTGGCTTGATAGTGGTTGACCCATCCATGGACTGGCTGTGTTGGTGCCTAACTCTAGGCCTTTCACTAGGCCCAGCACTGACATCTACTGGTGCTTGAGCTGGTGCTGATGTTGGTGCTGCTGGTGTTAGGGCTGATGACTCTCCCAATTGCATGCCCGATGTGGCAGAGGATGCATTAAACTTATCCATATCGAGGTACATTGATAACAAATCTTCCTCAGTCTCATCAGAGAAAGAGGGTCCATCTGCACCACCTACAACTCCAAGATCACTATCAAAGCTAATATCATCAGGGAGAGTGAGGATCTCTGAATGAGCACGACGGTGACCCAAATTCTTAGGTGGATTATCAGGCATCCGGCTAATGTCATGACTAAAGCGGCTAGAATCTGATCCATGACCAAAATGACCAGGGTCCGAACTCGCACCTGGAGCCAGTGGAGGAAATGCAGACGATGATGGCTCCGGTTTCACATTAAAATTACTCCCAGATGGTGAAAAACTAGAGAAACGACCAGATGGAGGTGGTAGACCGCTACAGTGACCTAGGGCTTTATCCTTATCCATCTAGACAAATCTCAAAACCTTGCAGAAAGCTACAACTTAAAAGATTTTGCACATAACAGATAGGGGAAAACCAACAGGTAGTGATACTGAGCAATATACCACCACAAATTCTAACAATCAAAGAGCAAAGGATATCCTAATCTTAGGGCAAAGAAATTATCAGCTCTATAAAATGAGATTCAGTATCTATTCTTCGAAGCTATAATAGGCAACGAATAAAAGAAAAAACGGATAGTTGAAATGACCCTAGAATACAGAAATGATATTTCAAGACAAGAGATTGACCATTGTAATTGAGATACAAAGAAAACAATCAATTAACACAGATCACACAACAAACCCTAGACAAAATGGAGATCTAAGTAAAAAACGAGCTTGAAACATTTAGAAACGAGCGTTTTTCTTAACTTACAAACAAACCCTAGAACTGAGATACAGAGAGAGAGAGAGAGAGAGAGAGAGAGAGAGAGAGTAAAAAACCAAATTAAGCTCCTCGGGATGCGAGAGACAGAAATGTTCCAGCAAAATCAGGGTACCTTTCCTGGAAAATCAGACATGAATTCTCTCTCTCTGTCTTTGTGGTTATATTTGCATACTCTTAGATCTTCCTTTCGAATTATTAAAAATGGCAAACAAACCAAAGTGAGAAGCGCAGAGAATCCTCAGCTTTTACACAGAAATCGAATCCAATTCATCAAATCACATGCTCTCCCTATCACTCGCCACCTTCTTTTATACAAGACATGTATGATTATACTATATATAAATATATATATATCACACAGAGAGAGAGAGGGAGGAAGAAGAAGAAGCTTCTTGGAGATATGGCGCTGCATTTTGTTGTTGTACCCGTTGAAATTAGATGGGCTTACGTGTTCAAAGTACAATATGTGAGAAGCATGGAGTGTATAGGAGTTTGTTGGAGGTTAGTGTACAGGAACAAAAAAGGGATTACGTGCGGATTAGGACACTACAAGGGGGCTAGATATTGCACTTTAACAATATAGGAAAGTAATTAATGACTAATGCATTTTAGATTGCGTCATTTTCAACGGCCGTTTGGTTTACTTGTCTTAGTCTATATTTGGTTTTAAAAAGTAATTTGTCTGAATCATATTTTTCCATATTTTTTAATATTTGAGGTATTTAAAAAAATAAATAATAAAAAACATTTTTTTAATTGGAAGAAAAATTATGTTATTTTAAGGAAAATAATCACATTTTTAAATATTGAAAACTTATTATAAATTTATAAATATATATCTATTAATCTAATAATTATCAATACCATCACTCTTTTTTATTAGTGATAACTATTACCTCCAACCACCACTATTACTGTAACTATGATTTTTTTTCTCACATTATAATAATAAAATTTTTAAATATTAAATTTTTATGGTTCAAAATATTGTTCTGAATTTAAATTTTTTAATATACTTTTTGCTAATTTTTAATATTCTAATCAAATAATAGAAAATGAAGTATTTGAAAAATACTTTTCAAGAAAAATATTAAAATTTTTTTTTTAAATAAGTTATTTTTCAAAAATAAATGAAGCCTGAAAATCTATGTCTTTGGTAAAGATTTTAATCAGTAATGCACATTTCATAGTTTTTTAAAATTATTTTTCCTAAATAATCTTTTTATATAATTCTTTATTTATATAATATATTACAAAGTAGTATATCATTATATATACATGTATATAATTTATGAAAATTTATATATTTATATAAAATAAATAAATAAATAAATAGGAGAAAAATGAAAATAAATAAAAAGAAAAATTTTCAAAATAAGAGGACTCAAATCTTGAAATTTCTAAAATTAGGAAAACATTTTTGGGTTACGTGGCATTGCTTAATTTTTTTATTTTTCCTAAAATTTGTGTTATGTCACAATCTATTGTATAATTTTGACAATTGGCAAATAAATTAAAATGACAAGTAAAAAAAAAAAACTATATTAGTAAGTATAATTTATTTGTCATACTTATATTATTATTATCTCCATTAATTGACTTATTAAGGTCCACATCACGCTTCCATATTAGGATTGACTCGAGAGTTAGAATTATCCTATCGTCATGGTGATTAATAATTTTTTAATATGTTCCTTATTATATCATGTGATATTTATTACTAAAAAAAAATATTTTTTAATATAAATATAAGTTATTTTTCAAAAATAAATTCAACCTAAATTAATATTTCCACGTTAGAATCACATTTGAATTAATTTTTTTCTCATAAAAATGAAAGTATAGCCTAAATGCATAAATTCACTCACGTATTTGAAGTGAAAAAAAATTTTGTAGCATCCTTAATGTTTATTTTGACCAATTACATACTTCTACTTATAAAATTTCACCTTTTGAATATTTTAATTTGTAAAATTATTTTATTAAATATTTCAACTTATAAAATTGTATTTTTTAAAACTTATTAGATAGTTAAAAGTATGAAAATTATTATTTAAAAGTTGTACTAATCACACATCAAATTAGTATTTTGCAGATAAAAATTAAAAAGTAGTAAAAAAAAATTATTATTATTAGTATGAAAAGATATATAATTTTACCAAAATTTGCAACTTCAGGAATACAATAGGTCTTCAGCAAAGTTTAAATTGTTTACAAGATTTTTCTAATAAAGTACAAGAATACATTTATGCATTTGGCTTAAAAAATATGTAAAAAAAAAAAAAAAAAGAAATTTCCAAGCAAGTATATAATAGATAAAAAGTAATTATTTCCAAATAAAAATTAATTTTGTTATCTATTGTATTATAAGATAAAAATTAAACCATGGAAACCATTTAATACCCTTATTGTTAATCAATAATAAAGGTTTATGGATGTATTTTATCATAATTATGGTGAATCCAACCTATTCCCATCTTTGGTTAAAATGTGAATTAATTATATTATCAAAGTCTATTTATGGTATTTGTTTTGCTCATTAAATTGCTAGAAAAAGAAATAACTTGCCATTTAGGGAATGTAAATTCTATAGATTTCACAAAATCCATGTGAAATCTAAGGATTATGAAATTTATAAAATTTTATATTTTGTTATTTGGTTGGAAAAATAAAATCTATAAATTTGAAAAAGATATTTTTTTTTAAATAAATAAAGTGATTTAAAATTCTATCTTTAAATTCTATCTTTAACATAAAAAATAAAAAAAGAAAAAAAGAAAGAAAGAAAAGAAACGATAGAATTGAGAAATCTAACCTCTAATGCGTGATTTTTCTCCCGTCCAAAATAGTTGAATTGATATTATAATAATGAAATTTATAAAATTTCACTTTTACAAAATTAAAAATGGTCTCTTATGCTAATATCTATTCGGTATGTCAAGCATAGATGTCAAAAAAAAAAAAAAAAAATTCACCCCGTTACATTTTGTTTACTTGTTATTCATTTTTTGAATGTTCCAAAATGTTTGCAAGGTTTCTAAATTTATATATGTAAATAATTATTTTTTTTATGATTATTCATTAAACGAAGGACTTTTATTAATATATTAAGTTAAGGGCAAAAAAGAGTAAAAAAATTTTTATTGACTAAATTCCTAATATGCGTGTTTTGTCAAATCCATGCAAACAAAATAGGAAGGAGCAGTAATAGACATTGTCTGCCATACTTTTTATTTCTGGAGGGTCTCTTAACAATGTAAACATTTATTGCTATAAAGAGATTTGCATATTAAATTGTGGTGTGGACTCGGAGAAGAAAAGAAAAAAAAAAATAGGAAGAAGATTCAAAACTAGTGCCTTAGAAAGGAATTTTTAAAATTTAACGTTTATAAACGAACATTCAGCCACGTCATTATTCACACATTTTATTCTATATGAAACATCAACCGCAGTTTACACATTTTATTATATATGACACATCAACTGCAATCTTCATTAGAATTGAAGATGCTATTAATTTTTAAATAAAAAATGTGTTTATTTTATTTATTATGGAAGATCAATATAGAATCCTCACAAGAATTAAAGAAACTTATAGTAAAGTTTATAAATAGCTAATCAATTTTTAAACAATTAAAGTGCATGTGCGTGGAGAAGATGTCTGTTTAGGATAAGAACAGTTGGAGTTGTTAACTTGTAAGAAACTCAAAAACAATTAAAGAAAAAGAATAATAATATAAAAAAGACAATAATGGTAGATTTCAATTATTAGTATTATATTATTTTTCCATTATTTCTAGACTGTTAATTATGTTTTTTTACATTTATATATTTGTATAATAACACTTTCAACTATCCTTTATTCATTTATTATTATTATTTTTTGAGATGGAACAATCCTACATTTACATGTTACAGATAGAAAGTAAAATTCAATAATATAAACTTAAAATGCACTCTTGTTAGTTGTTATGCATGCACATGCATTGACAATTTACTTGTGGTATTATTATTAAATCACCAGAAATTATTGAATACACTGACCCAAAATAAATAATTAAATAATGCTTCTTGTGTTTGTCGAAAAAAAAAAAAAGCTTTCTTGTGCTTATATATTATATATATATATATATATATATATATTATATATAATATAACTCTTAATAACCATTTGCAGAAATTGGAACCTTACAAGTTATATAAATTCTCTTAATATACCATTTGGCAGAATTGAACCTACAAGTCAAAATAAACCAACAACAAATAATACATTTAGAATTGAATTCAATGCTTCTTTATCAAATGCAGTTTGATTGTCTTATTTTTAAAATTTTATTTTCTTTATTTATTTAATAACTATATTATATTTTTTTTTTTCAAAAGCATTAGGGAAGGAGAGATCGAAACATGAGTTTATAATCCAGACGTATATGTACTTATCATTATGCTATATCAAGACCACGAAGAAGTAGTTCATTCACATTTTATTCAGCATGGAATAATTATTATATTTTCATGCAATCCCATGAAGCAAAGTGCTTGCAACTTTTTAAAGAACAGGCAAATGTATCATAAGGTATTCTACAAGAACACATATAAAAAAACAGCAGAATTAAGGTAATTCAATCTCATAGATCACCATCAGAAAATGTAGTCCGGAACCTGGAGGGGGAACCTAGCCACTTCAACTTCAAAGGGAGCTCCTTTCGGATCAACCAACCTAAAAGAAAACCCAAAGGGAAAAGGAAAAGGAAAAGAAAAAGAGACAAGAAGCCAAAAATCCTTCTTTTAGAAAATTAAACTAAAAATAGCTGTCAGGCCAAGAATGAAGTCAGGATTCCTGTTTGTGATGAAGCAATTTTACAATTTCTACCTACATAATTCCTTTCTGAGTAATTGGGGTGCCTGCTCGGCCATTAGGGATGAAATTTCTTTTAGGCTATATTTGGTACAAATGAGATTCGTTAAATTTTGGTACGGACAAAAAAGGTTCATTTCACTGATAAAAACTAAATTTTCTGAAATAAGACACACAATTAAACCAAATTATAGTATTCGTGATTGAATTCCATACTTCAAGTTCAAATTCATGTATTCATTTTAATACCAAGTGCAGGCTAATCTCTCATTCAATAAAACTCTCATATCCTCTCCTAATAAGATTAAACATGAGATTTTGAAGCTGGAGTCCTCTTTTTACGGATCTAGAGCATAAGATTTTGCTCCATGACATGCATCACAAGAAGCAAAATATTTTAGCTAAAAATAATAATAGCCATTATTCAAACAACAAAATATATAGATTAGGATCAATTTATGTGAAGTACCTGTTTGGAACAAATGTGAAAGAACCTTCAATAGAACCTGGAGCATCTGGCAGAGATACGGAACTCTCGTATACAAATTCTTCCTCAGCTGGATGCAAGAGTGGATACTGCAACATATAAGAGAAGAATGAGATTCCATACAGTTACCATGCTTTCATTCATTGTATTTATCACCTTTCATATCAAGAACTGGGAATTAATCCAGTAAAATTATCTTCCACATATTTTTTCCTTTTTCTTTCATAAATAAAAAGGACTGCTCCAGATATAGGAATGAAGAAGTCACTTCTGTTATTTCAGGAACATTATGGGAACTTCCTGGTTGAGACAACAAACGAAATGTGCTAATCTTCATCATTGGCAAAAACTTCAAGAAGATACAGTTACTTGTAGCATCTGCTTGGCTGTATAAGTGCACCTTGGATAGGATGTGGATCAAGCAAAAATATGTTAGCACATACCTTTCTCTATCTTTCCCTTGCCATGGGCAATATTCAGTCCAGCATATAAAAGGAAAAACGATAGAAATATTGAAAGAGAGGACAAAAAAGGTTATGCCATTTAATTCGAACTGAATTGAGCAAGTCCACTTGCAATACTATATATAAGTGATGTTATGACTTGAATTATGTGCTGATCATGTGAGACTGTGTACCGCAAGCAGGAATTTGGAAATGTTGTTGTGCGCCATAAGTTGCAAGTGTAGAGCCAATTGTGACACCAAGAGAGTTGAGACAACTATTTTTATGCGCATCAAGCATTTTATAAAGCGCTAGAAAGTGCACCATTAAGAGAGTAAACAGTTTGGTTTGCGAGTGTTTTGGGTGTTATTAGTGGTTGTACTATTATTGTCAATAGATTATTTTTGCAGAGAGTTGTCGAACCATGTGTCTTTTTTAAAATGCATGTTTTTTTTCAAGCAATTTTCATGAAAGAATTGTACATGGGCAAATAACATAAAAAGACCACAAAAACCAAATCAAGCCAAACAGGAAAAATTTTTTCATGAATATTGATGTGTATGAGTGAAGGGGATCCTTGGCGCAATGGTAGAGTTGTCGTCGTGTGACCTGGAGGATACTGGTTTGAGTCGTGAAACAGCCTCTCATGAAAATACAGGGTAAGGCTAAATACAATAGACCCAAAGTGGTCCGACCCCAGACCCGCGCATAGCGGGAACTTGGTGCCCTGGGCTGCCCTTTTTCTTAATTGATGTTTAAGAGTTTTCTCTGAAAAATCTCTGGTTTTTTTGAAAATAACAAAACTGAAAAACTCCATAATTTCATGGAGAAAGATGCCATTGTTATTTCCAGGTTTTTTTCTTTCTCTTTTTTATTTTTTTTATTTTTTATTTTTAATTAATTTTGATAAAGCCTCAAAGGACCAGAGAAATTCCTGAAAAAGATAAGTCCCATTGAAATCTTTTCAAAGAAGAGACGCTTTACTGACCACATAGGCAGAGTAGCAAGTCATACCTTGCCTATTACGGCCTCTCCAGCCACATCCTCTATAACATTGCCATTAGCACGGATGATCCAGTGCCTCTGTAGCAGCTGGCAAGAGCTGAAGTACATTCCATTTATAATGCATCCTTCTGGCAAGAGGGACAAGCGAATTGAATATGTAAAACAGTATTTCTCAAAACTATCTTGCAGATCAGCTGCCTCAGGTACAAAAATAGCAGAAGCACGGACCTGATAAAAATGTCCATTAGCATTTCACAACCTGATAAGTAGCGGTAATATTAAAGTAATAAAATGCATATACATGAAGCTTGCAATAAAAGTTTTTGGGAAAACCCGTTTTGGAGCTCCTAGACTTGTCATATATTGACTATTAAGCCCCTACATTTTTGTTCCTCCACATTAATCCCTTCAATTTTTAAAATTTTTTCACACCGGGGACCTTTTCATAGTACAGATAAAATTCAGGGAAAATTATAAATTATCTGCAAAAGAAAAGGCTCAAGTTCTAAGAAAAGGGAGGGGGAGAGAACATTTGAATAATCTACAAGGAGGAAAAAAGAAAAAAAAAATAGAGTAGAAAAAGAAAAACCATTAATCCTGAATCAGCTAAGTTTTGCAAGTGAAAAAAGAAAAAAGTAAAAGAAGAATTAATATGATAAAAATGAATCCAAACCCTTGTAGGCCATTAATCCAAACAAGCATACATGAGGGCAAGACCAAATTTCTTTTCTTTTATCATATTTTTGCAAAGGAAAGTGCATTTTCAATGTCGGCTTTCAGAAAGGTCGGTTACAACCCTACTGCATAATGATAAGTAGAAGCTTTCTTGCCAAGTCCTACAAGATGATAACCATCTTTTATATTCCAAATTGGCCGTACTACACCCTGTTATCGTGGACCCTAATGCATGAGAGAAGCATTTTCTTCCTTCTCCAGAATAAGGGGGAAAATATGCTTTGAACGGCAGCATTATATCCATTCCATACAGAACCACTAACCTTTACACCATTGGTGACAGCAGTGGAACAGAGAGGAGGCTCCTCTGGAAATTGACAAATAGTTCTCATATTTCCTTCTTCCCGCAATTTGATAATGCCATCTTGCAATCGACGGCCATGTTCTTCTAACCATAGCAACATTGCATCCTGCTGTTGATCACTATTCAAATCATGCACTGACCTTATCAATGCATCTGGTACACATGGCATCATTTCTCCATCCGTTGGAAGATTCCTGGTACCAACATAGAGTTGGCCAGTTGTACAATTGAGGAAAAACAACTTTTCATTGATTGCAGATGACGAGGCCACAACAATAAGTTTAGTTCTTCTACAACCTCCAGAAGTCCGAAGTTGGCGAGTGACGCGTAGTGTTTGCAAGATTATTTGATGTAATGGTAATAAGTAAACATTAACCAAATGATTATAAAAGGAGTAGCCACCTATTAGACCCAATGTATTTCCAAAAGCACTTTTCGGTGCATCTTTGTCTTTGAAAACTTGACCATCACAAAAGCGGTAGAGGATTCTCGTAGGAAGGGGCAATTTTACTTTCAAAACTAGCTCAAATTGCTGTATTTGAGCTTCTGATGCACCCTGTTGCAGTGTGGCACCAGCTTCAGGAAAATTTGCATTCAACCAATTCTTGAGTCTGTCCCAGCATCTTTTAACTCGTATTACAAGAGGCCAAGGATACATGCCAAAAGCTTCCCGCCATAATCCATAGGCAAACTGCAAACATGCATACACCAGATTATTGAGTGCAGACATACTTTTTATACGATTATTTGATGATGATGCCAATATAGAAGCAAGCTCAACGAGGCAACATTCCGAAGTAAAACTTAGCGTCACTAACGTGAAACCTTCATTTTTTAACATCACAGGCACGGAGAAACAAACACAAATACAAACTAAGCAATCATATCTTCCTCAATTGATTTTCCGTTGATTTCTAAGCAAAGGAAGTTGTTGCTCATTTTATATGAATGATTAACAAAGTTCATTACAGTATTATTCGTTGATAATTAAATAAGAAAATACCTGGGAAAACAAAACTTACAAAAATTGCAAACAAATCATACTTTTGAACTCAACAAAGTTCAACCTAGAATCACCAAGTGGATTAACTAAAAGTAGAGAGTCCCCGATTACTTTTTGTTTATACATGTCAACAAAGAAATCTCCCATGAAAAGAAAAATACACCATCTGGTTAGTTAAGCTCGAGCATACAATGAATTTGCAGAAAGTGCTAGGCATTTTCACACAAGTACCTCACCCTTTTTTGTAGTTTCAGTGACAAAGTTATACGATTTACATGGTGCAAAGGCAACAAAACAACCATATGAATAGGTCGCAATCAAAGGCAATATATAGGATTGAATCTCTGTTTTTTAAGCTCAAAATTTGGAGCTCATTAGTCTTTACACAAATAAAAACACCTAATAGACAAAAATGAAAACCTCACCATTATCTAAAGGAGAAAGCAAAAAACCCACAAAGGAAAGTGACAGATTATTTAATTGAAATTGAAATACCTTGAAAGAGGGAATGTGATTCCCTTGATGATCAAGAGGAGCAGAGAGATCGAGATCCTGAGAACAAAATTTGGACCAGAGAGAATCTTCAGAGGCCGAAGCCTTTAACTGCTTGCTAACACAGGAGACTTTCGCTGTTTCTTTAGGACCCAATATTGATAGGATTTCATTGAGGACTAAATCGCCAACTGATTCCAACACCATCACTCTCTTTCTCCCTCAGTTCTGGGTTCTGCTTGTTCGGTTTTCCGGTCGGTCCTTATCAACGACAGGAAAGAAGTTGATGGCTTTCACTGCGCAGTAAACGAGGATGAAACTTGAAAGTAAACAAAAGTATTATTCTACTAATTTCATAAATATATTAAACAAAAGTATTTTATTTTATAAACAATTACCCCTCAGTTGGAAAATAAGAAAAATTATAGTTTCCTCTAAGAAAAAAATTGTCTTCGACCTCAAAAAAAAAAAAAAAAAAATTTTTGTCCACTTCGACCTCAAAAAAAAAAAAAAAAAAACAATGTGTCTTATTATTAAAAATCAAAATAATTTATTTAAAAAAAATAATTATTTGCACAAAATACTAAAATTAATATTAGTCAAACAAAAAAAAAAGAAGAAGCGGACGATGTTAGATACTTTTATTTAAAAATAATATTGACGAAAAATATAAATATTTTTATAATTTTTTGTTTGATTTGGTGAGAAAATAAGTTAATAACACTTTTATGTATATGTTATTATGTTATGTTTATTAATATTTTTTCTTTTTGAGGGGATATTTAATAATAGTTTTTGACTCAATTAGAAATTGTAATGAAATAATCCTGAAAATATCAAGAGTGGTACCATAGCTAATGGCAAATTAGTGAACACAAATTATATCAATTACCATTTTATAATACAAAAAAAAAAAAAAAAAAAAAAAAAAAAAAAAAAAAAAAAAAAAATCTGTGGACAAAGAATGTATTAATACATTTTTAGTCGGATCATAAATTATATAAATTGGAGTTCTTCAGTTGTTTAGTTACATTGAAAAATTCAAGAACATGAAACCATTGATCCCATCTCTTAAGCTTATGAACAGCAATAGTTTCTGGTACAAGTTCATGCGAGCACTTTCCATTACTCCCTGGATAATCATACATTGAAGGCTTATTAGAAACTCTATTCTTACCCTTATTTCCCATTTTCAACCATTTCCCAACCACCTTATCCTCTGGCCCTTCAATTTCATTTGCAGCAATATCAGAATTCCCAATCCATTCAACAATATCCCAAGACAGCAAAAACCCCATTCCTGACATGTAACCCTCATATGGGTTTTTGCTCTCGCAAGGAATAACATAGCCATAGTACAAATCCTGCCTTGGAAGCGGCTTAAGTGACAAAGACAATGGCTTTAGCCTAATGAACACATCATCGTCGGCCTTCATTATATAGTCATAATGCTTTGGAAGAATACGTGGAAGTGAAGAAAAGTAAGTGTAGGTTTTTCCATTGTTCATGTTTTCTATGCAATTGAGAATTATAATATCGTTGAAACGAAGAATTTCTAAAGAGATGAGTACCTTTTGATCATATTTTGTGAGACTGCAAAATACGAATTTTATATCTATGTCTGCAATAGGAGATTCTTGGATTCCATAAATAAGGCGGAGGAAGTGACGGCGATCATGTTTGTCTGGGTGGGTTAAGACTCCGAGTAGTATGCTAAATTTGGTTTGATCGTCAGGTGTTTGATTTAATGCCTCAATGGAGTTGTTAGATGAAGTAAAAGATTTTATTCCAAGAGCAAACAATATGTAGATAAAGAAAATGAGAGAAAAGGTAAGTGAGGGTAATGCAATTTGTTTCAATCTCTTTGTTTGTTTCATTATGCAGGTTAATTTGGCTAAGAATGGGAAATATATATATATATATATATATATGTATGTATGTAGAGAAGATGTGGGTGGTGAAATTCATGTTCTTGATAGGAGGAAACAATTGCTCTTGACATGGTCATGTTTTTTACATGCGAGGAGAGTGTTGTTGAGAGCTATTACTCGTGCCTGCCTGCTCCTTTGGTAAAGTCACTAATCATTTTTGTGTGTTGTGTGCATATGTGAGGGCTTCGTATGACAAGATTGAAAGTAACAAGAAAATTGAAAAGAAACTATGATAAATAATTATTATGATACAACTTCTCATGTTAATGTATTTAATTAATTCTAATAAAATCATTTTTACATTATTGTTTTATCATTTTTCTCATTTGACACTCACTTCTAAAGATGTATTAATAAGGTATTGATTGAAATGATTCACAATCTCAATATCCTGTAAAGTTGGGAATACAAGTTCCATTTCAAAAATGCACTTGAAGGGATAAAAACCTTAATACTCTATAAACCGAGAGTGATTAAACTTGCTGATTATACCAAAGAAAAGAAAAAAAGAGAAATTATAAGTTCTGTAAAAACTCAAAGGGCATGGCATAGTCTGGCATTTTGAAGTTCTATAAATTAGTTGCGCGAAATATTGCACGCAAAAATGAAACTTGATCAAAAGGATTACTAACAAAGGAAGTAAAAGAAAAAAAAAGGAAAAAAAAAAAAAAAAAAATAGAAAAAACAGGGCACCCATCTTGAGTCTCTAACCTAAAGAAACAATTTTTACAAAGAATACAAGTCAAAAAAAAGAAACCATTAGGCATCTTTGCAAATATCTATCACACTTGCAGATTCTTCATTGACCAATAAAAGCTTGCAGCATGAGAATTGGCGCTTTGCTTTCGGGACAGACAATAAATATAGCCCAACTACCTACAAATGGGAGAGATCAATTAAAACCAACCACTTATGTTGTTTTAATTTGCAGTTTTAGATATTATAAAAATAAAAAAAAATAAAATAAACGCACAATGAAATTAAAACATCTCTCTCTTAAAAATTTTATATTACAAAAAGAAAATAATCATAGTTGCTACTGTTACCACGATCGATTTTGATAGGAACTATAGAATGCCACGACTTGATTTAGCTGTAACCTCAATTTGTTTCCAAGAATATGTGGCTAACCAATGAGGATACTTGATTTGGATGACAAGCCAAACAATAATGCGGAGAATATATTTCATTTGTACAAAGAAAACCCAATTTACCAAATTACCCTCAATAAACGAGATCTTGTGCTATTGCTTGTACGTTAACACATCTTACTAAATTATCCTTAATCAGATTTCATTTGTTTCCAAAAACTTACCTTCCTTTGAAAAATCTAACATTTTCTCTTATTTGACTTGCTATAACAAGTCAATTAAAAATATAAAAAATTTTAATTATACAATGACAGATTTTTATATATTAATATAACCAAGAGGTGTATTCCTCGCGAGACTGTAAAGCGCAAAGATTTTTTACCCTTCGAACAAATCGTTTCCTGATAATTGAATTTATATTCACATCCTTGCAGAAATTAAGATCATTTACTACCCCCCAACCAATGCATTGTCACCTGTGACTGATGCTAATTAACATTGATTGATAAACATTCGCAAAGTCAGATGCAATTGTCGAGCCGGTTGGCATTTGGGCAAAAGCACAGTACCAAAATGTCACCTTCGCTTCTCAAGCCTATCAGATTCTTACAAAGCCTAGACTGAAATTGGGTTTTTATATGTTTTATCTCTCATTGAAGAACACTCTTAAGACCTCAATATATTCTCGAATAATCTGAGAACCTCAAATATAATTAATAGCACGCTCCCTCAAGGACCTATATATAAAAAAATGTCTCCATATCACGGGTATTTGCAGATTACTTGTCCATGTTTATTAGGGTGCTAAAAGTGGTGACTTCAGGAGACGCTTCTTCCATTGATTTTCTGGTGTGTCAATATTAGTAAGAAATTCTCCAACTAACCCAAGTACCTGTAGTAGGGATGGGTCAACCTGCTTACTGCTCGTGCAATATTGAAAAAGAGGGCCGATAAGCATGCGATTAAGGTTAATTCATTTGCCTGCTATGTACTTAGTATCCTTAACCTAGAGCATGAAGAGGAAGTCCAAGGTAATTTATATGCAATGCTAGCAAGTCTACACAGATTGTAGCAGCATATCTGACGTTTTATGTTCAAAGTTATAAGGAGTGGCACACGCAGATTCAGCCGCTTAATTTTCGCAGTTTGTTCATCTTCTACAACGCGTCGCGTATTTCCAATATTGTTTAGAACTTGGTAACTCGAGGTTGATTTGGAATTACCTACTAACGAGTAAAAAACTGATGTTTTGAGTATATGACCAGGATGGAGACAACTAAATCACATCAGTTAGTTACTATGGGCAAAGAGGCATAAATGACTAGTTAACGACGAACATTATCTACAAGTATTTAGCTTCTATCACTTTCGTTATTTCTTGGGCTTGAATTATTTAGATTCTCGATTTCGGGGGTCTTTTAAATAAGATGTAAAGCTTTAATAGTCTCAGTATGGTATTCCAAATTTATGTAAAGCATGCTCTTACAAATTAGAAGTATACCATACGTTTACAACTAAAGAAGTTAAAACAGGGAAAAATCTCCAAAGATCACTCAAAAAAATTAAGAAAAAAAAAAAAAAAAAAAAAAAAAAAAAAAAAAAGCAAAGTGCAAACAATAAGTATTAAAGCAGAGATATTTGACCAATTGAACAATGCATATTGACAAGAACATGCATTTATAAATAAATGAAGCACATAGATAAGCAATCCATGAATGATATTCACAAGTACAGAACATGTAAACCTCATGAGTTAAGTAGAATGAGAACTGGACACGCAAAGAGAACAGATAAGAGATTTTCCATATTACGTGCGTGGAACCTTAGGCATATCATATAAAAAGATGTTGAGATTCAATCACCAACACAAAATACAGTACAAAAACCTTGCAACAATATCACACAACAAAAAAAGCAAGAAAGCACAAAGAGCACACACATGAAAATCTGTCCCAATTCAGAAAAGCGTGCAAATACCCAAAATTAACAGGTCCAAGGTCAACACTTATTGAGCAAACAGAAACATATTCCAAGTCCAATTTTAGCATGATTAACATTATAACGAGATTTTTAAAAAAATTATAATAAAATATCCAATGAACATCAATGCATGAATTTCACCTAGATGGGGAAAAGATTTTGCAAAGCTAAGGACCAAAAGATTCAACTTAAAACATCTTTCCATTCCTAAGCTATAACACTGTTGATATCCAACAACTCCAATAGTCAAACTGCAGTGTGTATAGCCAGCAGTTTCCTTCAGAAAATCACTTCCATATAATAGAACTGAATCACTTATCACATTACCAAACATGACACCAATTAAGCCTCTCACAAATTCTACTAAGTCATCTCCTGTTGAGCACCTTACAAGAACAACAATTCGACATTTCTAAACGACATTAATGGTACTATCTTTCACATTCAATGTTGGTACTCAAAAATAATGTCCAAGTATATCCATTACGAACCTACATAGAACCTTGGCTTTTCTCTCTATATCAATACAAAAGTCTAATCAAACTATGATCTATTTCCACAGGGGTTTCCAATATGCACGTGGAACGAAAAAGAATCAGCTAAAATAAAGTTCATTTTCCTTGGTAAAACTAAAAATATATATTGAACTACACGTGGGAAACAAGATTATGAATAAAATAGAAAAAATGATATCAACCACCAAGCAAACAAACAAAATTTAGCATTAAGAAAAATCAATCAAATAGTCATGGTAAGTTGAGAGTAATTACCTATGTAAAAAAGGAATCTCATTGTTGATTTCCGGATCCTCGAACTGCTGGACTACCTGTTTGCTGCTGTTGTTGCTGTATCTGAAGGAGGAGGTTTGCTGCAAACTGTAATGTCGACTGGTACCGCTGATTCTTGTCAACCTCATCCTCCGACGTGGCTTGACCGGCTCCAGAGAGTGCATTTTGGAACTGAGGCACCTGATTAGAAATCTCCCAATTCACTTTGTCAGCAGATAAAGACAAACCAGGTTGTGCCTGGGAATAATTACCACCCTGAGCCTGACCAGAGAAGGCAACAGGATTATTTGATTGTTGAATAACTGGTGGACTATATGAACTTGGAACATCTGTTCCATGCACCATCCCACCATAACTCTTCTGATGTGGAACATCAAGCTGATACGGCTGGTTGACTTGTGGAGACAATGCAACTTGTCCACTTTGGGAAGGTATGGCAACACCAGTCAAAGGCCTAGATGGAATTCCGCCCTGATGTTGTAGGTTGACAGAGGAATCCTGCATTTGGGTGTTGCCAGGGACCATATTTGCTGAATGGTTAGGTCCATTGGATAGAGATGGGTAATGCTGAAACTGAGAGTGAACTTGTTCCTGAGGATTGTACTGGTTCCCAAATTGTAAATGATTTGGGTTTCCAGAAACCTGATTATCATGCTTCCATCCATTTGTGGAAGTTCTTTTATCAGCTGCAATTGATGAGAATGGAGGCCTAACAACTGAGGAGCCTATTACTGGTTGACTGCCTTCTAGAACAGTTGACTGTGCATTTGCAGGCAACAGAGATGCAAGTGTGGCAATAAGCTCAGGTGTCAATGAAACTCCTGCTTGAGAAACGGCTGCAGTGTTACTCGAAGCATAGTCTTGAGGGACTGACGGCTCTGGTATAGAGTCAGTTGTCGGTGGATAATATGATTTTGATGTAGGCTTTGATTCTTCATGCAACATCCTGTTATAATCCGTTGGCATATTATGTTCCTCCTTCCTAGCAATTTGATTATAGTCAGCATCTGATGGAGGAAGCTGATGTCTATCAGTGAATGGAGGAAAATGGCTGGGCTGACGTAACTGGGCCAGCACTGATGCACTACTGGGAACTTGCTGTGGCAACTTGAGAACTACACCGTAGAGTCGTTCAGGTCCCACAACTTTCAACACATTGGTTAAGAAATCTGATGGAGGCACCAAAAACAGTGTTGTTCCATCATCAAACTTGGCAACGCCAGCACGGTTTTTTGAACCCAAGTAGCGAAGGAACTCAGTATAGGAAGCAAAATCATCTTCACTGTCTGGCAAGAAGAAGACAATGTCAAATCCAACGGCTTCAGCATAGTGTTTTGCAAGCATATCCAGTCCTGTTCTGGCTGAGCAATTAACAACTTCAGGACTGCAAAATAAGAATCTCCCACATTAGGGTAAAAGGAAATGATTTGTTTTAAGTGCTATCAACAATATTACAAAGACAAAGGTGATATACCAGTGAAAAAGAATCCATTATTAGCTGACATTTAAATAATTCAAAAAGTTAGCCTATATATTCTTATGGACTTAGGAAATAAATAAGAGGATTAGATAAATGTATTTCTATGACCCAAAAAAATAAAAACCAGCAAATTCAATGCATGAAACAGGGTGTTAAATGTGCTTTTTTGGAAACCATCCAGGTAGAGAGTGATAAAAAGTTCTACAGAAAATTTCACCCCAACTTATCACATTCTTAGCTCTTACAAGGAGAAAAGGAAATCTAGAATATTAAACAAAAAGATGGGTATAACATGTACACCTATCATTAAGCGAGATGAAATCCAGCATCACAAATACTTGTCACATGTAAATGTAAATTGTATACAAGAAGAGTCATACTCACAGTTCTGACTCAATCCCTTTATCTATAGGGACACAACGAGCATGGCAAACTGGTGTTCCACCCTTAGCAATAAGGCCACGCCATATAAAATCATTGTCAAGACGCCGCTGATGTAATCCTATTGCGCTCCTTGCACCAACTGGACTAAGACTACGCTTCCCATGAACATTTAAAAGTGAACCTGAGACACCTGCATCAGTGTCCAGACCAAGCCTATATGTTTTGTCCAAAACAAGCCCACGATCATCAATCTTTCGCGAGGGAAAAGAATCGTCTTCAATGGATGATGGTGCATCAATTCTTGACCGTTTTGCTTCCCTCTGATACTGATTGGGGTCAAGCACATCCCATCCAGTAGACACTGACCTCATTGGTGGCCTAATCCTTGAAGTTGGAGAAGGGAGGATACCAGATGCAGGAGGAGATGGCCTACTCCAGCTTGGCCCCATTTGAATGTTGGAATTCCCATCTCGGAGATTATGCAAAGGAGCCAAATCATTAAATTCTGCAACAGAGAGCACAGGGTCAAAACCACCTTGAAGACCAAAAGGCCTCAACTGTAAGTTTGGTCTATGAACGCTGCTAGGTGGCAATGATCCAGGAAAAGAATGCACTCCAATAGGACGATGATGATCTGACATTTCCAACTGACTAGATGCAAAAACACGTTCATTAAAAATCTCTGGCCTTGACCCTTTAACTCCTGCGTGAAAACTGGGGTACTCTTTACCAGGACCAAGCTCACTGCTTGAATACATAATTGTTATACGAGGATCATTGAAAAGCCGCCCTTGCAAACCTTCTTTAGCACGCCGAGCTTCATCCACACTCCTAAATTCTACAAATGAATAGTGCCTTGACGGAAAGCTCTTAATTCTCTCAATCTCGCCAAAAAGAATCATTGCATTATGAAGCATTTGTTCATCAATCTGTAGAGAGGGAGGATACCCTATCCACAATATATTACTGGGTAAGCCTTCCCTTCGGCCTGCTGAAGGCTGAGAATGTTGAAAAAAAAGGTTTAAAATCTTCAAATATAAATTAGTGGGATAAAGACTATAATTTGATTGATTGGGAACAAGACAATTTAAGCACTAGTGCACTACCAGCCAAGTAAAATTTTGTAAAAAGATCGACATGTAGAGTCCAAAATATTTAGTACAAAACTACTTTATCAGATTTGCGTTTGGTACTTTCTGTCTGAGATCATATGTGCCAAAAGTTGTGGGATTGGTAAGAAGTGACACAACAAACTAACCAATTATAATATCGAATGCAATCATGGGAAGATGGACGATTAGACTATAGAACTGACAGTTTTGCAATTAATAGTATAGCCGAAGTTATTCAGAATCATTTACCTGAGCTCGTCTTATTCCAGAATGTGTAATTGGAAACTGACTCTCCTTTGAATCACGAAAATCAGGCAACTGTTCCTGTTGAGTGGGAAAGAAAATGTGTGACCTAAGCTTATCCAATCAAATAGAAAGTAAATACAATTGAGGTAGAAATTAATCCCTCCGACAAAGCAGACAAACTATGAGTTCTACTGATGGATATTCCTTGAGTGGGAATATATTAAGGACACAAAGTCATAAAACAATTCCAAACATCTAAATCACACAAAATGAAGATCCATGAGATACGCTCAATAAAAGTGTCATCAAAACATTTTCTTGGAAAACAAATTGACCAGAAAAACACGCAATCGGCAAGCCCTCATTTGAAACTTGATCACCTACTACTAACTATCTATTTTGCTTACTAACTATAAGAAGATTATTCAGATCCCATATTGCCCACATTTATACTTCCAAAAACTGCTGCGCATATTCTCAAGAAATAACTTACTCTTCTTACAGCTTGTGATCGAAGAAAATCTACACGTATCTGGTCACCACCAATTCGCTTTCCATTCATGTTTCTCATAGCTTCTAAAGCATCTTCTAGTTTGAAAAACTCGACAAATGCAGTATTCCGGTCCCTAAGAAATTTAAATTCCTCTATTTTACCAAACTTAAGAAACTCTTCTTCCAACTGTTCTTTGGAAACTGCTGGGCTGATTCCACCCACCCAGAGATTCTTGCTGGGTTTGGCCTGAAAGCAAAATTGATTAATAAGACAAACAATATTGCAAATGTTTATATGCATAATTCGAAAGTCAACTAAAAAACCATTTTAGCAATATAAACATTGTATTCTAAATTGAGTTATACGACTAAACAAGAAGGGAAACAGATGATGTATAATTCAAGCCACTCAAGAAAAGGAAGAAAATTGGAAGTACATGAATACAAACATGCGTAGTGCTGATTAAGGAGAGAGGGAGAAAGTATTTACATTCACCACCTCTGTTAATTGAACTTTTCACTTAACCTCAGAATACCCATGCCAAAAACGTGTAGAACACTGAGACATAGTATGATCCTGAAATATAAGGAAAAATTGGGGTTGGGGGACGACCCATATTGGAAGGTGAGTAAAGGTGTGGCACCTGTATGCATCGAGTAAAAAGGAAACAAGATTCTGCAGGTCTCTCATAGATAAAATTATGGTGGTCCACAAAGGAAACGCCAACGATTTTTGGATCAAATGACCACTACCTTGTAAAAATAAGGAATAGAAAAAATAAAAAGTGCAAATCATATGGATTCACAGCTATGTTGAGGAAGCAAAGCCAATTCGGGTAGGTCTTCATATCTAAAATACTACCAAACCCTTTGCATGGGCTCGCCGTGCACTTGTATGGTCCAGAGAGGCTTACTTGTCTTATAGTTTAGTGCTTTATCCGTTTTTGGTTTCATTAGGAAATGAAATCCATGCAAAGAGCTTGGTCACAAATTATCATTGTCAAGAGTCACTACAAAAGGACAAATAAATTCTAGAAAACCTATCCCTTTGTTATGATGAATCACAATTCAAAAAATAAAACCAAAGCAAGCCAAGTTTACAATAAACTTTGATGAGAAAACCCTTTCCAGTAAAAAAAAAAAAAAATGATACTGGAGTTGACAAAAGTTATTCTAGTGGATTCAGCAAAGATATTAGTGCTGTCAAACAAATAAATTCTTCTTATTCTTTTTTTTTTTTTTTTTTTTTTTTCAGCCAAGATATTTAGTGCTGTCAACAAATAAATTCTTCTTATTCTTTTTTTTTTTTTTTTTTTTTTTTTTTTTTTTTCCATTTCTTCAGAAGATTTAAAGGGAGGGAGGGAGGGAGGGAGGGAGGGGAAGGGAGGAAGCTACAGTAAAACAATATCTGTGAAAAGGGAAAAATTCTAGAATAAAGCAATTGAAGCAATGTATCATAACAGAAACTACCTACTCTATGAATCTTTCTCATGAGCTTTAGCTTGTGATGAATGAAAGGCTTGATAGTTTACAGCAGAAATAATGATAACGACTAGTCCGAAGAAAATACAATACAGTGATAATACAAAAGGGTGCTGCTGTTTATATGAAAGTAGTCCTACATTTTACTTTTGATGGCCAAAATGGAGTTGTAATTTAAATATTGGAAATAGCATTGAAATACTAGATGGTTAGTTACATTAGATGTTCAGAAAATGTGAGTTCAATCAGAGGCCATTTGTTATGCCTACCTAAAAGATCATTGATTTGCTTGTATTCTATCTCAGTATTCATTTAATTAAAAATTGCAACATTTCATATATCATTTTGCTTAAAGTGAAAACATTATATTTGAGCTTAAGATCAAAACGAGCTCCTTTCTTTCTGCATTGTTCTTTTTGGCTGGAATATACAGATCCCCTAAGGTGGACTAAGCCAGGTGAACCGCATTACTTAGTACCAATAAAACCTATGATTATATCCGACCAATTAAAGATATACATACTGCAAATTGCATTGACAGCTTTACTAATCACTTTTCTTCACTGTACCATCAAACAAAATTACATCAAGCACATGATTATGCTTCCAACGACAATTCAAGATAAAAGGTGTCTATTGAAGGGAAGCGTACCTTGTTTTTAATTATTTGTTTTCCTATGGCTTTTATGCATATGAGGAAAGGTCGATTACATAATTGCTAATCTAGCGACTAAAATATGTAGGATGTTAAGCTCCCCTGACAGCACACATGACAAGTTCTATATATAATCAAAATTCGTTCGTACTGTATGGTATAATTCATGCTTACTTATCAGGCATCTAAGCAATATGAAGGAAACTTAACCGCCCTCCTGAATATTTTAAATCAATGATATTGGAATACGTTGTATTATCCGACTTTTGGCAGCAGTTGCTTCTTGAATTTTAATTAAAGTTAACAATTGCTTCTGGGAAATGAATCATTTCATAGGCGGATAAATGTACTCATCAGATATAAATTGATTTAACTCCTGGGACTTTTATTTTCCAAACCCAAATGGGAAGCTTAGAAATTTCTCAAAATACAGTTCTAATTTACGATTTTGAATTTGAACCCAGAATCGACAGTAAGGACGGGCGAATCAGTCATTAATCTTGATTGATTAATGAGTTGATTTTGAATAATCCGAATTTTTGTTGGTTCGAACGCACGCCAAATGGATTTGATTTGAGATTTCGGATGGCAAATTAAAATCACTCGCAATTTTATTCTATTCCTCATAATTCCAAAGAAATTTTGAGTAGTTTTGGGAACGAAAGAATAAAAAAAAAAAAAAATTCAGACAAAAAAATCTTTGCCATTCTAAAACCACCATTCATCATTACACAAATTAACCACGAATTCCGAAATCGAATAATAACAATAATAATTATATCAAATAACAGTGACTTTAATCGACAAAAACAACTATTAAAACTAATTAAACCTAACGAGACACAAAGATGAGAACAACAAACCGGTCTCGCAAACTCGATTTTCAACGGACTGCCACGCAACACCGCTCCTTGAAGCGCATCCTTAGCCGCCGCAGCATCCTCCACGCGCTTGAAGTACAAGAAAGCGTAGCTCCTGGAAGAATACGTATTAACGCTATCAAGAGCACCGTATTTCGCAAAAAGATCCATAAGATCTGCATCCGTTACATCTGCGGCTAAATTACCCACCCATAGGTTGTTCGATGGAGGATCCGATTCGTCGTGACCTACCTTGCTTGATTTAATTGGAGGCGCCATTGAAAGAAATCGATAGAGAATTAGGGTTGGTTTATTTTGGGAATTAAAGAGGGATTTTGCTACAAAGGAAAATTGAATTGAAAAAGAGAAACTGAGAAAGGGTAAAGAAAGAAAGCTACGACGGGAGGCTGCAATGTATATCTGCTTTTATATATGAGGGGATGGAGGGATTGACGGTTGTGTTAGATAAGGCGTGTTAAAACGGCATGTCGTATTCGTGGATTTATTGGGCCGGATTGGTGATTTGCTGTTGTTATTATTATTATTAGAATAAAATGACTTTATGAATAATTCAATTCAAAACATCAAACAGAAAAATAAATAGAATTGACGAGTGAATTTCAAACATTGGAAAAAGCATTTAAATAAGTCATTCTAGTAAACTATGAACGGTATTATTCACTTGTCCACTAACTCATGCAAAAATAAAAAATAAAAAATAAAAAAAAAGCAATATCTCACCTTATTTTAACTTTACATATTTTTGTAATTCCACCTCATTTTTATTATTTTTTTTATCAATTTTACCATAATTTTGACTTTTTTTTTAATAATAACACTCTTATTGCAATTAAAGATGAATTTGCAAATAAAAATAAAAATCTAGTTAGTTTAAAGTTAATACTATTTAACTAAATAAAAAAAATATATTGTCATAATAAGTTTTAAAAATTTTAATTCAACTGTTCATGACAGCGAATAGCTGGTAATTGTAACTTGCAGCTGCAACCGACGAGAGAGTTAAGAAGAAAGATTAGTAAAAAGCTTTTTATTGATTTATTTGAGTTGGTTTGATTTCATCATTTTGATTGGTTTTTTAATACCCTTTAAATATTGTTTTCAGAAATCATTAAACTTCTAATAACTCCTTGCAAAAATAATAATAACAACAATAATAGGAAAAAAAAAAAAAAAAAAAAGAAAAGGAAACTTTAAATATTGTTTTTCAAAAGAAATCATTAACTTCTAAATAACTCCTTGCAAAAATAAATAATAACAACAATAATGGAAAAAAAAAAAAAAGAGAAAAAAAAAAAAAAAAAAAAGAAAAGGAAAGAATTTCTAATCTCTCTGCCAGACAGCAGATTCCAGAAATATTTTTGCACTCTTCCTTGAGTCTTATTTCTCCTTAAAATCCAGAAAAGGATTTCTTTCCTTGTCATTCTTTCTTTCATTTTTCTCACTCTAAAAACGAAAAATCTGACATAAAATGAATCATACAAGGTGAAAACCTATGCTGTAAGATTAGTGAAAAGTGAGGTGAAAATCATTTTCAAGTAGCTTAACCAACAATGGCAGAAGGAAACTATAAAATCGCACCAGTTCAAAATCAGAACCATGAAAGAGTTGTATCCTAAGGCGACCTATTTCTGATTATATTTCAACATTTTGGCTAAGACACTTCACTCTGTTACATATTTACCACCTAAACCTGTACTTTCAGAAATTAGTAACCAATGTTACAGCAAAAAACAAAATGAAAAAGTAAGGCAGAAACTTGTGTGACGCTAACATACCCCATCTCTTTCTTTTGCTGGGGGTCTCTCTCTGTAATTTTTCGTTTTCGAGAAGCCTAAACGAGCTAGCCGATCATTTGTAAAGTGTCATAATCCTTTATTCACAGCCATGGGTCCATTCTGTTTGTGCAGCATCCCTTTGTTCTGTAGAAACAATGCAACTGGAGCAGGAAGATTCCTCATCAATAATCTCTGTTTTCCTTTTATTCTGTCAACCACAATCTCTACTAATCCATCAATTTCTGATTCATACTGCTCATAAACAAAGAATGCCGTAAAGGCAAAGACCAGAGCTGCATTTGATTCCAAGAAGATCAAACCGAAGAACAATAAATTGATAATAGATAAATTTGATATTGTACAAAAAATTTTTGCTTACCTACACCTACCAACACTGTCAAAGATTGCAACAGAATCAACTTGAGAAAATAGAGAGAGAATGCAACCTGTAATGATTATCAGAATAATTTAATAAGAGATTCCATGAGAAAAGTCGTCATACATGAAACTCCAATCCTATACAATTTTTACACAACTCTCATGTGAGCTTATGATCAAAATCCACAAAGAAATCATTTCATTTGCAAGGCAAATTAACGTAGTGTTCAGAATAAAATCCACATGTTCAAAATAAATCCACAAAGAAATCATTTCATTTGCAAGGCAAATTAACGTAGTGTTCAGAATAAAATCCACATGTTCAAAATAAATCCACAAAGAAATCATTTCATTTGCAAGGCAAATTAACGTAGTGTTCAGAATAAAATCCACATGTTCAAAATAAATCCACAAAGAAATCATTTCATTTGCAAATGAATTTCATTAAAAAAAATATTTCTAAATGAATTTTCGTTTTTAGGTCAACATAAAGTTCATTCTAGTTTTGTAACTTTACTATTAAGTAGTTAGAATTCATTAGTTTTAGTAGCTTGAATTCCTTTGAAGTTTAGAATTTGTTTTCCATCTCTGTTAATTTGGTTGGATCTGGTCAACCAGTTCCAGAGAATTAATAATTTCGAAATCCAAATGAAATTCTATTTATATGAAATGTGAAAATTTGGATTCATAAATGAATTCAATAAAATTTTAGAAAAGTTGTCTTTACCAAACAAGTTTTTAGCATTAAAAAGAAAAAAAGTTCACTAGTGACAAGAAGTTCCTATGCATGTTATATAGGTTAAAGAACATATTTTTACAATGAAACTGTCCAATATACTAAAAAACAGGAGAGCTACATAGCCATATTTGGTTTAATCAAAAGAGTAAAAATAAAGCAAAAAGTTACTTCAGTGGAAGGTCACTTTACTATTCCCACTTGTAATTCCTAGATCAAGTGATTACTAGAATTTAATGGTTAGAGAAATAATAAATGCTCGAGCCATCTAGGTTCATGCATGAGCATACAAGCAATTGAAGGGCAAGGAATTAAGAAAATCAGTGAACTCAATACTGTAAAAGAATTATTTATTGTCACAATCCGTACCTTGATGAAGTTATTCCAATCCTCTCCTTGAGCCAATAATCTTATCCTCTTAACCCCTCTATTCCACAGATATGCTATGGATGTGATTGAATCTTTTACCACTGCTTCTGAAATTTCAAACCAAGACAAGGATATCCTCTGAATGGCAAAACTGGATCTGTTGCAATCAGCAAACATCATGTAAATTTCAACGCTATGAATTACTGAGAAAAGAGTGAGATTTCAACATGATAGTCTAGGCAGCAACTTAAAAGGACTTAACACATCATGCACATGATCATCAACACCAAATGAAAAACAAATATTCAAGGCATCTTAATGGCTACCCTGTTTCTATTGCACTATTTTCTTCAATTTTTTAAGGAAAAAAATGAACTAGGTCCACTTTTCTGGTTTTAAAAGAGCAAAGAAAAAAGAAAGAAAGAAAGAAAGTGTGTGTAAGACAATAAGTTTCATCTTTCAAAACATTCTTCCGAAATAACACTCTTCAAAAAAAAAAAAAATTCCAATAATAATCTCCAGATTGGAAAATATATATATGGAAATGTATATTTCTCATTCTATTCTTGGTTCAATGGAAAAAAGTTTTTAAACACAGATAAAAAGCACCATGAGGGTACAATTTTTTTGCCTTCTTTACCCCTTATAATAATCATTCTGTTATAAAATACAAATTCAATTTTTAACACAAGCTTCAACTACCTTTTTTGCCTTCTTACCCGTTATGCAATCATTCTGTTATAAAATACAAATTCAATTTTTAACACAAGCTTCAACTACCTTTTTTGCCTTCTTACCCGTTATGCAATCATTCTGTTATAAAATACAAATTCAATTTTTAACACAAGCTTCAACTACACAAGCTTCAACTAATTCTTCATACTTCTTTTTTTCATAATACGATTAAAAAATATCTAATCTATGTTGCATGGAAACAGAAACGTAGAGGTGCAGAAACAGACATGGAGAAATGGTATTTTTAAAAATATAGGAAACGGAAATGTCCGAGAAACACTAAATATAAAAATAATATGGTTATATTTATAAATATAAAAAAATAAATTATTATAAACCATTAAATATATTCGACAACAAGCAAAGTCCAATCAACATTTACTCACATCCAAAAAGTTACAAGTTTAATACTCACAAAAAATACATGTTTTATGAATTTATAATTATGTATTTATTTTAATTAGAGAAATGAGTTTATGAGAGTTTCTAGTTTACGGAAATGTATTTCCGAGAGGGGAAACATGTTTCCAAATTGTCCTATTTACAGAAACAGCCCTGAAATGTTTCCCAGGAGTTTCTGAACGTTTCCATCTAGGAAACATTTTCGAAACATGGAAACAACAGCCAAAGAAAGTTCACAGTACTAATTCACATTAATGCTAAATGCTTCTGCCTTAACCTTTCTTACCAGACTGATAGCTAAAAGTTTTGGACTTAAAACCAAAAATTATAGTTTCTTTGGATGCCTTTTGTCTTACAAAGATATTTCACATGTTATTGAATTGTTGATTGTATGTTTGCATAAGATTATTATTGTGCTTTCTGCCTTCAAAAAGGTGGGGCAACGAATGAACCTAGGTAGATCAAATGTCAATTGGGTAAAAGCCTGTTTTTGTATATTTATGGTCATTTTCAAACAAAAGCAAAATCATTTAATATTAAGTAAGCTCTGCTGATTTAAATTCCAACTAACTCATGAGCAAGCTTGTAAATAAATTCATTGTAAACACACTTCTGCAATGGTTTCGCCAGATTATACATTATCCAGTATTAGTTGGAATCTAAAACACTAACACTTGCCTCTGTAAAAAAAAGCTCATTTTTTTCACCATGCAAACAATAATTTATGGAAATTAAGTAATTCTACTCTACAAATGCAAGTTCTTTGAAAGTTTTTAACACCTATATTTAAGTTTAGCTTGATAGATGTGGGCTTGTATCAAACCGAGCACAACATATTTCAAAAAATTCTCAAGCTTCATAAATTCTTTATCAGACAGGAATCAAAGGGTAAAAATATGCTTTACTCAAGGCATTTGCTTCCATAAGAGAGTAAAAAGGTAGAGCAAATTCTTCTAGGAGCAAAAACCATTTTATGATGAACTTGTAGGAAAATTATACTTTGTTTGCATGGATATAACTTGATCAAAGCGGATATTTGAAACAAAGGATTCATGTAGCGGACCCCAACTAGTTTGGAACTAAGACTTGGTAGTTGTTGTAGCAAAATTATTTCTAGAAATGAAAATATGGTTATGTCCTTTGCTTTCGCAACTAGGACATTTACTTTTCCCTTTTTAACCACTTGGAGAGGGGCACTAACATCAATAATAGTAGAAATAGAGGTTCACTACATGGTAACTTAAAGGTACAGAACAGGCAAAAGACTGTTGGAGTTTATACTTGGATGGAATCAAAATGGTTTTGCCATAGTGATTTCTAAGAACTATAAAAATCATAAAGATTAAAGTTTATGTTCTAAGATGGACTTCTCTTTTTTTCCTTTTTGAGGCTGACAACTTTTCAACAGTTCTGGAAATTAACATGCCACAGACCCCATTAATACTCAATCTCAAGTTGAAATAAGCATAAATAATACTTACATCATTGATGATAGAATGCCATAACCATAAAGGATGGTAGAGACTAACAGCAGAAGCTTGGCAGCAGACGAGGCAAAAGTTCTTCCAGAAAGGAAAAACCAGTAAAACAGCATAGCAAATATAAGGAAATACGTAAATGTTTTCTTCTCATTTCTCCATAGCAAAATGTCCGCAACTGCAACGAGAAAGTTTAACCCATTACATTAACAATTAATAACACACACATCATAATGAAAAGCCCCTTTAGTTATTGATTTTATGATGCATTACAAGATTGAACTGATTCTGAATGGTAGAATTCCAGTCACTAAAACAGGTGGAAAATAGTGGGTATTAGGCTGAGCATAGTCCAAGCCAAATGGGTTATCTATAGCTATGGCAATGATAGGCATGCCCATTACAATGAAGTCTAGCATGTCTAAAATTAAGTTCAGGTAAAATCAGCATATTTCAATACAGATGGAGATTTAGACCATTAAATCTAGCAATCTAAGCACAAATCAATAAGTCCTTGACTCTAAATGCTGCTTCATAATTTAATGGCTAGAAGCATGAAAGCACTTATAAATGGGATTAAAGGAATCATTTCACAACCAATTTTAGAAAAATATAACAATAAATTTCCCACCTTTCCCGCCACCTAGCAGCTTATCAGCCTTTGATTGTTCTTCAAGATTATATCTCATGAAAGATGGGTCCTCGACCAAATTTGAGTATGATTGAATGGTCAATGCAATACCATCCTGCATGTTTAACAATCAACACAAAACAGATGTGGAAGGTCTCAGAAAATTATTTGGAAATTCCAGGATAATAACATATGAATCAATTGCCTTGTCAAGTCCACCAACAAGAAAAAGTTACAATCAGATAGCAAGATGAAGCCATTTATAATCTATATATATTCAGCAGGTCAAAACAACGCAAATAAAATCAACACTCAATCATAACCTCAAGAACGTCCATAAATGCATTAGAGGCTTAAGAATTCAAAAGAAAACAATTGACTAAAAAACAAATAAATACGTCCAAGGAAAACATTTAATGGCTTGACAAATAAATTACAGAAAAAAAAGGTGTGATCATGAAAGACCACAGAGTTAAGCAAAACTTACATCAAGAGAGACAACTGGTAAGTATCCAATACGTCTTTGAGCTGAAGTGCAACTAAAAGTCCTAGTGTGTGAAGCTAGACGAAAGAAGTAAGCTGAGAGTTCATGGTTATATTTTTGTAAACCCAACTTTGGATGTGTCCATTTGACAAACAAAAGAATATACCAGACCATCCTGGCAGGAAGTTTTATTAATGGTCTGCAATTGAAGTAAATAGAAAAATCAGACTGAAACAGCAGTTCTAGAAAATATCACCCATTTTAATAAGCAAAGAAAAACCACTCCACTCTCCATTGAGATGTGCGACAAGGGTTAATTTGGCACATTATTTATTAGTATATTACTACGTAACAAGTCTAAAAAATAGCTTGAATTGACTAAGAACTTTTCCATTTCATACTTACTTTAGACCTTTATTGTATTAATATTTTTATCTCTCCTGCCTTTTTCTTGCCTTTTTGTAATACATGATACAGAAATCAAGGAAAAGTTTTACAGTTTTTTTTCTCCTCTGAAGCCTAAAAATTCAGGATGGTTACTTTACCTTTGATACCCCAGGCCTTCTAATAATATTGATACAAATTCCCAAAACTTCATGGGCTCAAGATTAGTGATGAAAAATGCCTGCAATGGATCACAGACAAGATAATACCTTCCTTGTGCATGACTGCAATCAAAACATAGAAAGGACTACTCAAAATGATGGATTACCTTTCCGGCCACAGCGATCATCCGAGAATCTAAAGCTTCGGCTGCACAGATGTGCGCATGAGCAACATTCTCCACATAAGTAAAGTCAGACATATTTTCACCACTTCCTATAATAATCTGAAATGGAAACTTTTTTACTTTAAAAAAAGATTAAATAATGAAAGTTGATGATCATACAACTGGCGGATGTCTACAACTGCCTAAAGTCTGAAATCAAAGGAGAAAAGATCAAAACTAAGAAAAGACCAAACCTATCTCTTCAAGATATACAATCCCGATATCAGAGAAGTTATAGCAAAAGCAAGAAGAGAATATTTAAAGAGTTTTTTTCAAAAAAAAAAAAAAAAAAAAAAAAAACAAAAGCAAAAAGAGAATATTTAAAGAGTTTTTTTCAAAAAATAAAAAAAAAAAAAAAAAAAAAAACGCTTGATAAACAAGTTTAAACCAACACCTTAAACAAATTAACCAGAAGATCATTTTTACACCATATAAGCTCTCAAAACCTTTGCAAAGACCAGATTTTGGGCTGGAAATTTGATCAAGAAAAGGCACAAGGCAGGTGTGTCCCCAGGGCCAAAGACATTGCTGGGACGGAAGTTGCACCATGTCAAGAGGGCCATCAATGTTGGTTAGGCAGAAACAGATTAATGCTGTCTCGCTGAGCCTTAAAGTTCACTCAGGCATATCCTGAAAGCTGTATCCATGACACTAGGTTAGCGAGCTATGCGTAAAGCCAAAAAAAAAAAAAAAAAAAAAAAAAAAAAGCTTGATAACAAGTTTAGAACCAACACCTTAAACAAATTAACGCAGAAGATCATTTACACATATAGCTCTCAAACCTTTGCAAAACCAGATTTTGCTAAATTGATCAAGAAAGGCACAAGCAGTGTGTCCCCAGGGCCAAAGACATTGCTGGGACGAAGTGCACATGTCAAGAGGCCATCAATGTTGTTAGCAAACAGGATTAATGCTTCTGCCTGAGCCTTAAAGTCACTCAGCATATCCTGAAACTGTATCATGACACTAGTTACGAGCTATGCTAAGCCAAAAGACAAGCATACAATCTACTAGGAAACAGTAATATACGAAAAGTTTCAAGCACTGAACATACTCTCCAATGGCATAGTAAGGACTCATCTCCACAGCTTATATCACGTGAACCGTCAACAATTACATCTGCAGAACTGTTATATATAAGCTTTCGAACTTTGCATTGTCGGCAAGCATTGATGACATTTTTAGCACCTGAGAAAGTAAATAATCATTACTTACAACATTTAGTATGAAAAATCCATTGCATTGGTAATCACAAATCACTAACCTTGAACAACAATTTTGTAGCAATAATGGAAATCGTAATTCCATAAATCAGAAGCCTCCGTATAAAATACAACTGATGAACCTTCAATAGCTGCAAAGGCATATATTGTGCAATGTTAATTTCTCAACATCAATATTCATACTAGAACCATGAACCAGTTGAGCAAAGAAGGCAGTGAAAGTGATAGATAAAGAAGAGAAAAGCCAGAATACATCAGGGACTTATGCACAAGCACATATTCCATGAAAGAGAGAAAGAAGGGAGGCTAAAACCTCACCTCTTTCACCAAAGATGAATAAGTTCATATCACCATGATGAAAAAACAATACATAACTTATAAGGAACAAGAAACGTATTTTTTGTCTATAGCTAAAACGACCACCATTTCAGCTAATATACTTAAAAAGCCCAAGCAAGCATTTGATGTTTTTCCGTATATTTTTTACTCTGGAAAAAAAAAAAATCCATGAACTATGCTGGAGTTCTCACCTCAGTTTTCACATTGCAAAAATGAAAGTAACACAGGATTCATTTTATTTTATAAATTCACTGTAGAATACAAAGTATGACACTTTTTAATATTTTAATAAAGAAAAAAGAGGACACCATACGTTTTTCTTGTAGTTTCTTCCTCTCCAAATGATTAAAAACTAATCACTTGCTCAAGAGTTAAACCAAAAGTTCAGGCCTTAAAACTGATACCAAGAGTTATATTAATGAAATAGTTTAAATCCCAATCACTTCAATCTAAATACAAGTGACAAGTGAACAATCTCTTGAACAGATGTACTTATAACTTATCTACTGAGGAAATATGAAACCAAAAAAGCCAACAAAAAAAATGAGTTAAATTTTCAAATTTTGCCTCAGCAAGAAATCTAACCAATAAAAGAAGCCAAAATTCTAAAAATAATTAATCCAGGATTTTAATTTATTCTCTTTTTTTTTTCCAGGCCCTAATAAGAATGGAGAACCAAGTCACATCATAATTCCCAAAACACCAATTCGATAATTTAAAATGTCAAGCAGCAGAAATAAAATAAAATAAAATATTACCAATCCAGTTACAACCTTAGTTCTCTTCACTTGCAAATCAAACTTGATCTAACTACTTCACCAGGCTCATTACAGTTAAATAATTCATATCCTCTCATTTTCTTTTCTCAGTTCTCAGCAACCAACAAAGACCCATACCAAAAAAATGAAAAGAGAACTCAATGAGTGCGTATCCATACATTACCTTTGACGATGACAGAGACATCGAGAACATCAACGTGGTGGTAAGAAGCACGGCCAGAAGAGATGGCATCGTTAAGACAAGAGTCGGCAGAGTCAGTGGAGTCGAGTTGCAAAGACTGAGCAGAATCGGCTACTCGGACGATCCAGTTACCGAGTTTAAGAAGCTTGAAGACAATCGATCTTCCTAGAAACCCTCGCCCTCCAAGAACCGTGCAGGTTCTAGGGTTTAAATCCCCAAATGGAACCTCGATCGCCATAAACACAGAGAAAGAGAGATTAAAAACAAAAACTGAAAAATGAAATCAAATAGAAATGAGAAATTCTGGTTCTGATCAGTGTATTTGTATAAAAGGAAGGGATTTGGCGCGGAAAGTATGTACAGAGACGTTTTGTTCTTTTCTAATTGGTCACTGTAGTTGTTGATGTGGTAGATGGGCCCCATACAATCGGCTTTTCTTTTCCTTTTTTGTTTTTTAATTTTTCTTATGGAATTTTTCCTTTTCCCCTTCTGGTTTTGGGTTTATTAATTTTTGATTTAGGGTTTTCATTTTCTTCTAATCCCAAATTTCAAACCACTCATTTTGCAAGTAAATTTTCTCTAAAGGATGGAGTCCAATGCCATTGATGCATCCGCCTATTGATTATTATTTGATAATAGTTAAAAACAAACAAATAAATAATTTAATTTAATTTATGTTTTTTTTAAATGGTTGAAACTTTTTTCTCTTTGTAAAAATATGAGATAAACAAATTTATAAAATTAATTATTATTATTATATCCTAATAAATAAAAAATTTAATAAATTTGTATCACGAAAATTAATTCTGACTATGCAATTTCACGACTTAAGAAAAGGTAAAAATAAAATGCACATAATAGAAATTGCAAGTCCCTCTTTTCCAATTTGGAAAAGGCATAATTTTTTCTTCGTTAAGCCTAATTTTGTTCGCGCAGTGTCAAGTCTATAACGAAAAAAGCGCCTTCTAACAAAAACTTCCTCCGTTCACAAAAATTAAACACTTGACCTCTCACCCGAACATTTTTAAACAAGAGAGAAAACTTGATTGGTTTAACCTTCAGCATTGTTTAATGAAATAGACCCACCAATTACAAAATGTTGGGTGTATCAACAAATTGTAGTTTTACCCTACAAACCAATAGAGTAGTCCATTGACTAAAGGCAATTGTGCGATCTTTTCATAAAAAGGAATCCCTCTTTTTAAGTTTTGGTATTAAAATAAAGGTTCCTTTATAGCAAGAAAGTATCTTAAAAGAGTCGATACCCGTTTGTTAACTCCACATCATCTTCTTAAAAAAGATTTTCCTATTGCACTTTTGTTGATGGATGTGGATGATTCTATATTTTTATTTAATGAGAATATATTTTTTTAAAAAATTTATACATGTGTATTCATTTTTTAAACCGGAGGTAGTATTCAAATAATTTTCTTGACAACAAAGACTTTAAATTTCATAAGACTCTCGTTAAACATTGAATCCTAATTGCTAAAAAAAAGTATTTCTAAAATTGAATTAATTCCATTGAAACATACATATGAGAAAGTATTAAGTGACTCAAGTTCAGTAAGTAATCTTTATAAGATTGGAAATTTGATTCGTCGAAAAACATTCAGAAGCACACCTATAAATTCTGAAAGAAGATTAGTCTCGTATCTAAAAAAGACATTCCAATAATATTGACAAAAAAAAAAGGTAGTGGGTGACCTAAAAACTAGAGAAATAAGGGTAATGATCCAAAACTTGAGGGCAAATTGATATTTTCAAGAATGGCAATGTATAGAAATGAGAAAAGGTTATCTCATGAAATGTGAGTGATGTCTAAAAGGTTCGCTATGAAAGTAGCGTTTGGTAAACCCATCCATCACCTAAAAATACTAGTACTATGATAAACCCAATTCTCATTAAATCAGATAATTATAATAGCAAGCAACTTCCCAAAACAGAAATTTCCTAATTCCTAATATATTGATTTATTATTTTTTTTTTGAGGGAGAAAAAAAATCTTTAATAAGAAAGCTGAAATTCATTTCTTTGATTATTAATAGGAAAAGGATAACTTTTTTTTGAGATCAAAACATAATTTTACTTTCATTTCTTTTCTATTATAGAGAAATTACTTAATTCTGATCACTATGTTTGATAGGTATAGTTTCCCTTTCTAATTTTAAATTTTTTTTCCAAATCAAAATCTCTGAATCAAAATCTTAAAATATTATGTAAAAATTTGAATGAGAGAAGACAAAAAGAAATAAAAAAAAAAAAGAAATACATATATATTAAATTATGCATACAAGTAGAAATACATAAAAAAATTAAATTCTTGAAATTCATATATATTTAATCAAACAAAGTGCCCTTTCATATATACTTATAATTTATTAAAAAGAGAGATTGGATAAAAATGCAAAAAGGATAAAAGAAACATATAGTGAAAAATATCAATGACCTTTGAAGTAATGTGGCCCTAGTAAACATGTATGAATAATATTGAGAAATACAACAGAGAACAGAACGAATTCAGATTTCTAATTAAGGTCTATGACACTCGTACACTAAAACCGTTTGCCATATAACATTAACATTTTCCGTCATCATCATAGGGACTTAGAGAATCAACACTAGAATAAAAATCCAGAAGATCCAAAAATATATGGACAAGGACTTCAAATATCCAAAAATATATGAACAGAAATACACTTCACCACAAGCGTGGGTCATTTATCCTATGGATAGACACATACCCTGTATTTCATCTTAAAAATTATCCTTTGCACGGCGGATGAGACCTAAGGCTTCTGCATCATTTGCCGTGGCTGGAATATTTAATGATTGTCGGATTTCTGTACTTGACGCGCGAAGAAAGGGATTACAAGCCTTCTCAATCTTTAGTGTAGTTGGAATCTAAGAAATGACAAAGAAAGCCGATTTTAATGCAGTTTTGGATTATAAAATTGAAATAAGGCTGATAAAGAATGTTCATGTCCATGAAGAAAGGAGCACATCATTATAATTCTGACCGAGACAGCTGAGTTCACACTTCAGAACATAGTTTGGTTTCTCTGCATACTCTAGCACTATGATCTATGAACTTATTTAACTTGATCAACTTTGAGGTTCATAGCCATATCGATATTTCCATAATCACGTATCAATGAACTGCTCCATTGATGGCTGCGTTCAAACAAAGTTCTGCTTGTGCTGCTTGTTTATAGCCCAAAGCCATTTCATTTTAAAAGCGGTTCTCACATTCAAAATAGGCTGGACAAACAAAGCATACTAGCATATAGAGCCAATTTCCAAAGGAGATAAAACTCCCCTATAAAAGAATGAACTCTAAAACAGATTAAATTATTCACATGCAAATGAATGTGAAACACAAGACGCCTTGTATGAACTAAAAATACTCCAGAGTGAGGGACTCTCAAAGCTTCAATACCAACAGATTCACAAATTTTGGTTTAACATAAATAACCAACAAGAGTTATTTGTATCTCTTGCAATCCTAGAAATCAAGCTTACTTAGCAGGAGTTTCTCTGCCTAACACCAGAAATATATATATTTACCCATATGTGAATGTGTAGATTGATGACTATATATAAAGAATGACCAGAAAACTTACTGTTGGCAAACTCTTGCCACGAAGATGGGCCACCTGCGCTGCATATGACTGGAGTGCCTCATTGTTGGGTTCTATAGACAATGCAAACTTCGAATTACTCTGTCAATTGGATGGCTAACAGTTAGGGACTAGAGATTAAATCTTGGATAGATGAAGCAAGCACAAAATATAGAAAATATTTAGAAACTAACCAACGTATATTCATGGCCACAATATATATTTGTATCATCTGGCAAAGACATGATTTTTCTGAGGGAAGAATGCATCTGGAACAAAGAAATTTTATGTTATAATATAATAATATTAAACCTAGTCAACATGAATGTCATTCAGCACAAGCATATTCTCAATAGATGACTACCACTCGCACGGTAAAATATTTTGTTAAAGTGCCCAACTCATTATAATTTAGAAAGCACATAGACTTCAGCTAAGAAAAATTACAATTTCTTGAGAAGCATAAAACATATTAATTCTTCCTTTCCCTCTCTACCTTGTTTTCCCATGACAGGTACTCGATATTCCAGTAACAACTTCATTTAAACCTCAGAGGAAATATTTCTACAATTTAAAAAAGAAAATCAACGTTGGAAACATTTCTTAACTAAGATTTTGTATTCTTCAGGTTTAAAACATTATTGTTTGATACAGCATTTTATACGACTTAAATACCTAAAATTTTCTTCTTACATACGAAGGCTCCATTTCAGTAAATCTGAACGAGGATAAAATTATGTCCTTCAACATCAAAGTCTAAGAAATTTCCTCACTTTATTCCAGCTTTTTAACACTTAAATCTAATTGAATTTATCCAACCTCAGTTTCAGACAGTCTCTCTTCTCACTCACCATCTTATACACTTCAGCAATCAATCTATTAGGAGTATAGTCATATATCTATTTAGCAGATAACTCCACAGAAGAAAAAAAGAATTGGAAACAATGAATTTCTGTTAATTAAAGCATCAAATGTAACTGTTTCAGTCCTCAGAACAGCAAAGTATAGCCATGAAATGAATGTTGTAATTACCTGCTCAGGTGTTCCCTCAAAAAGCTTGCCACATGATAAACTGAACAAAGTGTCTCCTGTAAAAATGGCTCCTGATCCCGGAAAGTAGAAACTAACGTGTCCTACAATTAAGTCAAAGCAGAACATTAGAATGTAAAAGGAAAAAATAAAATGTGTGTGCACACATTTACTCACATATACTCAACAAGTGTTAATTATAAACCACATCACATGACACAATTCTACACAATCAAAAGCAGAAACTAAATTTTTTCAAAGTCACACTAACAAATACAATATAACTGTATGAAATGGTAGTTAAAATAAACCAACTGTTCCTATAAAAACTAACTACATTTGATACAAACAACCATATAAAAAAAGTTAATGATGCAACAACAATAGAAAACACAGTTGCATAATCATGTAATTTCATCATTGCATATTTTAACTTTCAAATGGTTTTCCATGACAGATGACAAAATACAACCTCGGGTATGACCGGGAGTTTCCATCACAAGCACCTCATGTCCAGCAAACATCCACTTATCCCCATCATTCAGAACTATGTCAATACCAGGAATTCTATCTCTGTCAATTCCTGGACCAATTACCTGCAAGCAAGAAATGGAAGTACAAAGACTCCAAACAACCTCTTAATACTGAAACACTTCATAGAAAACAAGAATTTTATCAAAGGCTCTATACTGCTCTCAATTGAAGTATCCTTGCCTTTACAACCCTAGACTCAACATAAGCAATTAGACCAGTAATGACAAAAGCTACCAAAGAAACCTATATATGCATACCTGATCAACAAACTAAAAGTTTAAAACAGGAAAGAACTTCACAAAGTGCTCAATAGGTTGATTGATATGGCCAGCATTACCAATCTCTCAAGAAGAATTAACAACAAAGCCAATGAAATGAATGACCTGTATTTACTATGTAAAGAGAACCTCATGATCTCAACATTGTCGTGGGCAATTTGGAACCAACTATTTGGCATTTTTGACAAGAGTTGGGTTTGACCAGATTCTTTAAAATTGCTTGACTGTGAGTAACGAATCACGCAACTCCAACATTGTGGGTAAAGCATGCACGAACAAAAATGCTTAATTCTACTGGTTTTTCTTCAATTATCAGATTTTTTTCAATAAACAAGAACTCTTAACTTTGTCAATATGAGAAATAGTTTACTTTCGTAGGATGAAACAGAAGGAAGAAATCCTTCCTCCTTGGTAAACATGAACTGCAAAACTGAACTTGTCAACAGAAACTCTGATTTTTAAAGCTTATAACTTTTTGCGTCAACATGTAACTCTAGGAATCATCTTCAACTGTAAGATGACAGAAAAATAATCTTCACTGGAGACTACCATTATCATACCTTTGCACCGTACCTTGCTTTCAATTCTTCATTCCCACCAGTGTGATCATGATGATGATGAGTATTTAGTATATAGGTCAAATTGCGGTTTTTCCTGCTTAGAGCATCTATAATAGGTACAGCTTCAGAAGGATCAACAACCCCAACAGTGCCTGTGTCCACATCATGTAGAAGATATGCATAGTTGTCCTTGAGACAAGGCACCTGAAGATGCAAAATGCAGCAAAAAATCAATCTGCAAAGTTCAATTTGCAAAACAAGCAACCAAGATATTGACCCTATAAGAGTTATAAAGAGAGAAGAAAAATGTCCTTACCAATTCAATTTGTAATGAAGAAGCCATATTGGAAACACTGCAAAATTGAGTAACTTTAAGCGTTCGACTAGCACCTCGTAAGGTCTTAAATGGCATGGATAACAGGTGCATGAATCCATACAACAGACCCTTTCTAAAGCAAAGCTGCCTCGCCCCTGGCCATACACACAGCCCACTCCTTGCCTAAAGTATGAGAATCAAAAACAAAGTCTTAAACAATTTCTTTCTAGTGTTAAGCAACATTGCTACTAAAACAAAGCTGGTAACAAATATTAGATTCTAAAAAATACAGTACCAGATAGAAAGCTATCAAAGAATATCATTTTCTTTACTTTGGGTGAGGATCATTTGCAAACAAGGAACCACTATAATACAATGGGAAAATGCAAAGCAAGATAGTCACAAAAAAAAAAAAAAAAAAAAAAAAGCGTTTCGACTAGCAGCCTACGTAAGGTTCGTTTAAATGGCATGGATAACAGGGTTGCCATTGAATCCATACAACACGACCCTTTCTAAAGCAAAAGCTTGCTGCGCCCTGCTCATACACCACAGCCACTCCCTTGCCTAAAGTATGGAATCAAAAACAAAGTCTTAAACAATTTCTTTCTAGTGTTAAGCAAACATTGCTACTAAAACAAAGCTGGTAACAAAAATCTAGATTTCTAAAAAATACCAGTACCAGATAGGGAAAGCTATCAAAGAATATCATTTTTCTTGTACTTTGGGTGAGATCATTTTGCAAACCAAGAGATACCTACTATAATTTACCGAATGGAAAAAAGCAAAGCCAAGATAGTCACAAAAAAATAAAAAAAAAAAAAAAAAAAAATCCCCAATCCATCGCGTAAATGATGAAATCTGCAAGTTGTTCATTACAATTGTACATTCGACAGGACTAATTAGAACCCTAGATATAACTATACAAATTTCAAAAGGCAAATTTTGATTCATTACTATTAAAAAGCAAAACCAGCGGAATAGTCCACAGCTTTTGCTTTAAAGAAGAAGAAAACACATACAAAATACCAAAACACTAATCCATAGTTGTATGCATAAGCAAGTGGCACGACTTCAGAGTTCAGACCCAGACAACAAGTCAAAAACAAATTAATTAAAAACAAAAGAAAATTCCTCAACTGGTTCAAATACTTAGATCATACATTTCCCAGGAAAATTGACAAATAAAACAAACGCAACCTTTACCAAATGGATTCAAGAAAATAAAAAGAACAGTGAGAATAATTTTCTACGAAGAATTATCAAAATATGAAAGAGGAAACAAAAACCAACCCTTGAACAAGGAAGAGAGGCCATGGCACAGGAAGCTTTAGAGATCATTTGCATCCCCCCCTCTCTTTCACACTCCTTTTGTGCACTTAAATAGAGAGAAATATGCAGAGAGGGGTTTTCAAGGGAGAGTGGTTGAGTTGAGACTTGAGGGAGAGAGAAACTGTGGGTTGGCAAATTGGTGGCAATTGGAACTCACTGTGATTACTGATTTGATGCTTTGGTGGAGAATAATTAATGAGAAAATAAATAAAAGGCAAAAAATTATATATTTTTTTTTTTCTATTCTTTCACTAGAAATTAAAAAAATACCAGCCTCGCGTTTTTTTTTTTTTAAATGGTTTTTCTATTAATATTAATTTTGATATTTTTTATTTATGTTAAAATTTCTTTTGGAAAAAATAAAGTATTAAAATATCTCTAAGATTTGTCTTAATTGTTATTTTCATCATTGTTTTTAATGATTAAATTAAACTAATTTAGGTAAGTATAGATTTTTTGGTGTAGTATTACTAGATTCATCCTAACAATAAGTATCGGATTACATTAAATTTCATGCTACCTTTGTTCTATAATATTTATTTCATTTAAGATTTCACATATTTTAAGAAAATCATTCAATTTTTCTAAGTTACAATAAATTATTAAGTAAATTGACTATATTATCCTTAATTTAATATTAATTCTCTACGAAAACCATTAAATTAAAGAAATAATTATCGGTCATATACAAACTAAATATAAAAAAATTATTTATTACTCCTTAAAATCACAAATGTGACAAGTATTTTGAAACAAACTATTTTATCAAATGTGACAAGTATTATGAAACGGAGGAAAACTAGAAAATACAAAGATGTGGCTGATGAAATCGACAAATCATACTACACAGATGATTATTACTCCTTAAAATCACAAATGTGACAAGTATTTTGAAACAAACTATTTTATCAAATGTGACAAGTATTATGAAACGGAGGTAGTAAAACTTATGAAATATCAAATTTATGGCTGTGAAATCCGAAAAAATTTATACTACCAAATGTTTTTCAGACAATTTAAAAATAATTAGTTAGATTAATTTAAATATAATTTTTTTTTCTTATTTTGCAAATATTGTTCACAAAGTTTAAGAATAGATTATTTTCTACTATCTCTTTGTTCTATAATACTTGTCACATTTGTAGTTTCAATGAGTAATAAATATTTTCTTCCATGTTTACCTTTTATATATGACCAATAATTATTACTTCAATTTAATGGGTTTCGCAGAGAATTAGTATTAAATTAAGGGTAATATAGTCAATTTACTTAATAATTTATTATCACTTAGACAAATTGAATGATTTTTTAAAAGAATGTGAAATTCTAAATATAACAAATATTATGGAAGAGAAGTAGTATATATTACTCTTAAATACACAAAAGACTGTACTTCCTCCGTCCCAAAATATAAATTGTTTTTGATTTATTATTTTATCTCAAAATATAAGTCCAAGAAGTAATAAATGATGTTTTTCTGATATTGACTTTGTTTATACTAAATACATTAAATACTTCACAAGCAACTATTAACTTTAAATAAAAGATAATTTGATCAAATTACAATTGAGCTTATTATAATATAGGAGAATTAATTGATTCTTTCGTCTTTATCCAAAAACCTTAAACGATTTACCATAATACTTGCTTTCTCTCTCATTTTTTACCATGCACAGGCAACACATGTCGCTCACAACTCCTCCCTCTTTCTCTCCGTCAGTCCCTCTATCTTCACTCGCCTTGCTATGTTCTCCGTTGTTGCCATTACCCAAGCTTTCGTCGGCCATATTGGTGATCTCAATCTCGTTGCCATTTCCATCGCCACCACTATAGATCATCATCGCCGTTGATGAGTTCTGATTCTTCTTTTAATTTAGGAATTTTGGATTTTTCTCAATTGGGTAATAATAGTTTTGAATATAAGCAGGACGAGCTTTAGGATCAGACTAGTGTTCGAAAAAAAATATGACTGTTTGAGAATGCAATTCAAAAGGTAGGAAAAACAATACAAAGAATGAGACCGTTGAAGGTTTTGTCGAATTTCCTATATTTGGATATTGGAGGAAATAAAGTTTTATTTTTCTACTAATTCATTATTTAAATCAATTTAATCAATTTAATAAATCAAATTGCGTGATCATTAATAAATTACCCTTAATTATGATTATTTAATTTACATTTATTATTTAATCTAAATAAGTTTTAAAATACTAACACTATCTTAATTTTTAATTAACAATGCCTTTTTTTGTTGGTAATCCTATTAACCAAACACTTAAATTATTTAAAAAAAGTTTAAGTCATTTTATCAAAAAATTAACTGCTTATTTTTTAAAATTAATTTATAAAAAATATATTTTTAGTTAAATAAGTAGCGAAATATAAAGGTGTTAAATAATCGTTTTCTTTTTTAATTTTTTTTTATTTAACGAGAGACGGTGTTAAAAGGTAGAGGAGGGTGAGAATGGGAAAAAGCAAACTTTTTATGGGCAATACACGTGGAAGTGGGTATTGATGTTGGGTGTGGGGCGTTGCGTCATTAACCGCTTTAATGTGGGGCCATGTGGCAGATTACGCGTAAAGACTGTCACTGCATGTCTTTTAACTTTCTTTTTTCCCCTAACAAAATGGATTTTATGAATTAGCGTTATAATACATATATGTAATGTGTCATTATTTAATTATCAAGAATATGTCTTGGAACTTCTAATTGAATTAATATTTATAATTAATTAATATTTTTCATTTTAAAAATATTTTATCTTTATACAATATTAATTAGCCAATAGAATACAAATTTATTTGAAATTCAATATAATTTATCAAATATTATTTTCTTTATTTTTTGAAAAATAAATTTTTGTTAATAGTTTGATTTTTCCCATTTCAATGTTTCCTTGTCATTCCAATTTTATATTTTTTATAAATATAAAATGAGAGATAACTGATAATTAAATAAAATATTTACATTTATTTGATTAATTATGTTTATATTTAAATAAAAAATTTTAATTAATATAAACTTTTAAACTGGATAAACATATTGAGCGAAACGTATCATGTTTAAATATAATATTTTTTGAAAAATCTTTTAAATGAAACAGATGTTGACAAGACAAATAAAATTAATATCATATTTTTTAATATAAATTTAAAAATATTGATATCATTAAAAATTAAAATTCCCTAATTTTTTTTAAAATATAAAATTATTCTCATTTCGGTTTTTGATGCTCCTATCCTACCTTCAACTTATCTACTTAAAAGAGCAAAAAGAAATCTCTATTACAGATTTTAATTCTAAAATATTTGTTCAAAGCTCAAAGCTCAAAAAATCAAAACTCACCAGCTTAACGTAAAAGTCAAAACAGTAATTAAAGATATCAAATAAATTATACCATTTGGTACAATAAAATTTAAATAAAACAATTCACTAGTGTGGAGTAAAAGGAAATACAGGAATTAACATATGATTGAGTTAATAATAATTGCAAATATGTAATTAAGATTTCTTTTGTTTTTGAAATATCATTTTCTTAAGAAAATATTTTCCAAATTTTCTGTTGACTAATTTTTCTAAACACCCTTTTTTAGACAAAAAAATCCAAAAATATTTTTTAAATAAATTATTTTCTGAAAAAAATGGAGCCCAAAAAAAAAATAAAAAAGAAGACTAGTGTCAAAGAAAAGATTCAGATTTATATCCTTGAAACTAAAATGGCAGAGACTCCATAATATATTCAAAGCTTAGAATTTATTGATTCAACCTCAAAACTGTCCATCCAGTTCACTGTTAATGGAGTCCATCAGAAAGTCAACTTTGGGAAATTAAATGGGGTTTTGACTTTGAATATTACAACAACATCATCTATACAACCAGATCATATTACAAGACGTACTTTCATTTTCACATAAAGAAATTTTTTTTTTTTTTTTCTAAAATTGCAAGATACAGTGTAAGCACCCTCATTACTTCAAAATTCATCCTGTAAAATCACAAAAAAGAAAAGAAAGAGTTCATGATTTTGCCAAATTAGGTTATCTGCAAACAAAAGTAAAATCAATGAGGAAAAGGAAAACACAAGGCAAGTAGGGTTTGAAGATGTCCTTACATGGTAATCGTCTTCGTAGTGAGGATCATACTGCAGATTTAAAAAGAAAAAATGTTAAATTTCATATTTATTTGAACAATAAAAATGTCAAGATGATGATGATCATGAAATTACATACACTTTCTCTGTCAAATGTCAATATCCATTAAATGGAAGATACAAATACATAGCACTTGCTAATTTGACTTTCAAGGTCTCCCATACTGATCAGTTGCATTTGTCCATAACTGCTTTCTTCCAAGTCCCAACCAATTACATACATATATTTAAAGTCCTTCACCCTTAATATGATCCCAAAAAAAAAATAAAAAAAAAAAGGAAAAAAGAAAAATCCCTTGTAGAGATGCAGCATGGGAAATGGAAATCAGTTTGTGTTCCCTATTTAATTTATGGTTTGTGTGGGTCTCTTGTGCATTGAGTAAAGACTAATTTTGATTGAGGGAATTTTTAATAAGCAAAACAAAAAAAATCCTTTATGCCAAGATGCCAAACATTTTAGACTCAATTATGAATGCTTTATTCCATCCATTGAAGGGTGCATTAAAATTTATCACTCTGTTTATGTTTCTTGCCTTTTATTTTAACCAAGATTAACCTTCTAAGCAATACAAATAAGTGTCAAAGCTCTTCAATACTAAATCCAATTGCTCCTAGTAAGATAATTTTTTAATTGATCTATCGAAAAAGACACTGATTATTGATTCCTAATAAGATACTAGAGAACTTTCATGACCATAAACCAGATGGACTTGTTTCTTAAGTTGCACCTCAATTTCTTAAAAAGAATCTATAAAGCATTAATAAGTCCATGCAAGGGATGTCCTTTTAAAGTTCAAGCAGCAACCAAAATATTGGACAATTTAATTTGATTAGAAGAAAGAACAAGATATAATACCCTTCTACGATGCTTCCTCTCTCGATGCCCCCTTTCTTTCCTCCTCCTCTCACCTTCCTCTCGTGCTCTTTGAGCTTCCTATTCATGTAAGCAGAAAGAATTACTAAGAAGATTTAATAGGCCAAATGACAAAATCCCATAAACAGCTAAAGACATCTTTAGTAACCTGTTCTTCACGGGCTCTCCTCACTTTCTCTGCTTCCTCAAAGGCCTCTTTTTCGAGCTGGGATTTACATAAAATGAGATTTTGAATTTGGCTATTCTGCAGAACAAAATAACTGATAAAATCTCTAAAATCAATGGCTCACCTCTCTATTATTGGCCCAGAAATCTTGTACAATTTGTCTTGCATATTTTGGGTTATCACAAATCAATATATTGTCAAAAATTGAACCAGCCTTCACCTGCAATGTACCATTTTACCTCATCAGATCAAGGAGGCTCAGTGTAGGTCATATTTTGAATCACTACTCCCCTAAAAGCACAAAATATGAACGACTTTGCAACTGCAAAGAAAGTACCAATATGATCTAATCTGATTTCAGAGGATTAAGATAACTCAATTCTAAGGAGATGCCATTGTTTCAAATACAACTCCAAAATCCACTATAAGAGAACCACCAGCCAATGTGACCAGTCCAATCAGAAAAGATGAAAATTCAAAAGATTTCAAATTCGAAAGAATGTCAAATCAACATTCCACTTAATGAATTAATTCATTCAGATATACACACAACGAAGAATTCTGCAAATAATAGGACGTTAGTGGTTTCAGAAGCTAAAGATTTTACATATTTGACATCATTAATCTTCCATTTCCTCCTCAACCTAAGTTTATATCATCATCTTCCGTAGAACAAGAGGACAAGAGAAGTCATGAGACCTACCTGCCATACTTCTATACCAACATATTTTATAGGCTTCAGCACATAAAGGTCAGGATCATCTTCGAACTCTGAAAAACCCAAAAAAAAAAAAAAAAAAAAAAGAGACCTACCTGCCATCAGCTTCCGTCATACCAACATTTCTTTATAGGCTCCAGCACATAAAGGTCAGGACTTCAATCTCTCGAACTCTTGAAAAACCAAAAAATAAAAAAAAAACAAAAATACTGAAAAAGAAAAAAAAAAAAAAAAAAAAAAATGAAAAAGAGAAGGGTGAGAAAGAAAGATAATGAGTTTAAGCAGAACAAAACTGGATTTCATATCTGACAGAACAGTTGAATTGACTACATTGGTCTAAGAAGACGTACAAGTATACTTGGATCAAACTAAAAATAGTATAATATTCCCGCCACAACCTAGAAGCTAATTCGTCATCAGATGCTAGTACGATCCAAAATTGATTTTCTTAATTTCCTGTTCAGAATATAAACTAATTTTCTTCTTCTTCTTCTTTTTTTTTTTTTTTTTTTTTTTTTTGCAATAGCAGATTAATCTTTAAAGTCGTAATAACCCATGTTTCCAGCAGTTGAACATGTTCCTTCATTCTGTTCAAAATTTGTTTTTACATGAGACTTGTTCATAATTTCTTCCACTCTGTTCATTATTCTCAAACAGTTTTTTTTTTTTTTTTTTTTTTTTTTTCAGCATAGCAGATTAATCTTAAGTCTATAACCATGTTCCAGCAGTTTGAACATGTTCCTTCATTCTGTTCAAAATTGTTTACATGAGACTTGTTCATAATTTCTTCCACTCCTGTTCATTTTCTCAAACAGTTGAAAACATTAATATTCCAAGAGTGCAATAAAGCTAGACAACACACCACATTGGAAAGATAATTACCTGGATTATCAATCCATGGAGTCTTCCACTTCCCCTTGTAGTTGGGGTTCCTTATTTTCTGCAGAGAAGTTAGTTATGTCAATCATTCGTAACATGTATAACAGAATTTGATAACAGACTTTCTATCAGTAGCGTGGATGCACCTTTCTTTTCCATGGTCCTTTGTATTTTGGATTTGGTATCTTGGGTGGCTTCCATATCCCATCCTCCTCTTCATCCCAGTTATCAGGCTATTCAAAGTAGCAACAAAAAGTAATTACATGTTGCAATCCATTCACTTTCATAACTGTTAAAAACTTACTAATAAATCTTGTTTACTTCAAGAAGTATTTCCTTATTTATTATTTGGATCATCCTCTCACCAAACCAAATTAATTAAAATGCACAGAAATACAAATATATGTGTGCAAAACAGAAGGAAGGGGGAGTAGGGACCACCTTCCTGCGACATTGCCAGACAAAGGAAGCTATAATTCATCCAAAATCCATACGTTTCAAATTGAACTGGATGAATAGATGAAAAAGATTATATAGAACACTCTGATGTATTAAAGGCAATGTATGAACCTCTTTAGCCTTAGGATCAGGAATCTCAGCTGGAATAGAATCATATCCCTGCAACATCAAGGCAGATAATACAAGTGCATAATTTAAAGGGAAGATACATAAATCACCATTCCAATCTCAACCTTAAGCAGATATCAATACCTCTGGTTTGACATCATCAGGATCATCAATATATTCTCTATCATCCCAGTCTGCTGGCTGCCAAAATAAAACATACAGTGTGTGTGGAAACACAGCAAAGTGTAAGGGCACAATCAACTAACTTGATATTTGGTAATTTATGTTTTTAATGGCAAAATGAAACTGATACTTCTCACACATACAAGAGGGAAACCAAGAAAAAAATTGCAAACATACTACGGGTGGTAACAGATAGAATAAGAGAACACAATATTGCTTCATGACTCACTCACACATGACAAAGTTCAAGGTGTGTTTAGCAATTCATCATGCATTATTGAGCAAAATAAGATAGGTAAAACACACCCTTGGTTATTGTATGGGACCAGTTTGATAAATGTAGTCATGTAATGTGCACAACGAATGTTAAGCATTTTGCTGGTTACTTGGATGATTGTTGCATTACCACCAGATATAACCTAGAGGGATTATTTTTCTTGACCTTTTCGTGGAGCTAACATTACTAGTAAACAGAGATGTACAATTTGTCTAACCTTTATGGCTTTATCAAAATTCTGTTTACCCAGCAGGAAATAAAAAAAAAAAAAAAGCATACTTGAAGAGAAAGGGAGAAGAAAAACCTCTTGCTGCTAAGTTCTCCACACAGTTAAAAAGTTTAAGGGCAACAGAGTTGACTTACATTGTTTTCACTTTTCAGAAAAATGGCATCTCTAATATTTTCCAATCAATTCACAAAATCAGAACTTGGTATGAGGATAGGCTTAATGTAAGACATCACACTATCTGACATGCTTCACAATTTCAAATATTCAAATGCATACCTTCTTTGCTTTCGTGTCTTTGATTTTCCTTGGAGGAAGTATATCCCAATCTGTGTACACGCTTCCAGATTCTCTTTCTCGATTATCAATTAAGATAGTATAAGATGCATCAGGCCCAAGTATAAAGGTATAGAAATGAGTGAGCTTATCAGTTTCGCACTGTATATCCTTTTTTATGGGATAATTCTGTCCCTGGTAAGAGAGTATAACATGGAGCTTTTTCGTCTGTGTGCCGCAAATATCAGGTCCAAACATAAAACTGCAAAAGAGGGAATGAGTTTATTGGACAATTTATAAGTAAACAGTTACAGAACAACATCAAACATCAACAAACACAACAATTATTATAGATGAAAATGACAATTGCAAAGGAGCTAGGACAAAGATTGAGCTGAAAAATGAGCCTTCCCACATAAGCATTATGCACATGTAAGTAGGCAAGCATGACTCAAACACAAGTTCTACTTCTAATCTAGTTGAGTGAATCCAACCATGTTTCAATAAGTACTGCACAAATTAAGCTAGAATAAACTATAATAAGCAAATCATAGTTATGTTTAAAGAAAAACTAGGTAAAGGACATGGGCTTCAAAAGCCGAAAGCTCAAACATTTACGAGTGTATTTGATGTTTGCAATGCTCAACGTAACCGAAAGCACATTAAAAGAAAATCACAAGCATGATTTCCAGTTATTTCCCCATTGCACAACATGCTTGCCAATCTATGCAGAATGTTTAAAAGAAAAAGGGAAGAGTTTAGACCAAATTGTATTTCAACTATCTTTAAAATTAAGATGAAAGAAATTTCTTAACTGTTCGTGCAAGAAAAGCCACTTTTTTCCTTCCTTTCTCTTTGCAAACACACCATCAATTCCCCCCTTTGGGCCTGCTCTCCCCCCGCCCGCCCCCAAAACACTCCCTCCCGCCCTCTTTAGGTAGCAGAAAGTTCACGAATGCATAAGCTCACACATGCAAGCACGAGAAATTGCCATTCATCCATAACAGTTCCATGGAGATCATGACCAGAAAAATAAATTTAAAACCAAACTACGTCCTTAGAAAGCATAAGCATTATAGACTTTCAAAAACAAGTGATTGAATCATGGAAAGAAAAGATTAGGAGCAAAAAGAGCAAAGAAAAGTTACTGAAAAGAATAAGATCATCGTAGAACAGCTCATAAACACTTCAAATCCAGAAATTCAAATATTTTCGATTGTAAATTTCCAGCACAAACCAAATGAAATACAAATAAAAAACAAACTGATGGACCTGTATGGAGTATCACCACCAAATTTCTTCTGATTTACATAACCAGAAAGAAGTTTAATGTAACCACCACCACATTCGATGTCCTGCTCAAATTTAATAGAGAACTGGACAACTAGAGTCCTATCCTTGTTGCTGAATTCTGGTATCTTTGCAGATATGGCAAAATGCTTAGCATCATTGTATGTCTGAATACCTACAAGATTCCCACCATTCATCAATAGCAATTGCTATTAGGAACAGGAAATTTGCCCTAAATGAGGCTGAAAGTAAGAAAAAAGGATCCATTGGATCAAGGCTTAGTTGAGTTAAGTTGCAGTCTTTCCTTTCCAATCATTATCAGTTTATCAATTTCTCACTCGATTAACCTACACTCATCTATCAATTCATCTCAAGGTATATTTGAGCAATCCTTACAATTTACATGTACCCATCCTTAAGTTGCAGTAATGTCTTAGCGATTCATCTTTTCTTTCCAATCATTTATCAATTCCTCACTCAATTAACATTAACTCATCTGTCAATTCATCTCAAGAGATATCTGAGGCATCCTTACAGTTACATGTAGTGTATGTGACGTCTGCAGTGGAATGGAAAGCCTCCCACTTCAAGTTCACATTCAAAATGCTCAAATAAAATTGAATGATAATATTAAAAATCATGCCTAAATCTAGATATCATTTTCATTAAAACTCAAGTTACTTGAGTGTAGAAAATAGTACCGTGTTAGATCCCTTGCTTACTAGACATGAAATTGAAACCCTATTCCATGGATTGTATTCCATTTCTATTTAGTGAGTAAGCATTTGATTGCTATAACATCAAACTACCATAAACTCTATAACCATTTAGTTGGTGCAACTTGCAAAAGCAGGGGAAGGCTGCCCATATTAACCCTCTCCAGAGACCACTAATGTGGGATGCTTCGTGCACTGGATCACCTCTTTTAATCTCCATCTAAACTTCTAATTTCACATGTCTAGCAAGAAACCCAAAACCCATTTTTTAAATCCTTTAAAAAGTTTCAAAATTATGATAAAAGTAACCTAAAAGGAGTTGAAATAAACAAAATACCTTTATCATCAGGATCTCCAGGCCATTTCCCAGCTGTGTGTTTAAACGTACCAGCTTTTCCTTCACTTCTCTTCCAGTCCGATAACACCCACCGATCCTTCCACCCATCTTTTCAAAATCCAAATTTAATTATTCAAAAAGAATCAAAACTTTTGCAATCAATTAGATATTTTAAAATATAGCAGTTATTTTGACCATACATTGACTAGAAGTTTCTAGAGAAAGAAACAGATAGTACCAATTTTAGATCATTCATCCAAAAATTATAAGTTCGATCAAAAGAATAATTGAAAATGATTAGTTTCTTAGTGACCATTAAATCTCCAATATCTAAAAAAAAAAAAAAAAAAAAAAAACAAAAAAACTTTTTGCCAATCAATTAGGATTATTTTAAATAATAAGCAGTTATTTTGACCATTACAATTCGACTAGAAGTTTCTTAGAAATAAGAAAACAAGATAGTACCAATTAAGATCATTCATCCAAAAAATTATAAGTTTCGAATTCAAAAGAATAATTGAAAATGATTACGTTTCTTTAGTGGACCATTAAAATCTCCAATATCTAAAAAAAAAAAAAAAAAAAAAAAAAAAACTTTAAAACTTAAAACTAAACAAAAAAAAAAAAAAAAAAAAAAAACTAAAACTAAAACTAACAAACAAACAAAGGAATGGACTTTTAGCTTGAATTTTGAGATTAAAAGAAGAAAAAGATTACCAATAAATTAAAATAGAGATATCGATTAGATAAGTAATGGCAACAGTTTCACTGTCAGTTTTTAGTTTAATGGAGCATGCCAGTGTTGTTTGTTATATGTTACCTTCAAAGCGCTCTTCAAAGAAAATTTCAGAAGAAGCGAAAGGAAAAAGAAAGAGAGAATGGAGAATAGAGAGTAGAAAGAGAAGCTCTAGAGCTTGAACCAAGTGTTGGTGTAGATGCAAGTCCATTTCTGGTAAGCCAGCTTGTCAGGTATTACCTGATTATGATTTACTGGAAATAGAGGAATTGGAGAAAGATACAGTCAGCGAGGCTTCAAGCAGAAATTTACATAAATGGCCATCGTATTCCAAAAATTAAAGCGTTTATGTTATGTCGTTCGGGATACCGTCATTTCTCCTTCTCTGTCATTTGAGTTAAGTTTCATGCCCCACTCCAAACGACAACTCTCTTGTCAAAGTTGAAATGTCGTTTGTTGGAAGAAGTAAAATACTCATCCTCCCGTTAAAATGCACCTACTTTTTTTACTTTAAAATCAAGATAATATACTTAACGTGCTTAAATTGTTATTTTTATAGAATTTTTTTCCTAATATATCCATACAGTATTTTTTTTTTTTTTTGTACACTGGAAATCTAAGCCACATGAGGATACTAATTCAGTGTTAATGTGAAGAATTTGCTTTCTTTTTTTTTTTTTATGAGGCTGAAGCTATTTTTGGTCTGAAAATTCGATTGGATATCTTTATACTCGAAATTCAAATCCATATATATGCGTGTGTGTATCTATATATATATATATATTCTATTCATTGAATACCTTTCTAAATTGATTTGAAATATAAAATTATTGAATCAGACTTTCATAAGAGAATTTTCATTCACACAAAACAAAAAATTAAATTTCATAAAATTGTGAAATTTATATTTGATATATTAAATGTATCACAGTTACAACTCTGAACGAAAATTTCATACATATTATGGCCAGAGATGCGATAGAAGAAATTCCAAATATCTGGTATAAAAAAAATATAAAAAAAGCAAAGAGCTTTTCACAATTTTTTTATCATACATAATATAATTACCAACAAAAATTGGGTTCTTTTCTTTTTAAAAACTTGATGTTGATTCGATTCGGAACTATTATATGTCCAAGGTCCAATATTGGAATAATTTCGCACATTTTCGTTAATCCATGAACAGGATCGATATAGACACATAGATTCATGGATCCATACATCTCGATCGGAAAAGAATCAATAGAAAAAGAAAGAATCGGAATTGATCGATATATTTCTCGAAACAAACGAAAAGGAAACGAAAGCTGAAACATAAATCATGGATCAACTAAGCCCTCTCGGGGACTTGCTTAAGAATAAGAAAGAGGAATCTCATGTAAATACCATGGAATAAGGTTTGATCCTATTCATGGGGATTCCGTAAATATTCCCATTCCAAAACTAGAAAGTTCGAAACAATTGGGATTTTTTTTGGAGATTGGATGCAGTTACTAATTGTGGACGGATGGAAAAGCCCGACAAAGTGAAACGACGACTCGGTTGTTTGGAGTTAAAAATAAAAACAACAGAAAAGCCAATAATATTTAAAACAATGACGGTTTGATACAAATGTGTTTACAGGTGAGCTGCATAATATTGCAAAAATTAATAAGAAGCTCTTGAAATAATTTTTTATAACGATTAAAAGTGCATTTAGCGAGTCTCAATTAATGGAGATTCTTAGTTGCATTACTTTTAGCTTGTTTGTTCGTAGACAAAGCTGATTCGGGATTGTCTTTCATTTCAAGGCATAACTTGTATCCATGCGCTTCATATTCGCTTAGAGTTCGCTCCAAGAAATATCGATCATCAAACTAAGAAGTACAAAAGACAGAAACAAATTCACTATTTGTTTTACGTCAAGCAATACATGGAGTAACTCCCGATATAGCAGTAAAAGCAAGGCGTGTTGAATAGATTGAGTTTAAAACAACAACGATTAATTACTATTGCTATAAAGCAAGCTCGTATTTTATCTTTGTTACCTTTTCTTAATAACGAGCTTTGTCAATGTACAACACACGTCATAAAAAAGACTAATACTATATATAAAAGTGGGAATAAGAGGTGAATAATGAGATTGCCGATATTGTTCATGTGAAATTTAAGATATCCTAAAATAACCTTAATCTTAGTCAATTAAATAATTTTAATCTAAAAATATATATAATATTTTTATGATTTGATTGGATATTTTTTTTTACTTTTTAATCTATAGCCCTTGTGTTTTGTGAATACATATTTAATCATGTCAATAATTTCTTGAAGCTCGATCTTCGTCCCCCGAGGCGAACCCATATAGACCAGAGAAAGCATGAAAACCCAGAATACGAAGCGCAGAGTCACGTCATAAAGAATAATTAGCCGGTTTGGAATATTCGGGAAGTCAAATACATATTTTATCATGTCAATAATTTCTTGAAGCTCGATCTCTCCCCCGGACGAACCATATAGCCAAGAGAAAGCATGAACCAGAATAGAAGGAGAGTACGTTATAAAGAATTAATTAGCCGGTTGGATATTCGGGAGTCAAAAATTCGTTAAACTGATAGAAGGGCTTCTTTTATCATGTCAATAATTTCATACAAATTCCTCAATGAGGGGAAAAAAGAGACCATTTTCACTTATCGAACTGTTTAAATTTATGTATAATTTCAGAAAACAAATGCCAATGAGAATATTTTCGAAGAAAAACTCCTTCCACTTCACACTTAAATGCTTTCTTTCATAACTTAACAAGGACCACCCATCTATACCTCAAACCCATGTAGGATTTATGTACATAAATTAGAAAACCTCATGTCCTTCGCCCACTTGGTGGTTAAGGACACAACTATAATGGGAATGTTGCTATTGTATATGCATCACTAATGTTGCATTTCACATGGCCAAGCACAAACTAGTTAAAAATCACCTTTTTGTTTTCATGTCTATACTTCGAAGCCTTGGGGATGATTGTGATCCGCCACCTAATGCAGCAGCAGCAGATTCAACGTGAGTAAGAAGATATTCATAAATCTTCTTTCTTAGCCTGTCGACTGTCTCCGACGAAACATGGGATGTTTCCGTTTCATCCTTGTTTGACCCACCAATCTCATCTAACCAGTCATTCACACTCTTCAGCTGAGTTAGCATGCCTGCTATTTGACCATTATCTGATAAAGTTGAGGAATCCACATCAGCATCTAAGAACCTCTCCACAAATCCCAGGAACCAATCCTGGGACTGGGTTCTCAACATTTCAGCCAAATCGACAGCCTCATCAAGGCCATCTCCTTTGATCCACTCAGGTGGAGGTTGGGGCAGCATCTTCTGAGTGATGGTAGAACTATCACCTGATTTGCGAAAAGCTCCTGTTGCTACAAGCTTGGAGACAACTGTTGGGCGGTTTTTCCCTGACATTTTTGTTGATGCATTCTTAGAAGAATTTTCAAGGACTAAAATGGGTTGATTGTTACTATAAGTCTTTTGCCCCGTAGTGGGTGCTGAGGTTGCTTCTTTGGTAAATACAGAAAAGGATGACAAATTGGTGGCCAATGCAGCTTGGACCCAAGAGGCTGCATGCTTACGTCTATCCGATGTGACCTTTAGCACTTCTTCTGATGGGCTGACATCAGAATCTGGAGATGAACCAACAGGAATAATTTTAGACAGGGAGTCAGCAACCGTGCGAGCATTATTCAAGCTTGCATGGAGGGTCAAGAACTGCTCTACAGCAGGCTGTGGGTTATCTTCTTTAGCAGTAGAAGTTAGCTCAGAGTATATGCTGCAAAGAAGGGGAAAAAAAGAAAAAAGTTCAATCAAAATGTAGATACGTACTGAAATGAAGTATATATTGTACATGAGAAAATAAAAAGAAAAGATGCCGTTTATTTCTCAAATGCAAACAATTTCATCAAGCAAGAAGAATGCAAGTTAGTTTTGATTTGGCCAACATCTGTCAAACGTGGAGGCATTCTGCCAAACAATAAAAGAATTTATCACCAAGGCTTTACACAACAATTTTTTCTGATATAGATCATTCATAAGCCCAGCATTTTTCTTACTGAGCTCTTAATTTTCCTAATATGATTTTGAATTGGTCATTTTGGCTCTTCTCCACATTGGGATTTGTTTCCATTATTGCTGCTTCCGACTGTTGTCAACTATAATGACCTTAATATTGTTCTATAGAAGTTATATTTGTATTTAACTTCCAAGCCATTCAAAGGGCTTTGTGGTCTTGCAAATGATCTTAGGGATATTAAATTTATTCTCAAGCCTACATCTATAAGTTTGACCATAGAAGTCAAAGTTAAACAGTTCTTGAATGCAGTATCAGAGCCTCTTTTGACAATTTTGTCAAAAGTTCCACCCCCCAATCTTATTACTTAACTTTGAGAGCAAAGATTATACTACTAGATATATAAACCTTTTCTTTTCATTTGCTATCATATTCAAACTAGAATTTTTAGGTTGAACCACTAACAGTTGATTGTCTAGAATCAAGTTTGGATCACTTTATTTATTCCATGACAGCAGTGACTACAGCAAGTGACAAACTATAAGTTATAACCTAGCATTGCAGAATTTCACCCAATATCCTTCCACTATTGCTTAAAACCGGTGTTATCTAAATAAATGCCATTTCGGTCTAGAATTATAACCCCTTTTAGAATCTCGAAGGCTCTTCGGATCCAAAATTCCATTCTCATTCAGCAGTTTAATAAATTCTATAAAGTTAGTAATTCTATATAATCAAAGCATCAAAAAAACTTTCCCCCTTATTTTTCCTTCCTCCACTTTTCTCTTTCCCAAACAGAGGCTGTGACTCCTACACAATTTATGGTTCTTCTACAAGCAAATTTAAGAAACACTTAAACATAGACAAACATACTTGTTGAGTGCCATAGCTTTGGTTCTGGAAGAAGGGGACAAGAAAGGTAGTGTGAAGAATGTTACAATAGTATTTCTTCCTTTCTTCTTCTTCTCTCTCTCTCTCTCTCTCTTTTTTTTTTTTTTTTTTTTTTTTTTTTTTGGGGGGGGGGGGGGGGGTTGTGGGTTGGCAGGGGGAGAACATAGCCACAATATCCAATTAATCAAGATTATATTAAAACATTTCAAGCAAAGTTATTTCTGCCATTGGGATTCAGGAAAATCTACATAAGCCTAGGCATACGACAATTTCAGACAAGCTGTAAGCTCACAGATTCAAACAGCTTCAACCATAAATCAGATTACACAAAAAAGCTTAATAGTGAGAGCGGTTGGTAATTATGGATGGGGGGGTTGGTGGTGGCAGGGGGAGAACATAGCCTACAACCAATTTATCAAGGATTATATTAAACATCAAGAAGTTATTTCTGCATTGGATTCAGGAAATCTACATAAGCCTAGCATACGACAATTCAGACAAGCTGTAAGCTCACAGATTCAAACACTTCAACCATAAATAGATTACACAAAAAGCTAATAGGAGAGCGGTTGTAAATTATGGATATCTAAAAGTCTTTAATGATTAAATATTATTCGAGTATCCATGCAGAACAATTCTAATGCATAAAGGACACATAAGGCAAACGAACACCTAGACAAGAGTGCAGTCAATTGAAATGGAAGAGAGGGAAGAATCACAGAGCATTAATTGAAAACTGAAGCATGTCTGTTTTTTTTTCTTTGTTTTCGTATGACACTAGAAAGACAAACAACATGCATGTGTGACCAAAACCATAACACTTTACTTTCAGACCTTGCCTATGTCATGATAACTGTTTCTTTATGGAAAAAAGACCAAAAAGATAAATTCATCATGAAAGTATTATGCACCTAATGCACACCACTTAAATTATGCAAGAGATGCCGTTGGTAGTAGGTTCCATATTCAAGAAAGCATGGTATACAAGTCCATGGTATGTTATATAAAGCACCTATTTTACTGAAAGCAGGCAAAATATTATATTTTAAATTAATAAAATAAGAAACTGAAGGATATTGACTACCATGCTTCACAGCATCATATACCCTCATGATACGAGCAATGTTTTTTATCCAAAAAAAAGAGCCATTCAATTAAGGAGATAAAAAAATATCTTTTGAATTGTCATTGATGTGCACTTATGAGGTTAAAACACAGAAGAGAACATAGACAGTTGTTAAGTTTGCTTCTTTAATTCTTCACTTTCTACCAATTGCAGTTCCATATAGCATTTTGATGGATACATTGCTATATAGCATTTAGTAAAAAGCAAAAAGAAAAACTCACAATTTCAGACTACAAATGTTCAAAAGAGCTTCACATTTAGTCCTTCCCAAACCATGTACCTTAGATCCTTAGAGCTAAAATTAATCCATGTCAAAAGAATGCAAAAGGCTAGAGTGTAACCAATCCCTTACAATTTTAGCAACTATATTGTAGTCAAAGAGAAAACAACAATGTTAAACTAACAGAACCACTTAGATTCCTTTCGGGAAAAAAAAAAAAAGAACCACTTACATTAGGTTCTATCAGTATTCTACAAACTACTTGACGGACTCCACTAACAATGTCCTCTAAGTTCCTTAAACAAATACAAGATTTATGAATTAGCCTTCCAGGGAAAAGAATGTGGTTCAGGTAATACTAGAAACTACATGAAACACTGAATTCTTACCTAGAAAGTACACTGCCAGTCAGAACTTCAAACAAAATGGTAATAATTCTAGTTTAATTTCCAGTACTTACCTTAGACATTGAAGTAAGCTCTCTGCAGCAGAAGCCTCTTGAATAGCCTCTATTGCAGCTGTCTGTGCAGAATCTCTATGCTTCATAACTTCCTGCATAGTGAATAAGAAATAAAAATGAGAAAATTGAAAGCAGGTATGAAACTTAACATGACTTGTAGAAGACCAGAAAACCAAACGAATAAAGTTTTTTCAAAGAAAGAGCACACGAAATTAAAATAATTGGCCCTCAAAATAATTCATGCATTAAGAAATAGTGATTGTGAACAGTCAACTGGAATTTTTATATTTTTATTTTTGGCTATTTAATTTATGAGGAACAAATATTGACACCTAAAGCTAACTGCTAATGTAGAAAGAAAGTTACATTGCATGGGATCTTTTTGTAGTATTAATTTGAGATACTGACATATGGATGATGTTCCCAAGAAAATGAGTAAAAAAAACTAAAAGCAGCATGTGACACAGAGTAATTACACCCAGGATACAAGCAACTTACCATATACATCTATAACTTCATTCTGCTTGGGTTCTATACTTTTCTAGTTAGTTTATCTAATCAAATGTTGCAAGTAAAAATTCTGTACAATGTCTATGGTTCTATGTAAACTTGGATCATAGTTTAACAAAACTGGCTGCCAGCAATTATGACAGGATCCACTTAAGCTGCATATTATTGAATACTTGATAAATAGGGACCTTTCAGAAAAGAAAAAGCATTATCAAATTATAAAACTTGTCTCCATGCCCAACCCCCAACAAGAAAAGATGAAGCATTAAGTTGTGAAGGTCAGATGCACCATAGAGACCTTACCTTTCCGAGCTTAGCAAGAGAAGAGGGGAGCGAACTCCATGTAACATTGCCCTCTGTCAATTTCCTACTATTTACTGCAACCTTGACCAAGTTTCCTGGAAACCCATTATTACCGAGGTCTCCTGACGATTTCTTTCCAACAGATGTTCTTAGCTTATTTGACTTCTCATGATCATCCAAATTTCCATTTGAAGAAACTTTCTTTGTAGATATTGGATTTCTGTTCTCCTCTTTGGATGACTTGGCAGATAGTCGGCTCTTATTGTCCTCTTTAGATGGCAACCTCTCACCTGAGAAGCTTTTTCTCGGAGCCTGCCAAATACATTTATATTGGATGTAAAACCTAGTTATTTGGCTTCAGTAGAGCTGGGCAAGATACAACAAAAGCTGAATTGTAAAATATAGCAATAAGCAAAAGATATTCACAACTTTTCAGGGAGTCATCACAAAATAAGGATAATTAAGAGATGCAATCATCATTTCAATAACTTTATCCCTCAAACCACATAACGTCATCCTAAACAATAAATCTCCAAAACTGTTGCACCAATTGGGAAACTAAGAACAGTGAAAACCAAGGATTGATAATAAAAGGAATCAGGTTTGAAAACCCAGTACAAACCTATTACATTGTTTATATGCAAACTGAAGAGATTAATTTAAATGCATCTCAAACAAATCACATTCTAGTACTAAATTTAATATTTATAAACAATTACACTTACAGAAATACTCCGCGCCTCAGGCTTTGGATCGTGTTTAGCTGCCCTTAATTTTGAATTCTCCCGATTCTTCACCTCCACATTCCCTTCCCAACTCTTTCTTAAGGCTTTGGCCCCCAGCTCAAACCCTTGAACTATATTCTTGATGACTGGTACCCTCTTACTTGGACTTGCCCCACGAACAGAATTCGCCTTTTCCGCTACTCCTGCCTTAGTTGTTCCCTTCTCCGACCCCTTAATCTTTGCCTGATGCTTAATCCCAGTGGAAAATTTCTCAAATGAAGTAGGCAATGAATAACAACTTGTAGGAGAGGAAGGAATAGACCTTGAACTTGATGATTTTGATTTTGCCAAAGCTTCCTTCCTCAAATCCAAATTCAATGTAGGTTTAGACAATTGAGACTTTGATCTGCTAAAAGATGTTCGCTTATCTGATGAATCCTCCTTATTGGCGTTACCATCAAGTCTAACTCCCACCACAGGTTTTTCCTTCTCTCTTCCACTATTACTGCCTGAAATCCCTCTTACAGGTGATTTAACTTTCTCTAATTGTTTTGAACCTGAACTTGAATCAAGATTATTATTATTGAGGAACCCAAGCGAACGAGTAGCTACAATATCTTCTGGGCTCCCTACACAAGGGTGCCTTCCTGGGACTGGCCTAACACCTCTAAGAATAGGGACAGGTGAGGCTGATTCAAGCCTTTCAACATGAATAAATTGACCCAGTTGGATTTTATCACTAAGAATGAGATCATCATGTTCATCAGGTAAAGATACATAAGTGGCATGAGATGAATCTGATACCTTGAGATAAAACCCTTGGTTAGGGAATAGCTCACCCCCCGCTAGTGCCGGTACAATACTCACTACCTGTAACAAAGATGACCTATGCTCACCAGCAACTCTGACATCTGTATTCATGTGTTGCAGAAGTTTGAGAAGCACTCCGGGGACAAGATTTGCCATTTCTTAAGAAACCTTCAATTTGCATCAGTGTGATATGCCTAGATGTAGAAGTTTAGTTTTTGACATATAAATAATATAAAACTTGAAATAACTGTCGAAAGAAATGGCTTTTGTCAATAACCCTTGTTGAACTTGAAACCAAGAATCAAAGATTTGGACTTTGGGTATTATAGAAGGAAAGAAAATATTATACTTTAAACCCAGATGACAATTTGTTACCAGAAAGAGTTTAATCTTATCAAGTTCAAAAGAAAGAGAAAAAGAATGCACAAGACTGAGATTGGAGGATGTTTTGGTTTATGGAACTAATAATGCCGATTAAAAATTTATTGAAAAGCGACAAAAGACAGAACAAACACCATCTGGTTTTTCGTCAAGAAAATGCATTAACTATAGAGTCCAACCCAACAATCCAAAAAAAAAAGGTAAGCAAATTAAGGACCAACTAAAGATGAAATTTTAAGAATCAAGAAAAGAAATTTATCAGAAAACACAACCCAGAAAGTAAATACGATTTTCTCAATAATATTGGAGTAATAATGGTGTACAGCTTGGACAGGAACAAATGAATCGTACTAAAAAACTCAACAACCCAGAAAAGAAAATGACTGCAAGTCTGTAACTGATGGTAGCATTTGGCATTTTATGCCCAAAAATTAATAAAAAACAAATAAATAGCAATTTGTATAGAAAATCCAAAATTGGAAAGCCAGCAAATTTGGAGGAAATTTTAGCTGAGTTTTCTTCTAGGTTCAATATAAAAGCCAAAAGAGAAATCCAATTCAAATGGTTAAAAAGGCAAACTTTTATTACTACTATTATTATTGGAAGGAGATAAGAAGAGAGAAAAGGAAAGCACAACCAAGAAAGAAAATTGAAAAATCCTTATTTCATATTGGTCATATTGGAGCTGAAAATTTGGAGGAAACAGAAAAAGGTTAAAAGGAATAATTTATGCCAGGCTTATTGCATGATTGTCATTACATAATCCATATAAACAGAGAGAACTTGTCAGTAACTGACACAGACCCATATATCACACATTCAACATCTTAATGAGTACAAAAAATCTGACCCACTTAAACTGGCTTGGATTGGATTAATTTGAACAAAACACAATTCACTATAGAGAAGAGAAAAAATAATATAAAATAAACTGTCTAGAATGAGTTTCTGGTTATATAACGAAGAAGGAAAAGGGTCTCCCCTAAATTCTTTCTTGCAGGAGAAAGGAATCTTATCAGAGAACAAAAGCAAAAAAAAAAAAAAAAAAAAAAAAAAAAAAATGCTGACCCACTTAAACTGGCTTTTGGATTGGATTAAATTTTTGAAACAAAACACAATTCACTATGAGAAGAAGAGAAAAAATAATATAAAATAAACTGTACTTAGAATGGAGTTTCTGGTTATATAACGAAAGAAGGAAAAGGGTCTCCCTAAATTCTTTCTTGCAGGGAGCAAAGGAATCTTATCAGAGAACAAAAGCAAAAAAAAAAAAAAAAAAAAAAAAAAAAAAAAAAAAAAAAAATTAAAACTTGCATTAATTTGTGGGCTCTTTTTTTTCTATTATTTCTTTTAGGTAATGGGTTTTTATAATAAATTAATAATGTATTTGGTAATATAATTTACTTAAATTAAGGTTAATATATTTTTTTTCTGTGGGTTTCTAAGGTCAATATTTTTTATGTGTATGGAAATGCAAATGGGTGCATGTGCAGAGCGATGGGAAGTGTTAGGAACAAGGTGATGGATTGTCGGCTACCTGAAAAGGTGTCACATCCTCAAGATAACAAGCAATTGCAGTGTCCTCTCTTACAATTTTTTATTTTGCTTATTATTATTATTAATTATTATTTATATTAACCTTTTTTTTTAATTATTTATTTTATTAGTTGTAGTACTAGTTTTTCCTTCTTCAACATGTGGAGAGGGGCTTATGCTTCTCAATCCACGCATATCATGCATGTGCTAGATATTGGAAGTGGACCCAATTAACCATCTTATTCAAAAAGGCAAAATCAATATGCTTTTCTTCTTTTTTTTTTTTTTTTTTTTTTTTTTTTTTTTTTTTTTTTAAATTTTAGCCCTTTGAACAAATGGTGAGGGAAAATTAGGTTTTCATAGGACCGTTGTTTTATATATAAATTTTATTCATATTAAAGAATTTTATTTTAAAAAATATAATTATAAGATTTGTAACTTCTAATTTTATTAACATGTTTAGTTCATTTTCTTTCAAAACAAACATCTTTTAATTATTTAATTGACCAAAAAATTAATATAATTCTTATTAGTTTTTTTTTTTTTTTTTTTTTTAATTTTAGCCCTTGACAATGGTGAGAAAATTAGGTTTTCATAGGACACGTTGTGTTTATATATAAATTTTATTCATATTAAAGAATTTTATTTTAAAAAATTAATTATAAGATTTGTAACTTCTAATTTTATTAACATGTTAGTCATTTCTTTCAAAACAACATCTTTTAATTATTAATTGACCAAAAAATTAATATAATTTCTATTAGCATTCTGATTTCTTCCCTTATGATTCTCGTTAACACTTTGATCTCTCGGACAAAAAGATTAAAGTGTCAAAAAATCATAATTTAAAGATATCGCAGTTTTTTTTTTAAATAAAGGTTCTAATATATTTCTCCCTGTTCCAAAATCTATATTTGTGGGCTATCTATGGCAGCCATCATCAGCTCCACTTAGCCAAACTACAGTATGGTGTGAATGATACTACACACATGACATGTTTGAACTTTACTTACAACAACAACAATTAAGTCTCAATCCAAGACTAATAAGAATGAACATAATAATTTTAAAAAACAAAAAAAAAAATGATTATTTTGATTTCTTGAGATTACCCACTCATGGAATTTAAATATTTTGAATTAATATATATAATAGGTTAATATTTTAATCTCTGACACATTACCAAATTTAATTATTTAATATTAAATTATTGTCGTATTGCTATATTATATAATTTGGAAAGATAAGCTAAGTACAACATTAATTATTTATTTTAGTACACTCATCAACATATGGTTAATTTTAGGTTGGTGGGTTGTGTCTTAGCCCCACTCAAAATTTGGCTGCTTCACATCCAACTCATTCATTAATTTTTACACAACATCACATTAATGTTTGATTTAGAAGATCTTGCAAGACAAAAGTTTGCCCCACAAAAATATTTGGCTCCTACTTATTCAAATCAATTGTTGGTTTCCACTGCATGATACAGATCTCAACGGTTCATAATTTTTGGATTTTTTTTACCCACAAAATTATTTGGACTCATGGTTGATATTTGAACTTTCAAATCCATTTATTGTTGAAAATTGAATGTAAATATAATAAAAGAGAAATCCCAATATAGGAAAATATATATTCTTGTATTAATTCATATGGAATTATCAGTTAATGGTTTAAAGCTTTTAATATAACACTTTAATTTGATAAATCTAGAATATTTTTGTATTTGATTCAGTCCAATTTGAGCAGTTTTAAACTTAAAATCATAAATCAAACTAATTTTTAATTTAAAAAATTTTTCAAATCAAAACAAACTACATCTAGGTTGGTTCGGCAAAGTTTTTTTTAAGTAGCTTTTGCTATTTTTTTCGGTGTTCATTAACATAATGTGTGAACTAGCATTTTAAAGTAACTTTTATTTATAAAAAAGTTATTCATCGTAAGATTTAAATTTTTAACGTTTTATGAAAGGTTACTATTAAAATAACTAAAATGTTAAGATTGTGTTCGGTAACAGTTTTTTTAATAACTTTTAGCATTTTGACCACTCAAAACTCAAAATGTTATTTTTATAGTGTTCGGTAAGATAGCATTTGAACTAATTTTTAGATATTAATGTATTATTTTATAAAAACTTAACTTATATAACATTTAACTTTTAGCGTTTTTTTAAAAGCAATTAAAATAATTAACAGTTACACGCTGCTAAAATAATTAATAATTAAAAAAATTAAAATCGGAGTGAAATTGTAGATATTGCAATTCTGTAGTTAAAGTTGCAAAAAAAAAAAAATAATAATAATAATAAAAAGCAATGACGAGGCATTTCTTTGAGGGTGGAATGGTTGACATGACAAAGTCAAACCATAAAATCCATAGTAGTGGTTGCAAAATGTTGCCCATTAAGTCATACAACAATATACTATTGCTTATGATTAATACTAATACTACTTTTTTTTCTTTGTTGAATCATTAATAAGACAAAACTCTTAACTCCACTAATTAATATAGCATCATAAATACTTGGCTAATCTTAGCGGTACGTGTCTATTTTAACGGCCCACAAACTTGATTAATTTTCACTCGTCCTCAAAGGTAAAAAGGCTAGTCGAAGGAATTTGCATCACAGAAGATCAAATCTATAACTTAAGCCATAATAATTAATTCTGCAAGTGCTCTTTGTCACTAAGCTAGCCATTCAGGTTAAATCCAAGGGTTAGGGAATAAATTTAGAGTTTAATTTTCATAAATTTTCTATTATTAACGAAAATGATTTACCTTGAACTGAACTCTAATGATAATATCTTACCATTAAATTAAAAAAAAAATAAATTCTAAGGTTAAAATTAACTAATAAATAGATTTTCTATTATCTTATTGTTTATAATTCAATTTTTGAGCTAATATTGAAAAAGAATGAATTTCACTTTTTTGCATCAATTATTTGGTTTTAAGCGAACTTGAGAAATAAATTCAATAAGGTACGTAAAATTTAATATTTATGATTTTCAAAATTTTCAACATTTTATTATGTATGTTGTTTATATTAAATATTTGCTAAAAAGAAACCTTAAAAATTAGTTTAATTAATAATTCTAAAATAGATGATTTATTTTTTTTTTATTTTTATTTTTTGCAACTCTATAGATATAAATATAAAGTGCATCATTAAAGAAAGAGGAGGGGCAGGCCTCTTCTTCTTTTTTTATTAAGTAATAATTACTCATATTAACTTTGGCCACACTTACTCTAATGACTCATTACCTAATGATTAACCTTTTTTAATAGGAAATATGTTTAAAATAGGGAATAAAGCTAAAGCAATTGCAATTATGTGATGTTCTAAAGTTAATTAACACTAAACCAAACAAGTTTTAGCTTCTTTCTCACACTCATTTGCAAGTAATCTCTAAGCAAAAAGGTTAATCATTTTGATTAACAAACAAAAATCTTTGCTAATTATATATTTTGTTTTGCTCATAAGTTTCTTGTACATGAGTTATCCATATTGTCTATGCATGCTTGCTTCCCACATATTAACACAATCCAACACTCTTGTACCTTTTCTAATAATGGCTAATAAAGGAAAAACATAAATTATAATTACATTAGCACTCCAATATTTATTTTATGTTTTTAAAAAACACAAGTTTCCTAAAGGCTCTTTCATTGTCACTTAGACGAAAGAAATCATAATTTAAGAATCTCATAATTATTTTTTTAAAATAGCAATTCTCATATGTTAATTTGATTATAATTAAAGATTATTTATTTTTTTTGCGACTAATAATTTAATGATACGATGTTAGCCAAAAATGATAAACGCATCACTTATGCTTATACGTATACTTATTGTTCTAATTTATAAACATGATCTAGCTGAAGCCTTCTCAAGGGACTGAGAAGTTAAGCCAATAATCACTTTTTCTACTTTTTTTTTCCTTCAGTCAATTAATATTTCTGTCCTTTTCTTACTAATTTCTCTTTATTACATGGAGCAATAATATAATTATTTATTTTATTTGAAAATAATTTAATTATTTATTTTGGATCATGATTATAATTTCGTCTCGCTTGATAAATATAATTATTATGTCATATCATAAAATTACATATAATTTCTGTCATTTTTATCACTAAATCAATGATTAAATAGTAACTCAATTATAATTTTTTTTAATCATTTAATATTTTTGTCTTCTTGTTACTAATTTTATTTTATTATATGACTAAATAATTATTTTGGTCGTTGAAATTATAATATAATTTCTTTTATTCAAAGAATATACTTATTAGTCTTTGAAGTTGAAATTTATTATAATTATAATATAATTTCTTTTATTCAATGAATATACTTATTAGTCTTTGAAACTTTGTTAGCCGTCTAAAATGTTATTTTTATTTAGCTATAATCAATATAAGTTACCAAACAAGAGTAAAAAATTATAATTGTGCCCAAAATTGAACAATAAAATAGTTATTTATCCTATTTTCTTCCTCACCTTTTTAAAAACATTTTGGATGATGGGCTAATCTAGAATCCTACGGATTGGAGATCGAATGCACTGGGCTTTTTGTTTTTGTTGTCGCCGGAGGTAGAGATGGGCCAGCAATGTAATACAGACAGGGAGATGGTCAGCTAACCAAATTGTGCATGTTATATTCAACCATTTCAAAATATATATCATTTTCAAGTAATTATTTTATTTTAAAATATATATCATTTTAAAATAAAAGATAAATTTCTTATTATTTAAAAAAATTAATTACTTTTATATTTTGCAAGAGACATATATAAATGAACCAATGAATCTAAAAGAAAAGCTAGGACAAGAGATGACAAAATCATCTAACATACCCTGAGAGAACGATATGGAAGCCTAAATCACACAACACGTAAGTTCTAAATTCCATAACTACAAAAAAATCCACTAAGCAATGATTGCCAAAATCCACAAGTATTTCAATCTCAAAAATACATCAACACAGAAGAGATTCTTGTTCATATCCTAAAAAATATTCCACAAAGCTCAGAATCGCTGTCAACTTTCACAGCTCTTGCACGCTCAAACCTGCATACAGATTAAAAACAGATTCATTTAGGTGTGAGACCCAGAAATCACCCATGCAGAGGGAAGAACAATGCCCAACATTTCAATTAGTTTTGAAATTTTCTAAACAAGCAACAAAACTACCAAGTTTATTTTTAATAAACATCGAGCTAATCATTTAAGAAATTGGGTTTAACAAATAACCTGGAGGGAGAGACTGCTTCAATTTGTCAGCCTTCTCAGAGTCAAATACACACAGAGTGTACAGGTACTTGGAGCAGCGAACCTTGAATTTGACCACATCCTTGCCCCTCTTTATCTTCACAGAGTGTGCATCCTTTCTCCTTGCAGTGAGAAGGAAATCTTTAATCTCATGAATTTGCTTGGGCTGTATAAAAAAACCAACATTAGTTTTTATCAAAACCTATCAGCAGAGCCAGCAGGGGGTTATAAAATATTTCCGAAGACAAATTTTCAGCCATTAAGAAGCACTTCGTATTATCAAAATAAAACAAATTTCAGCCTTTAAGAAGCACTTCATACAACTAATTTTGAAACTAAACAAAAATTTGTCCTGCGAACAGAAAAAAAGTGAACTGAAATACATTCATTGGAATCACAATATAACAGCACAGACCAAGGACATCAATTTGATAAACAACCCACTTTTAACAAAATTATAATTCGAGGACATAACTATCAAGACAAATGTAATGATCAACGAAGAATTACTAAAATGGTAACAAGAAAATGTAGTTTCCCGACGTCCAATACAGCATTAATTACAGCACTGGATAGCGAGGGAAACACAACTTTTTAGGCTTCATAATTAGCAGCATTAACTAATTAAACTTAGCATACAGCTGTAAGCTTACATAAAACATGAAGCCATTACATTATACAAATAAACTTCCAAGTACAAACAATGAAAATTATAACACATCTTTTTAGACATACACAAATATCAGACACTAACTAATTACACTTAGTGTGATGTTATAGTTTTTAAATAAAGATTTACATAAAGCTTCCGTTTCTTGCCCGGAAAGTTCAAAACATATGTTATAGAACTCAGTCCCTTAGATGTTCGTAAGAGTTGCGATCATTACCGCAAATCATTACAGGTCTGTAGGACTCATCATTGCTCCAATACTGAAGCTAAAAAAGAGTTGCTCTAGTGTTGTGCACTACAAAATAAAAAAGGGTAATAGCTGAAGTAGAAAGAAAGGTGCACAACATATAATATTCTGAATCTCTACAACAAATGATTTCTCAAAACCACATTGGAGAATGACTCCAACGGTACAACTCATATAACATAATCAAAAAAATACCAATATAATGTAATTATAAAGAAAAAAATGAATCAAAACAGCAAACAAGAGAATGTAGTTTCCCAACGTCCAAATGCAACATAAAATTCAGCCTTGGATAGCGAGGGAAACAACTTTTTAGGCTTCACAAAAAGCAGCATTAACCCATTGAAATTAGTGTAAAGCTGTGATCTTAATACAAAGATTGAAAAAGCCTTCACATTTCAATTTTCACACAGTATTCTTAAAGCATAAAAAGAGACTACTAATATTTTTGAGAACATAATGTATTAAAGAACTCAGTCCCTTAGATGTTCTAAAGAGTTGCGATCATTGCCGCAAATCATTACAGGTCTGTAGGACTCACTGTGATCTTAATACAAAGATTGAAAAAGCCTTCACATTTCAATTTTCACACAGTATTCTTAAAGCATAAAAAGAGACTACTAATATTTTTGAGAACATAATGTATTAAAGAACTCAGTCCCTTAGATGTTCTAAAGAGTTGCGATCATTGCCGCAAATCATTACAGGTCTGTAGGACTCATCACTGCTCCATTTTGATGTTCCTTAAAATAAGAAAAAGTGTAAATATAGTTGCTCCAGTTTTAACACCTCAATTCAATATAATAAAGTTGAGGGACAGATTTAACAAAAGCAACACAAAAACTATTGCTTCAAGGGAACGAGTCGAGAGGGAATAGATAAAAATCCACACTGACCAGATAGTGAAGCATTCAAGAGATCAAGCTCAGTAAAATTTCCCACTTCTACCAAACCTCAAGAATCCATATATTCCAAACTTAAAACTTTAAAATATTAAAAGATTAAGCACTTCATTGTTAACAGCTTAATGCTACACAGCAGTTGATATTTAAATCTCAAACTAGTGTCTGAGAACTCATATAATTTGTTGGAAATTGCAATAAAAAAGATAGCTACCTAAAGACATAGCCACCATATACATTTTCCTCATATCTAACTTTTCTTTCAAAAAGATTAAGACACTAGATAAATCAAGGAAATGAGATCTGCAATCAAAACCCACCATTTTTTATTATTCAACTGGTTCCAAATTTCAATATTTTAAAAAATCAAAAAAAAAAATGAAAGAAGGAGAGACTAAGCAATCACACATAAGAAACAATCAAAACAAAGCATACCAGATTATAACAAAAAATCAAATCAACTAAAGAGAAAGGAGAAAGAGTGGAATACCATTTTGACTGAGGTTTTTGAGCGATCTCAATTAAGACTGCACGCCTCAAACCCTACCTCTATCGATGGTCACAGGCATTATATATATAGGCCAACAATATCTGGTTCTTAAACCCTAGAAAACTTTATGCCCCTTGTTCTCCTTTTTACCCCGATTAATCTGTTTTTATTACACCAGAGTTGTTGTTCATTATTAATGGGCCGAAGAACTTATTATGGGCCGAAATTGTTACCCATACTCATTATGTTTTGGGCCTTTGAGTCTGTGAAAGATAACGCATTTAGGTGATTTCTTAGTTATTTCGAATTATTGGGCTTAGACCCAAAGACTCCTTTCATAAAGGCGACCCAAAAAATTTTTTTTTTTAACTATGGGCTATTCAAAGTCTAGTCTTATTAATTCAGATTCGCGTCGGGAAAGCTCACGAAAAAGAGCAAAATGTTCCCTTATATATAGGGCTAATCCCTTATATACAGGGCTAATCTTATTTTAAAGTCAGTGATTATCACTTCGGATCTTCTCAGCAAAGTTAATTGTTTTGGTAGTTGTTAATTGTTTTGGTAGTGTTTAGCTTTTAGTTGTTTAAGTAATTTTTTATGAAAGCTAAAAGTTAAACGTCATGTGAGTTAACTTTTCACAAAACGCTATTTTAACCTCTAAAAACTAGTTTAAAGGTTATAGCGTTTAGCATTTTGACCGATTATAACACTAAAAGTTACTTAAAATGGATGAAATTTCTAATTTTATAAAGATGTTATCCTGAAATCAATAGTGTGGTATTACTTGAATCATTCCTTATGAATGATGAACTAGACTGTCAATAACACAATGGCAATAGTATTACAAATTGCATGATGAAATCAATCATTCCTCGTAGTACCAATAATTACATTCATTGTTCAGGAAAAAGAAAGAAAAGGTGCATCATACTACAATTAAATAATATGAAATTGCCTACAATTTCATTTGGGCCCTAGAAAGGAAGAAAGAGATAGGAATCAAAATATAAAAATACGATTGATAGCGAAAGAGCAACTTTGAAAGCCACCTTTCTTTTTTGGAGGGGCTAGCTTTCATTCATTCCATCCTAGCTATTAAGTTAATTCCAAGTGGAGAAATGGGTGTTCCACCATTAATTTATATATATTATTTTAATTTTACCCACAGAAAATTGTGTAGGACATGTTGTACTTTTATCCTTGTATATATTCTATCATATATATCTCATTGAAAGAGAAGATTCTTCTAGGTCTAGGGTATAATTAAATATATAAAATTTAGGGTTTCTTGCTCTTTCAATTAAGTGCACTTTCAATATTAGCAATCCTTAGAAGGGAAGAGATGGTCAGCTCGAGAAAATTTTCTCAATTACAATTCTTATGAAAATTTTCAAAAATGGATCGACTTAATTAGTAAAGCGAATTCATTTTTTGGTTTACGAAAAAAATCTGATTTTTAGGACTAAATTTGGAAAATAATTTTTGAACGTATAACTTGTTTAGGAGAAAAAAATTTAATCTTGTGCACGAAATATACCTAATCCATTTTTTTTTTTTAAAAGAAAAAAGTTTCACTAGGAATCTACAATAAAAGACAAATTAAAAGCAAATCAAATAAATAATGAATTTGGAAAAATCAATCCCATAACATATGAACTGAATAAATAAATGGGAGAAAAAGAAAAGATGATGATCAAATCAAACTTAAAAAAGCTTTTGAGAGGAACAATTTTAATATTTAAAAACAAAGAAGAAGAAGAAGAAGAAGAGGGTTTTCAGTTTTCACTGTTAAAAATGTGTCCATATGCCTATATGAAGGTAGTGTATGTGTTTATGTGAGCATGTGATGATGCAATGTATGTATATAGATGAAGGAAGTGAGTGTATGTATATGAGAAACACAGAAATGTATGTGAAGAACAGTACAAGGTCTTATCTAAATCTAGAAAAGTTGTTTTCCACTATATAATGTTGGACTAAAGGGAGTGCATGTGCATGGTAATTCAAAGCAAATATGCTATTCAAATCACTAGACAGAGAGGCAAACATGGGATCTAGTTGGTACACATCTGTTTGCCACCAAGGTCTCTTCTTGCTCTATCTCTTTTTGCTCTATCTCTTTTTCCCCTTCTTTATGTTTTTTTTAAAAAAAAAATTATTTTTGTATATTTCATCATATGTATGTCCTTATTTCTCCCTTTTCCAACACAATAGAAAATTCAAATCTTTAATGTTAATTATTATTAATTTCTCTTTGAGAATGAAAAAATATAACTATAATTAAGGTTAATGTCTCTGGATATGGATGTGTGTTGTCATTGCAACATGAAATGATTTTCTAATAATTCTAATAGTTATGTCCCATTAGATGGAACTGATCCAAGGACCCTAGTTCATATGCATGAGAATGTTTTCACTTTCCACACCTTATCCATATTAGCATCTTCAAATATCATCTCTTAAAAAATGAAATTGACTTTCTTAGACTGAGTCTTGAAGTTGTCCATTTATGAATTAAATTAATTAAAAACAAATTTTCACTGAAACAATGATATTTTTAATCGAAAAATGATAAAGTGAAAATAATATTTTTAAAATATCTATTTTGGTCGATTTGATTTATGATTTAAGCAAGTGTTTTCTTTTCTCATTTTAACAATTATCTTTAACCATCATTTCTCGTTTATTATCCTATAGAATAGGATTGTCAAGGGTAATCAAGAAAGCTACTAAAAGATTTGGGAATTAATTTTTTAATGTATTGAAAATTCTTGAAAATTAAATATTGTTAGAGTTTAAATTATTAATTCTTTTATACTTTAAAAGATAGATAGTAAATATATATACATGTTCACTTCTTCGAATCATCAAGAAGATCATCTACGATGGAGCTCTAAAATCTGTAAATAAAATAAATCATGAAATATATATAATTTCACTATAGATTAATCAATCCAATCCCAACAACAATTTGATTATTATATTGTTGTGATTATCATAAGTTAATTAAGTTTGCATTATTCAAGATGTTCATTCCTACTTCCTAATTGGCATATTCAAATTATGCATGAGAAATATTATAAAGAAAAGTTAATTATATTATCATAATTCTTTAAGATTAGATTCTATATATATTAGAAATATTATAAAGAAAAGTTAATGATATTATCATAATTCTTTAAGATTAGATCTATATATATATATATAATATATATATATATATATATTATAATATATATATATTCTTTATGGGGGGTAATCTATACAAATTTAAAATTAAATGCATATAAATGAATCGTTGCATGGCCCTCCATAAAACCATCAAGAAAATTCATTAACCATATATTCTTTATGGGTAATCTATACAAATTAAATTAAATCATATAAATGATCTTGCATGGCCCTCCATAACCATCAAGAAATTCATAAACCATAAATAGAAATTATAGTTTTTTCAATATATATTGGTAGGAATACAGGTTTACAGGAACCAGATATGCCAACAGCTGGGTTGGTAGGCAATATTGTAACAAGAATCAAAAGAGAAAGGTTTGTTTCTTCTATACACGATGCCATGACAGTTGAAGGAAGATTATATATATGAAACATAAGAAACAAAGAAAACCAAATAAAATATAATTTTGCCCACCAAATTAATAATGTATAAATTTGTATTTATCAATTAGAATATATAATTAATCGGGTTAATCATTTATAGAATTGCTATGGTTTGGTTAATGAGAGTGCTATGTATCTATTTCCTATTTAACCAGAAAAAAAAAATTAATTACAGATTAAAATGTACTTAATTAAGAGAATGGAAGGCAATTAAAAATACATGACAGGTGTAATTAAACTTTATCGAGATGGATACATATAAATATTTTGTTACAAATTGCACAAAACTAATAATCATTGAGAAGAAAGATAGTAATAAGCAACAATCCAAAAGGGGAGATGGGATGATGGTATGGAACTGAAAAAAGAGGCACTAAGTGCAAACACCTTCAAACAAATACAATGATCTAAAAGCAGTTAAAAGCAACACAAACTCCCAAGCACAAAGCAGAAAATTAAAAAGAAGAAAGAAAGAAAGAAAGAAAGAAAGAAAAGAAAAAGAAAAGAAAAGCTTGGACATAAGATAAAATACAAAATATGCATGAATAATTATATGATAACAAGATTTTTGAATGAAAACATAAAAACAGTACTAGGAAGCTCCCATAATGATCATATCATCAAATTCTATTTTCATGGCAATCACTTAAATACCTTCTTTTGATGACTTGAGTAGTAGAGTATAGACGTAGAAATATATATGGCGCTAATATAGCTCTCATCATCATCATCATCATATATAAGCTTTTCAAATGGAATTAGGGTTTCCAAGCTGAAGCCCAAACTACTGGTTCCTCTTTCCATGTCAAGTAAAGTCCTACTGATTCATCTCCTTGAGAAGGTTGTACTAGTGACCATCCACCTCTGTATCTCTTAAGCAATGCTTTGACATCATCAATAACATCATCACTAAACCCGACAGGCGAAAAGGCTTCCCGGAGTCTCTCACACCATTGGTTTCCTCTTTCTCTTCTCTCACACTCTCCTTCTCCACAATTTTCTTCATTATGATCACAGGCTAAAACCCTAACTATGCTTCTTGAACACTCTCTCTCCAACATCAATCTTTCATTGCTAGTTGGGGCAAAGCTATCTTCAAGCATCTCAAAATATAGTGTATAATACCTAAGACACTCTTCAAAGCACTTAACAAAATCATATCTTGAGCTAGTAAAATCAGCTTCCTCTTCAACAATTGTAACAACTTTAGGGTTAAGTGAATGAAACATTTGAATAACATCATTTCTTTCCTCTACTTCAACTAATTTTAATGCCCCAATACAATTAATCGCTATAGCTTCATCTTCTTGAACACTCAAGCCTTCCCGACTCAGCTCTGATAAATTGCTTAACCCACTTATTACATTAATTTCAAAAGGAACTCCCATTAGCCTAGCAAATTTCTCCATTCTTTGACCTATTTCCTTCATAACTGATCTTACTATGCTCGCAGTTACAACAACAGTGAGCTTTAAATGAGGAGTCTCATCGTTTCTTGTAGCTAAAGCTTCTAGCAGAGTAGGCCATTGAGTGCAAAGGGTATTACTAATATCAATTATATGAAGTCTAGTTTCACCTTCTAATGCTTCCAAGATTGCACCGTTAGAAGCAACATGACCAAAAGTTGTCCAAGGACTTACCTCCTGGAATTTTAGTATCAATTTCCTAGCAGAATCGAAGGAGTGACTCTTTTCAGCAACTGAAGCTAGGGTTTTGAAACACCGGTGACCGGATTCTGTTGCCTTGCAAAATAAAGCTTGTAGGAAATAAGAAGCCAATTTTTGATCACAATCTCCATAAGGGGAAGCAAGCTCATTTAACATCCAAAGAAGTTGATGGATTTTTGTTGAATCTTTCTCAGAGATAGCTTTTGCACACTCTTTAAGAAGCTTTGATGCCCATCCATTACCACTTGCAGACCCAGAAGGCTCACCGGAATCCGATGACCGGCTACTCGTGGTGTGGCTACTATGGGGGTGGTTGTTGCTCTTATGGTTATTGTTAATGTTGCTATTGTTTTGCATGTCTATAGGTGGTTGATCATGGCTTATTGGGTGATGGGAATTAGGAAAGAAGTGTATTTGTGTTTGTTGTTTTGGGGAAAAGAGAGTTATGTCCATGTGTAATAACTACTCAATTTCCATTTAAGTTCAAGTACAAAGCTATGATATAGAAAAACTTAGTATTATATTTTTAAAGGTCATTGTCATTTGTATGCAAATTCTTATGCACCATATGTAATATTTAAATGTGTATTTGTATTTATATTTATATAAAAGTAAACTATGTACTATGGTGCTTGCTAAGTGCATGGTTTTCCTATACAACTCCTAGCTAGCTTGGAGAATTATTAATTTATTAAACTCCATATAATTATTAATCTATTAAACTCTACATTTAAATTATTATTATGCCTCAAGATTTTTTTTTTAAAAAAATTTTGATATCTCTACAGTACAATTAGGTTTACTTAAAATTAATTAGCAACTATATCCCTATTAATAAGCTTCTGTTCAGCAAAATTAGTTATTTTGACAATTGTTAACCGTTTTTAGTAGCGTTTAGTTATTTGAGTAGCTTGTAGTTGTTTGAGCAGCTAATAGTTGTTTGAGCAGCTTTTATAAAACGTTAAAAAGCTAAATGTTACATGGAGTTAAGCTTTTATACAACGCTACGTTAACATTTAAAAGTTAATTCAAACGCTATGTTACCAATATTATAACAAGTAGCGATTAAAACGCTAAAAGTTACTTAAAAAACTGTTGCCGAACATAACCTTAGTTTGTGTATGTGCATTTATATTGTTGTGATCAAAAGAAAAAGAAATAATATATTGGCATTTCAATGCACCCAAAACTTAGGGCATCAACATGAGAGCAGATTTGAATTGCTATAAAACAATCATTAGGGGACAATCAACATTGTAGTCATTGAAAGAGGGGAGGAGGTGTTTGGAAAAGAATAAAACATTTATTCTCAAAAATATATTATAGCTATGGAATCCTGATTGTTTAATATCAACTGAATAAAGTTAAAAGAAAACTAACAAACAACATATTTTCTTGATTTAATACAAACAAATAGATGATGATAAAAGCAATTGCACTTTGAAGTAGACTAATTAAATATTACTTATTCAGACTTCTAATGTCATATGATTTTACCTCAATATATGGACTTTTTAATTTGTCAACAACTTTCCTTTTCTAGTTCAAAAAATTTCATAAATGACAATTATTATTAATTTATAATTACTGTTGTTGATAAATGATATTCTCTTTTTAACAAGAGGTGATGATTATCTAACCTCAGCCTGATGTAATTAATTAATCAGAGATTAATATATATCAATAAAATTAAATTAGCTAGGGATCTTGTTTTTCTGAGTACAGGAGAATAGAAATTCAGGTCGTATATGCACTAACCATGAATACTATATCTTGATGTGCAGCGAAGGATCTTGTTAGCTAATAATAATAGTGTCCTCTACTTAATATTATCATCACGATTAAGGAAATAATTAAGTATACAAATTAAAAATTAAACAATTAAAGAACCTAATGGAATGTACAAACTCAGGCATTGATGCTTTATAATATTGAATTTTACACGAGTTACACAGTACAAAACCTATCTTATTTGAATCAAAGACCTCTTAAGTTCACTTTAAGTTAACCAAATAATGGATTTCCCTGAATGTATAGTAGACAAAGATTGAATAATGAATGGAAATCAAAAAAAAAAAAAAAAAAAAAATTTAAGTTAACCAAATAATGATTTCCCTGTAATGTATAGTAGACAAAGATGAATAATGAAGGAAATCAAAAAAAAAAAAAAAAAAAAAAAAAGTAGCACAATACTTTTGAAAAGGATGGAGAAAGAGCAAGCAACTAGCGTTGACTTAACTTAAAAATTTGAATACCCTATCAAAGCTGCGTGTTGAACATTTAAAAAAAAAAAAAAAAAAAAAAGTAGCAAATACTTTTGGAAAAGGATGGAGAAAGAGCAAGCAATAGCTTGACTAACTTAAAAGTTTGAATACCCTATCAAAGCTGCTTGTTGACATTAAGCTGTCAACTTTTTCATATTCCAACCTACAGAAAAAGCAGAAAGAAAAAAAAGAAAATGAGAACACAAAGTAAGGAAAAAGCACCGACATTTCATCATGAAATGCAGAAATATATAAATACGTACAAATGTTTTTAATTCTGTCAAACTTTAACAGGCTTTTACTAATATTGTTTATTTAATTTATGGGGATATATTTTGGAAAGGGGATTGTTCTAATTTAGTTCATTGAATGCCATAAATAAGGGTTAACACATTTGAAAAATCCCAAATTTTAGGGCAGAAAAAGAAAGAGAAACTTAACCTAATTGATAAGTGGGTTGGATATATGAAGCTTTTTAATTAATGGGTATCTAAAAGAGGGTTATTCCTATAATAATGATTAAACAAAAAGACAAGAGTGAGGCTCCTGTTGTTCAATCCAATCATTGGCTGAAAAAAAAGCATGTCTTTGCCTCAGTCTTCTTTCTTTCTTTCTTTCTTGCTTGCTTTCTTTCTTTCTTTCTTTCTTAAAAAAATATGGTCTTCATGTCCCATTCCATTTCATGTGTGGTCCATCCTTTTGTTGTCTTCTTTGTCTCCATATGTTTCTTATACATCACATTTCACTTATATAAATTAAAACAAAAGACATTGGCTTCAATGAATACGTGTGTGTGTGAATATTTATATATATAGCAAATTATATATTATTGTTATAATGAGATAACTTTACCCTTAGAAGTTTGGTATTAGGTCATTTTGGGTGCTGCCTTAGTTTAAATTAGGGTTTGCCAATAAAGTATTAGAGAATTATTAATTATCATCAAATCTATCAAGTAATAGAAATTTTATTAATTAATTTATTTCATATTTTCTCATACAGTTTTTAATTCTATCCAATTATTTGGGTAAATGAACTAATATTTATTGCCTTTATTAATAACATGTTGACTAAATAATTATTAGATATTTCGGTTTTTAAAGAAAGCATATCATTTAAATTTATTCATTTTGCTATTTGGGTTCTAAGAAAACAAATTTTTTTTGGTTTAGTAATTGGCAATAACAGGAGAGGGGTTTCCTAATTTGGATTACAAAATGATGAGTTGAAAATGGATGATTTCCTAAATTTTTTCAAAATTTTTTTATGCGTGGGCTTATTTTTATGTCAAATTGTTTTATTTGTATAAGCTTTTTTTTTTTTTAAACAGAAGGTTTAATCTCTTCTAGAGGTGCGTGGTTTTTAGCTCTCCTAACAAAATACGCTTCCCGATAAATCGAACTTGTGTTTTCACCTTTGGGGAAACTGAGGCCGCTAACTACCTCAACCAATACCTTGTTAATTATTTGTATAAGCTTGTTTTGTGGCAAAGCTAAGTGGTAGTGCCGGGTGTAGTCAAGTATTATCCGTAGGGCTAAGGTCCCAGGTGGCTTATGTTATACAATATTTTTATTTACACAAATGATAATATTCACTTTGTGTAAATTATGTTAAAAGCCAACATTTTAATATGCAAATTATAATATTACATAAATTTCATCATATTTTTTTAATTATATATATGTATATAGTTTAAGATTAATCAAATGTTTGTAATTCACAAACAAAATAAAAACTGAAGCCTTTAATGTGAATTTTCAAAAAAAAAAAAAAATTTTTGAATTATAAGGAAAAGGAAGAATTAAGCTGCAATGTAGCTTTTCTGGAAAGGTGGGTATGGGTAAGTGGCTTTTGTGCCGAAAGGGGAACTGTCTTCTTCAACAACAAAAATGGTATTGTCTGAACATTAATGGGGTCCTTAGGCAATCCAAAAAATCGACACCATAAGTTTCAATCCCATATAACCACAAATACAATGGAAATATAAACATTAGGAATCAAATAAATATAGATCATGTTCATTGAACTGCGAAAAGTTCGGAGATCACCATAGCTTGTCTGTGATTATTGTTTTATCATTCAACTTTACTAAGAGTTTGTTGAGTAAGATTAGTTGTTTTAGTAGTTATTATCTGTCCCAGTAGATGTCATGTCAATTGTTTAATTAGCTTTCGTCAAACGGTAAATCACCGAACACTATAAATAAATAAATAATAGAAATAGTATTTTGACATGAATCAAACGCTAAACAATATCTCAAAAACTATTGTCCAACATGATATAAGGTAATTTATTTTCAAATTGCTTAATTAAAAGAAAATTATATCTTTCAAACCACTCTTATCAACCTTTTAATAGACATTATATACATGAGTTCTGATTTCTTTCTTAGAATACTATATATATGATCACATTCGAAAAATTTTTGCAAATAATGGATAAATTGAGAAAATAACATTTGAAATGATTTGAACATATTATGATCGTACACCTAAATTTGTAAAGATCGAACGCTCGACTCAATTGCTTTTTACCGCTTGATCCACTTCTTATATGCATATATAACAAAATATTTTTAATATAATGTCATTCTCAGCAGTAGCTGCTCTTGCCCTTCTGGCTTCTACAGAGTATGGATGATCTATCTGACAAGGCTTGGTGGCAGTGGTGAATATAATAGTTACATAATGACTTGTAGATAATTTTTTTTTGAAAAAGAAAGACACATGACATGTTGTAGATAAAGCAAGAATTATAAAAGTATGATTTTTTGAGATTGATGTTACATCCCTCCACCAAGTTGTATTTTTTGTTTTAACAAAATCTGAGGCCCTTCCTACATATCTTATTGCTGGGTTTCTCTCTTCCTTTGATGGCTTAACCCTACCAGGTTTGTTTAACGGAGCAGGAGTAAACAGCGTCACTGGAATCGGTAACAAAAATTATTTGTTTTCGTAAAATAATATGCAGAAAAACTAAGTCATTTTGAAGGAAAATAACTCCCCATTTTCAAGAGAAGAAAACATTTTCCAAACGTTCACAAACTTATTATAACTTTATTAATGTATATTTTTTAATTTATTAATTACCGGTAGCCACTATCACTAGTTACCGTTCATCACCGGCGGCTCATAATTTACCATTTTTAATATTTTTCTCATATTTAATAATAAAATTTTTAAAATAAATCTTTATAATTATAAATATTTTTATGGTCTCATAAGTTAAATATTTTAATATTTTTTTAATTAATTTTCAATATTGCAAACAAACAATGAAAAATAAATTATTTGACAAATAGAAAATATTTTCCAAAGGTAGAATATTTTCTAAAAACAAATGGAGCCTAATTGTTGTTAGATCAACACAAGTCAACTGTATTTGTAAACGAATTTTTACTTGCAAGATTAATAAAAATTCAAAATATGAAGTTATCAATATTGGAAAAACTTTTATCTAAATATCAAACGGGTGTATTCCTAGACACCTAGTGCTGAAATTTGAAATTTATACTCAAGTGGAAATTGTGAAAAATAAACACAATAGTAAATAATTATTTAAATCACTATGTCACACTGTAGGCGAATCCCACATCGGCTAAGCACAAGGTAGAAGTGAAGTATATAAAGAAGGGCAAACCTTAAATTAGCAAGAGACTATTGGGACTATGAGATGGTTTTACACAGGAGCAAATCCGAGCGGACTTGGCTGTAGCCCAGTGCATATCTAAGATTGATTATAGCAAATATCCTTATACATGACTTTGCCTCCGCTGCACCATAATTTTTGTAATATACAATGACAAATAGTTAATAAATATAAAGACAAAATAATAATTTATTAACAAAAAAAATTAAAAAATTGATAGAAGGATATACAGACAAAAGATAGCGACAAAACTATATATTTCTGAAAATATAGGGGGAATATTGTATATTATGGCAAATTCATTCAAATAATTTTAGAGAAGTAACAAACATGAGCAGATGTCATTAGCTGGTGTAAGTTGTATCCATCACAAAATCCTTTTTAAAATTTGAACATAAAAGTACAGGAGATAGTTACATACACTAAATGTTGATTAAGGGGGGAGTTGACAATGATGGTTCACTCAGCTCTTGTCATAATGTCCAACTACCCGACAGTATCAAAGCTGATCAGTTTCTGCAATAATCAATAATAGGATGCAAATCTTGTTGCATGTAAATCCATATGAAAAGGTCTGTGATGAAGTGTCCAACAAAATTATGAATTTGGAACTGCGAAATGAAGTGACATTTACTAACCCTTTCATCATCAGCATCATCGATTGTTTGTTCATCATCGACAATCATTTCACTGCACATGAAACTTGTAGTGTATCAGTTCACTCCGTTACACATTTTCCATAGCTAACCAGTCTCTGAATCTTAACATAACTTTTTAAGCTATTGCACAGGATATATAGCAGTAAATGTTTCTCAAGCCATATCCCTGTACCCTTTTTAGGTGGGGATGGTTTCAAAAGTATTTTGTCTAAGGTGCATGTCAAACTTCGGGTCTGTTCGGTTCAACAGTTGTGGTTAGCTTTTAGCCAATGGTTCTAGCTTTTAGAATTTCAATTGTAATTTCAAACCACCGACTGTTAAATTTTGAAACACTGCTCAAATTACTGGATTTACCAAACACTCCAAATTAGTCAGTTGGAGCTCAAACATCATACACAACTTCAGGATAGCTGAAGGTGAAGAAGAACTTGTGTAGAAATTGGTGAAAAATGTGATGTAGTGTTGTGGTGGTGGTGACAAGTGCCACGTGTCAAGGTAGTTCTAACAAGAGGTAGAAGTCAGTGTCAGTGACAGAGATGTGGTAATTAATCTTGCAGGTAATGCTGCTAGTGATATCATGAGAGTGTAGCTTGGATACTACTTGTTACCTAAAAAGAACCCAATCCATGGTGGGCACTGACACTGAACCAACAATTAGGAATATATCCAAGCATTGACATTTAATTAAAAAGTTCCACACTCTATATTTCCTTCCGCAAATCATTAACCAAAATGCATGTGTTGTGTGATTCATGTGTCTCGAAATCACAACCTAGCAAAACAATCCAACAAGAATATCCAAACAAATAAGACATGCACATTAGCACATACACAGAACCAAATTAGCGTGCACATTATCAAGAACAGCAAAAATGTAAATATTCAAAGAATTTCAAACGCAGGATTTATGTTAACTTTCCATCTAGGCCATGAAAACTTCTAGTCTTAAAATCCAGCTCAATCATTATATTGTATCAACAAGCACACCCAAATTTCAAACCAAAAAGACTGACCACTGACAGAAAATTTAGCTTATGTTATAAAGCCTGCTCAATATCATAAAAATACCAACTGACAGGATTGAGCACCACCATACATAGAAGTAGTTCCTTCTTTGAGTAAATGGAGAAGGAAGGACAGTCTGCAAGTGATAAAATATGAAAAAAGAGAAGATAATGGCTGAGGTGGAGGGGGTGCAAGGAGAACCAATTATTGAGGAAAGAAAGATACCCATATTGATCGAGGATATTGGGAATGCCTCCACAAGCAACTTAATGTTTCCACCCTCTTGAGTAACCATCTTCCATGTATGGCTCAAGAAATCCAATGAACTGAAACAACACAAAAACACAGATTGAGGTCAACTACTAGGGGATTTATTTGTTGAATTTTCTTTTCCAAATTTCTAGTTGATTTTGACAAGAATTGGAATAATGTAGGGGTTCCTATTTGATAGTAGACTTGGGAAACAAGAAAGAAAAATTTCTTATGGCTTTCATGTTTTGCTGTTATAATACTTTTTGCTTGAAAAGTCAATCTCTGATAGAGAAGCGGACATGGTAAGGTAATGAAAATTTCATGACTGCATATGCCATGCATGGAACTGGAAGTAATTGTGAAAAATATAACAGAAGGCTAATTTGCAAGGAAGAAAACAAACTTAACATTTTCATGTTCAGATATTTCTATTTGAAGAAAAGATAACTGTATCGATATGTTTCTAAAATGGCAGTGTTGCATAGTGTGTTCAGATTTCTGTTAAACATCAATGCAAGCTGTCTTTTGTTACTATACAAGCATGCATATTAATATGCTAATTTACCTTAGTTCCATCTTTAGACCACCGTGCCCCATAACCATCAGCCACCCTTATCTCAAAGACAGCCCCATGTGGTGGAACGATATGCACATTTGACCAGCAACAAGCAGCTATCAAACGATTGATGACATTCATTGCAAGCCTATTTTTATTAGTATCTGGAAGGGTAAAATGATGATGATGATGATAAAAATAATAATAATAATAATAATAATAATATGTTATTAAATATAAAATTGAGAGCTCATATTAAAAATATGTTGACTTCTTTTTCAAAATCTGACAAAACTAGGTTTAAAGCACTTAGAAGGACATTCTTTTCATTTCAAAATTCCATGTTCCAAATGCAAACAAAAGAATTCAGGCTTTAGCTTTGATCAAAATTGAGGTATACTGTAGCTATAGAAAGACAACCTATACCGATTCAATACTGCATCAATGAAAAGGGGATAGAAGTAGAAAGAAAAAGCACCAGAATAAGCCACTTAAGCTCCTTCATATTGATAGAGCAGAATTGGTGGCAACTTTTTTGCCATCATGATTTGAGCTAAGCTTTTTCAAGGATTTGAGAATTAAAGAAACTATAAGTTGTGTTAGAAATAAGCACCATCTTGGTGGAAATGACAGCCAGTGATGGTGATGTTGAGGAACTGGTGATGCTTGAAGTGATGGCAAGTTGAATAGATGCTGTAGCACTGATAGGGGCAATCAAGCCATTGCTGGAACCCTTGGTTCTTAAGGTCATAGCATGGAGACCATAGTCAAGCACTAGAGGGGAAGTGTTAACTGATTGGTTCATGCAGTCCAAGTACCATGATTAGAAGATGGGATGATATACCATCAAGTCTGAGTTGCTAACTTGGCACTTCTGGTTACATAAATTATTTTGAGAAACAGTATTGTTTTCAAGTCTATATATACTGAAAAAGAGAGGGGGGAGGGGATGGGGGAGAACAATGTGAGAGAAAGAGAATGAAGAAAGAGAAAAGGAGAGAAGTGAAATAGGCTTTAGAAAGTAAATTAGAAAGAACTCTTATTCTTCTCAATTCCTTCCTCTTCTTCTTTTTAATTTTTTTTTCCCATGTCAATAGAAGTACGAAAGTGATATAAAGCATTTCACAACAGCAAAGAACAACATACATAAGACACTGCACATACAATCAATAGGTGTACAGTAAAGAATAGGTCGTTGGCTCAAGGACCAAATTCAACATGCTTTGCATCAGAAACTCACCATTTCCACTAAGAATACCCCAATATTTATTGCTACTCCTTTCAGCATGCTTTGCCAATGCCCTTGCTCCATGAGTCAAGGAACTAACTTTGACCTAAAGACAAGAAAACAGAGTATTCATATTTACAGAACATATATTCAAAAATATCTCTCTTTGACATAGCCAAAGGTCAGAAGAAATTCATTGCATGCAGCAATCTTGCATTTGGCCTATATGGAAGAGTGAAGGAAGAGAGAAGTGTTGATCTTGCTGGAGGAAGGGCATCTGGAACTGTTCCAGCAGTATGTGCAAGGCCCAGAAGACTTTGAACACCATCGTAACTCAATTCCTGGATCAAAAGATTAAAGTAGCTAAGATACTTTAGCATAGATTGCCTTTTTTCATGGCATTTTTTGTAGATGGGGTTAATGTAAACAGCAGTTGTATTCTTTTTACACATCATCATTTATTTATTATTTTCCTGCTGTACTGTATCCAGAATTACATCAAAGTCCAGCATTCCAGTTCTCCGAGTCTGACACATATTTGATCCACATGATTAACACCTCATCATATTAGCACCAGCATAAGAACTTAATTTCCTACATTTTGAAACATACAAATCACTTAACAGTTCAGTAAGCAACTCACAGACAATATATTAGCCAAATACAGATATGGCTGAGGAGAGAATTTTGATAGAGAAATTGCGAGAACACCATTTGGCATTTCCCTCTCTTCTGTGTAGAAGTTCCTATAAAGTTTTACACCTGAAATTAACAATACAACCTTACAATTCTGGAGTTCATCACCATCAATGATATTTTACTCGTCTTTTAACTTATTAGAATATTTATAACATCTTTCAAAAAACTTTTCATACCCAATTCTCCAACTATTTTGTTTTTTTCTTTGATATATGAAAACTGCAGAATTAAAAGTTTGTTTGATGCAAGCAAGGTAATAAGTGGTGGGAAAGGAATTCAAATTCAGTAGACCTGAGTTTCAAAAACGGAAATGAGACTGTTGAAAACTTATTCTAAGAGAATTGAGTGCAAGAATAAATGGAGAAGTTGTTGATGAGAAAGAAAAAGGTTTCTTTCTCAACGCATTTGCAGAGACAAAACGAGAAAAAACAAAAAGAGAACAGAAGACAAATAAATAAAAGGAGAGAAGAATTACAGAACCAACTATTCATGGCTTTAAAACAAACTCTCTAATTGTAGTATTAATCCACATACATTTAACATAAGAATAGAATCGGCTTCTATATGTTTAAAACCTGACAATAGCTGCTACAATACAAGTTGACCAAGGCAAGTAACATCTCAAGGTATAAAAGAAGAGCCCTTTGTTATTCTAAGATGGATAATTTTCTCGTAGAGCTCAAAACATCAAATTGTCTTGCTAGCTCATTTTGAATCTTTTTTTTTTCCCTTTTCTAGGCCCATTTAAGCTTTCTAGAATATTTTAAATCTGACTCTAGCAAGTTAATATCCACATAAGTTTAGCTTCACAATCTCAAGCTATTGGACCTAAGGGTACCAAAAATTTGAATTCTACGGATGCATTGGATTACTTTAAGGACTATAATTTGATTATTTGATCATACTAGTATTCTAGCTTTGGCAAGATCCTTTCATTCCCTATTACAGGACATGGCAATTTGTTTCTTCATTTTTATCTTCTTCATCGCTAGTCTCTACCATTTTCTTATCTCATTCTTCTTCTTAGTGCCTGCAAATTATTCCAAGTGCACCTTATTTTACTGTTATAAGCATATGGCACTTTGTGGTACATAAAATTTCGTAAACTGTAATCCTCTACTCTATACCCTAGTCCTCAGCTATAACTTCCGACTTGAGACAAAAATCTTAAGTTTTAATTCTTGTGCAACAGCATCACAACATTTACGGGACAACTATATCTTTAGCCAGTCATCAACTTGTCTCATCTTACCTTCTTCAATAGTTTTAACACCAGGAAGGACTTTTGAAGGACTCTCTGCTTCCAACATCTCCAAAAATGATGCATATCGTCGAACATCCTGTGAATTGATGAAATTACATATGGCCAACTGAAAAATAGGAGAACAAATAAATTGCATAAACACAGTATAACCTCAACTTCAAGCACTATACTTTTGTTTAAAAGAACCATGGCTCCTGGCTCAATTCTGAAAACAAAAGAAACCAATAAATTGATGAAATTACAAACAAAAAGAGAAGAACAAATGATCACTAAATCATGCATGAATGTGCACACGGACAATAATGTTTCGGCTGTAACACAAGCAGGCAAAATGCTCATGATTTATTTTAACAGGCCAAATTGAACATTTCTGCAGATATGCGATAATGTTTGATAAGATTAAAGAACTCTAAAGCACACTCCTCAGTTAGTGTTCAGCCCATCCCTCATGACAAAATCAAGCTCTAACAGCTATAAAAATGCATGATGTGTTAGCCTTCTAGCATATAGTTTTAGGCACAGTGAATGATCAGGATGTAACATCATGGAAAAGCAGAAGGTGCAGCTTCAATTTCCCAAAAAGTAAAAAATAGATGCAGACAATTTTAACTTTAAAATCCTTGCATTGATGATCTGATAACTTGCATATATGAAAGGTTCCAATGTCAACATACATTATACATTATCCTTCTTGCATTATGAAATACGTATATACCAAAATGAAGAATAAATAAATGATAGGAAAAGGAAGCATATAGCACATAACCTATAGGCTATAGATATAAGCATATACAAGCAGTAGTACCTGCTATACTTGCCACCAGCACACCTTCCTTCAACTGTTTTCAGACCATCTGACAAACAATTCAAATACTAAAGAATAAGTCTTTGACCAGATGAATAATCCATGTGTAACAGACTCAAAGTTAATCTTTAGTCACTTGACAGTAGACACAAAGTTAGAAGAACTCATAAAAGAGAAAACAAATGGCAATACTTTTTATTTGTGAGAAAAAGGGCTCCTGAACATGAAGTTCATAAAATGCAACCTTCAACACCTGATAAATGCAATAATTTGTAAATAAAAAACTATCAAACAAAAAGTACAAGAAATAAATCACAATATAAAATTTATCCTTTTCCTCTACTTACATTCATTAATTCAAAACCCTTTTCTATAATTAACTTATTCCATTGTTCTTCTTTTTGCTTTGGGCAAATATCTTCTTCAAAGAATCCTATCTTGTTATATGTCTTACAAAAAGATCCAGAAATTATAGATTGACACAAAGCTAAAGCTAGACGCTTGAATAAGGGATATTGAGGAACTCCTCCGAAAGAACCTGCAAATTTTGAATAAGAAACAAGAAATCAAGTAAAAACTTGTTCATTTTGTTTGTGAAATGATAATTAAGCGAGACTCTAATTATTTGTCAGTTCAAAACGAATGAAAATGTAAATTAAGAAAAAAAATATTATCTGCTTAGCATTAATGGAAGATGATTAATTACTGGTATTAGAGGAGGCAGGGAGTGAAACAGAGTCGTTCGGTTCGTCTCTGAGGAGATTGGAACAGAAGTCCTTTGAGAGGGGCAAATCAACTTCTAGGGTTTGGTTAATGTGAGACTGTAGAGTGAACATCAGTAGCTCTTCCATACGGTCGCTCAGTTTGAGTTGCTCCATTTGTTTCGCTCTGCTATATTTCCTTTTTGATAACTGCTTTTCAAAGTACGCTTCAATTTCAAGGACTACTGTTTTTTATTTATCATGATTAAAAAAATACATAGCTAATATTTCTTATTAATAAATAAAAAATCAATATTTTTATTTTTAGGGGAAACATATCAAGTCCTGAATCCAACATAAGTCCTTTCATTTTCATGAAATAATCTTAGGATCCTTAAATTACAGTAAACGTAACTCATAGATACCTCTATTAAAAGACCTTATTCGGAATCATAATTTAGGAATCTGTGTTACTTTCCCTATGATTTAGGGATGTGAAACTTTTTTAAGCAGGGTTATTTCCGTCCTTTTCACATAGTTAATAGAAAAAATCTCACTTTTTTTTTAAAAATTTTTTTATAGAGGAATCCATGTGTTGGTTTCTCTATAGTTTAGGAACTCCATAGTTAATTTCTTGAAATTTACATTTTTATATTTTCATATCATTCAATTATATTCGAAATTACACCCTTCAAATTTTTTTAACTAAAATTTTAAAATACAATATGCTTTATTTATTAAGTTGTTATATTATAAAACAAAAAGATGTATAAATTAATCATTCTGCATATAATTTACTTAATGATCTATAACGATTTTTTTAGAGGAAATAATAACGATTTACGAATTGGTAAATATTATTAACCATAAAAAAAATAAAGATAAGCCCACAGCATTTGGCGGGTTCTCCTGTTTGACCTTCAAGTACAGTTATAACTTACAAATGTAATATTTTGGCAGACTACTAACTAAAAGCTAATAGGTAACAACTAATTAATTAGCTAATAGAACAACTGAAAGCTATTAAAACAGTTATTATTACCTAGCAAACCCTTTGACATTTCTACCTCAGAAAATCAAACTGCTAAGTCATTATCATACACTGATTGTGTGGTACTTGTTCCAAATCATCAATTAATTTATATGACCATCGAGGAACTTGAATGAGTTACTTCAGCTTCTCGATTGCTTCCCTTTAAATCATAAATCAAGGTGAAGAATATTAGCTGATTTTGCATCATCTACTAATCATCTGGCACTGTTCCAGCCTTCCAGGAAGCTGCTGGAGACTCAAAACGCACTGAACACCTCTATAACTCAATCCCTAGATTGGAATATTTATATAATCATATTAGGATCACTTCAGCATATTATTATTAGCTTTAAAGCATAAACAATATTACTATTTACATGGAAGATCCCAGATAAAAATTATGATTCAAGCAATGCATGGGAAAAACAGTGTATGAACTATTTCGTTTCAACAAACATGAGCAGCATAATAATACTAATCTTAACAATAATGTATATTACTATCACTATTCACACACATACTGTTGACGCATGAACTCCAATTATGTCAGGATGAATATCAATGATGATAAACAATAAAAGTCTTCGTACCAGAATTTAAAGTGGTCTGTCTGTCTCCCTTTTGCCTTTTGGCAACCATTGGCTACATATAGTTGATGGAGATCAAATATTTAAGCATCCACTTCAAGATGATCAACCCAAACAAGGAACCGTGGGGTTGCATTCCTAACCTAATTATACATCCAGTTTCATGACCTAGAAGAATACTGGGTATTGAAATTCTGAGTTGAGACTCCATGCATTCCTGATACTCTATATCTTAATAAACATGCTGTTACCAAATAGGAACTCTTGCCAAATAGAAAGCTAATTAGGAATCCAACAACTGAACAACATGAACATAACCAGTCATTGCATATTGCATTTGATGGTTCATCTGGTCCAACAGTTTGAGAACAGATATACTTGCAATATTTGGATTTTTTTTTGGTACTTGTATACAGGTGACTCTCAAACTAGCTTATACTTAGACTAAATCCCCTCTTGGGGCAACCTTAAGGGCACACTCTCATACAAAGGCACGGTGCATTCAAATATATTATTCCTAGAGCGCTCCCCAGATGCAATGAACCTTGGTTGATGAGGAAGGAAATCTCTCATCCTTATCAGTTGGACTAACTCCATTGGGTGAATATTTGGATTTAGTTTAATGGTTGTAGGTCTTTTGCTGAAATTTCTAAGCCAGTATCAGGGTTCTCAAATGTTTTTGGACGTATAGTTTGGCTTCGTCATATTTCTCTTCCATCACTTAAGACTTTAAAATGAATTTTTAGTATTGGATATTTTGTTGACCAACCATGCAGTTGGGATCCTCCCACACATCACTACACCCTAAAATTCCTCTTATTTAACTTACTATATTCCTGCCCTAACATCCTGACCATTCATTAAATTTGCAATTGTCTGAAGGAATTCTACATGACCTCAGCATGAGTTGCTTGTTTTTCCCCAATTTTTCTGAATTTCCCTAAACACCTTTTTTGAGGCCCAGATAACTGAGCAATTTCAAGAAAAGAAGAGCAAATGGTAACCAAGCACTATTACTCTTCTACTGGATTCTCCTCATTTTTAATCAGCTCCATCTTTGATATTTCCAAACATTAGTCATATCCTTGCCTCAGCCAAAAACATAGCCCATTAAAGAGGAATTACTGGATGCATTGCGTGCGTTAACAGATAGTACATTTTGCAATTCCAACTATTGATCTGATTAATTGATGAGAATAGCATCACAGCTAAGTTTGGATTGTTTTATCCATAATTTTTTCGATTCACAAAAAACATAATATCCACATGAATTAAGAAAGCTGGATCCCATACGTATGCGAGTGAGGGTGCATTGCATTTGATTGGTTCAGTAATTTCTCAAAAAACTAATATTTTATAAAATATAAGCTCAATTAGTTCAATCAATGGTGCCTATCAGCCTTAATGGAGCGGTCAATAAAAAGACTCACCGAGAGTATTCTAGCCAGAGGAATGTAGGGTTGAGCAGTTGAGTTTGCAACACAAATAGCAAGGACACCGTTAGCTCTCTCTTTCTCTTCTGCATAAAACTTTCTGTAAACTTCAACACCTGTAAATGTAGCATTCCATTGGTTTACATATCACTAAAACCCTTCTTGTGATACTAATGGAAATGGTTTCCCCAACTATTACGAATTATTTAAAACGTGTAAAATTTATTTGATAAATTTGCATTAATTTCAAAAAATAGGCAGCAGTAGTTATTTGGGAAAAAAGAAATCTAGAGCTGTTACCTTCATCAATGGTTTTTACCCCAGGAAGGACTTTTGCAAGGCTCTCTGCTTCCAACATCTCAGAGAATGAAGCATAGCGGTGAACATCCTGCAAATTAATGGAGAAGTTGGTATAAAACCAAGTTGTGAAAAGAAAGCATCACAAGTTTCAATGGAAGTATTATCACCTGAACTTGAAGCATGAGACATTTATTAAAGAGAAGCCATGCTCCTGATACAATTCTGAGAGGAAAATAACAAAGTGCGAGAGAGTAAAAAGGATTGAGAAGACATAAAAGAAACCAAATTAAAAAAAAAAAAAAAAAAAAGGGCAAAAACATAAAAGAAACCAAATTTAAAAAAAAAAAAAAAAAAAAAGGGGCAAAACAAACATAAATTAACCGAATTATAATCAACCCAAACACACCTTTCCTTCAACTGTATTATCAGGCCAATCTACAAAAGCAAAACCAAATAAATGTAACAGTCTTTTCGATCGACTAGCAATTTAAAGCAGTAAAAGAATGAAATTTATATATGGTAATGAAACTTCGGCACAAACACGAAATGTACCTTTTAATTGATGTAAAGAAAGGCTTCCTGAACCATGAAGCTCAAAGTTCACAGTCCTTCAGAATCTGATAAGATTCAATAATAATATGATGATTGATGATAACTTAAATTTGAGATGAATAATTTGACAAATCTCTTGAGAGAATACCAAAACCCAGCAAAAACAACTAACAACATAGGAACATACATTTAGCAATTTGTTCCTTCAACCAGAATCAACTATCATTCCATTTTTCCTCTTCTTTCAAGTCATGTCTTCATCGCATGATGTCCATTTGTTGGAATCTTTCCGCATAATTCTCCATGAGGTTATTATAATTCATACAAAGTGGATGCCTAGATGCTTGATAGTGGATGTTACAGGACTTGGTCCTAAGCATTCACAATAGTTTAGCTTATTTGTGAATTAGGTTTTAAAGGGAGGAAAAAAATTAAAACAATACAAGAAAAAAGAAGTTGACTCTGATTTCTATTTTCACCTAAGAGAAATCAGCAAAAATTAACAAAGAATATAATGTATACAAAAAGAAGAAATAGAAATTGAAAAATCTTTCGAAATTATTCTAATTTCCTTTCTCTAAAAGTTATCTCTATGTTTTCCTACAAATTCTCAGGCAACAAAAAAAAAACCAGCCAAGCAAATTTTAGATTCCTTTCAAAAGTCGCCCATGACGTAAGACTCCACAGTCCACTTCAAATAAAACCTAAAGGCCAGAAAGTTCTTTGAGTTTTCTCAGCAACCAAACAGAAAAAAAAAAAAAAAAAAAAAAAAAAAAAAAAAAAAAACTAGAGAGGGGTGATTACAAAGTGCTTATTTGTTACGGAACGCTGTCGTGTGGGAATTTATGCTGGAAGAAAGGTAAGAGCATTATTCAGGGAAAAGGCCAAAGATCGACCTTTCCAAGGTTTGATTTAATTTGGGAATGGAGAGTGAATTTCATTAGCTCCTCGATACAACCTCTTTAAAGATCGACTGGGCTCTCCCTGCGAAGACGGTTGCTGCCATTTTTCTTTCTCTTTTTAATTTCCTCGTTCCGGTGATCGACTGGGCTCAGTCCTGCGAAGACGGTTGCTCCATTTTCTTTCTCCTTTTTAATTTTCTTCCGTCGGAGAGTAACTAGGCAGTGGCCGGTTAAATTGACGCCGGTTTACGATTCATTGAAACCGCCGGTTCGAAGATGTTTAAAAATTTTGAACCGGCAACCCCGGTCCTTAAACCTCCGGTTTCAGTTCTAGCATACGATTCAGCAGGTTCCGCTTAACCGACGGTTCAAATTAAGGTTACCGATTTGAATTCCGGCATTACGCAAATTGTTTAAAAAATAATACAGGATTTTGATTTCCGAAATTCATGAAATAAAATAATATTTAAAAATGTTTAAATTTTATAACTAAATAAATTAATTATAAATGTTTAAAAAACAAAAACTTTCTAATTATTTAGAACTGGTTATACATTAAATTACAAATTTTTGCTACTCACTAATATAGAAAATGAAATAAAGTGAATATGAAATTAAATGGAATTTAGAATTGGATGTATGAAGATAAGCAATATTAAGAAAGAAGAAGGAAGAGTAGAATATATTGGTTTGTGAAAAAAATCAATCAACTCATCATATTATACATAATTTTTCATTTATGTAGTTTTTCAAATTGGTCCCTTATAACAAAAAAAAATAATTAATATTTTTTGGGATAATTTAGTAATTATATAAATAAATAAATAATTAAATAATAAATTTATAATAAACAATTTATATCCGTTTGAGTTTTTACACATTGTGTAAATTGTTAATTGTAAATAGTTAAAAAAATATGTGTTTGAAACAAAGGTTCAACGGCTAAAGTGAAAATGAAATGATGAGCTTTCAAAAAAAAAAAAAGTGAATGATGATGCTTCCTTTTTTTTTAAAACCAAAAATGTGATGTTTTATTTTTATTTTCAACTATTTTTGATTATTGCAATAAATAATTTTTGGTTTTGTTGAATCCGGTTTTCGAACCAAGACCGAAACTAGCCGGTTAATCGCTGATTCGGGCCGGTTCAGGTTCAATATTTTTAACTTTAATGACCTTAACCGGCCCTTGAACTGCCGGTTATCGGTTCAAAAATTTTAAACCGCCAATTTCAGTCCGATTTCAGATTCATCTACAGGTACGATTCGGTTCTGATTAGAACCGAACCGGTGGCCATGCCCCCTAAGCGTAACCGTAGCTTGTGAAGAAAATATATAAAGTGCAAGCCCGCGCCAGCTTTCTGGCATTAAGTTGTTTTTCAACTTTCAACGTTTTTGCTCACTAATTTGAAAACCGAAAAAAAAAAAAAAAGAAAAAAGAAAAAGAAGGTCCAAATTATAGTGAAATCTAACATATAAACAAGTCCCTTCTAACTTTCAATAAATAATTATATAACCTCTAAATATAGTAAAATTAACACAATAGAATTATTTCCTGTCCCAAAACCATAAACACTATCAGTTCCGAACGAAATATATTAATTTAAAGAGTATATGCTAGTTTTATTCATAATCTTAGGGATTCGAATATCTTTTTTAAATACGTCGTCATTTTTCGTACCTTTCCCATGTTTAATTGAATGAAAAATCTTACTTTTTTGGATGGATGGATTTATTATGTTAATTTTGGCCATAAATTTAGGAATTTTATAATTATTTAGTTTAAAGACCCTATGCCTTAATTAATTAAGAATGTAATTTTTTCTTTTCCATTTTGAAAAGACTATCCATTACTACAATTTTTAGTTTTTTTTTTTTATTATTACTATAAGTATAGAAAAATTGGATTGGATTTATTAGTCATACGCTCAATAATTTATAATTATTAAGGATTCGAACTTGAATCTTATTGTAAATTATATAGGGCATGGTCAGAGGAAGAGATCATTTTGTTATATAATTTTATAATTTTTCACCGACATCAAATATTGCTAATATAAATTGAAACGGTGAAATTGAACTTATATTATGGCTTAGTAGGATTTTACTTTACAACTCTGTAAAATGGGGTTGACCCCTGCCTTAAATCTTATAAGTTGTATATACCATATCAAAAGAAATTAAAAAAAAGTAAAAGGTATCACTTTCCTTCTGTAAAAAAAAATGGAAAGACCTAAAATAAATCCAAAAGTCTTCTAAAGTGTTTTTTGTAATGTCACCTATATAGCACTGTCTTGAATTTCTTTATATCAACTATGAATCTTGAATCTTGATCCTATAACGTTTCCTTCAGGGGAAGTCTGCTTGCGCGTAGAATTCCTTCCCACAAAAGCATAATAATCATCGGCTGTACTCGGTAATAATTTCCCTCTAGACGAAAACTTTGGTTATGACCTATCTTTGACTGTTCTGGTTCTACAGGTTTGTGTTTCATCAACATCCCAGCAGAAATGTGGTTTTGACCAGAACCTCCAAAGAAAATGATTTTGTTTTGCTCATGATAAAGCTGTTTATTAGTCCAGTATTCAAGCAAGCCAAGACACCATGCTTAATGACAAGAACAACATCGATCCCCATACCATTCGAGCAATACTTCTTTAATTGGTTTGCAATGATTTCGTTAGTATATAGAGAAAATGCCAAACTTCACTGATCGTGGCATTCTTATTAGGCTTTCCATTCTCAGGATATGCATTTAGTTCTAGGTTCTGAGAAAGTTGTGTACACCCTTTACTGTTTCGAAATCAATTTGTCGATATGATTGTCCAGCATTGGCACCGTTTCCATTGCCTGGTATTGGAACAGGTAAATGGCTCCAATATCCTAACAAAAATTGCAATAGAGATAAATGGATTAAAAATAATAGTAATATTTGAAAGAACTGTTCAGTTATATATATGATGTATAGTTCTTGGAATTTTTTAATTTACCGCCCAGGGATGTCCTCCGATTCCGAATTGTATCTAAGCAGGCAATTATTTGGCTTGGTATTGTACTCCTGGAGGTCCTTAGAGAAAGGATTGCAGACTTGTACCTACTGATATATTTTCAATTCACACTGCCAGAGGAACTCTGTTTATTGAATAATACTTAAAAGGGAAAAAATTTACGATTTAATATACTAAAGCCCAACATGCTTTTCTTCTTTCATAAGTAAATTTTATAATTAAGTTACCATTGATTGACAAATGTTATAGATTCCTGCACTGACATCGGTCAAAGATCGGCCCTTGCTTCCTTGAGCAAATTCATCGCAAGGTAAGATCGAACTTAAGCTATTGTTGTAATGGGTCTTTTCTGGAAGTTTTCAAGAGCTGTACATGTATCACCTGAGAACCTGAAAAGTTGTGGCAAGTTAACCTTTTTTAAGTATCATCTAGAAACTTCAAAAATGTCCTCATACAATTTTCTTTTCAGAATATCTTGACTTTACTTCCTAAGAGAAGTATAGACCAAAGAACCCAGCATAAGAGCCGTTAGGATCCAACATAGAACAATAAGGCCCTGCAAGTGCAAGAACCAACTCAGTATATGAAATAATGTATTGAGAACATCTCTTCAGGAATGTACTAATTAGACCAAGTTAATAACTTTTCTTTCTTTACTTACAGGTGAAAGCGCTCCTGTCGCAGCCTCAGTGTTCCACAAGCTGCATTAAGGATAAGATTCAAGTTTCAGTGCAATTCCCTAATCTATGGAAAGAACATTAAACCTCAAGGATTTTTAAAGTCTTTTTTTCAGGTGGAATTTTACTTTGTAAACAGCTCGCGAAATAGTTTAAATCGTACCTATTTTCTCTCAACAATGATAACTATTTCCCAGAGGGCAATTTTAAGTTCTGTTAATTCTATCCTTTCTTTGAATTAGTTCAAAAAAATTGTAAGCATTAGACATACCTGAAACGAGCAATCAAGTCAGCCATAG